TACCCCTTCCCCTACTTCCCCCGATAACCGTGATCCTCTCGCACCTCCGCACAGGGGCATCAACATCCCGCCGTCTCACATGCCCAAACCATCTCAACCTCGCTTCCCGCAACTTATCCTCCACCGGCGCCATGCCTACCTGACGTCGGATAACTTCGTTCGAAATCCTATCCAACCTTGTCTTCCCACACATCCATCTTAACATCCGCATCTCTGCCGCATGCAAACGACGCACATGAGTCTTCTTAACCGCCCAACACTCTGCCGCGTATAACATAGCAGGTCTGACTACGGATCGGTAGAACTTACCTTTCATCCTGGGCAAAATCTTCGGGTCACACAACACCCCTGAGGCCAACCGCCATTTGGCCCAAGCCACTCCAACACGATGTCCAACATCCCCGTCTAATTCCCCATCACACAAACACTAAGAGTGTAATCACAGACACTAAATTTCTGTGAATGCCTAATTACAGGGACCAACTGTCTGTAAATTGTTCAGTTAATGACATTAACTGCATATAAAAATAAATCTCACTGATAGGCAATGTATTGGCCTGGTTGGAATGTATACTTAGTTCTGATTTAATTGTGTTATGAATTTTCATAATGTGTTACCAACATGATACATTCGTGAGTAGGCGCACTCAATACATTAAATATGCCAAATAATCTACTTACAAAGACATTATATTTCACGATTTGTTGGGACAAGAAAAACAAATTCTAAATGCAAAAAAAAACAATATGAAGTGTTTGGTCGCATAGACACTAAATGTATGTAATTCTCCTAAACACTTTGCATAACTTGGATGAAAATTGCAACTGTAAATAAAGTCAATTAAATTAGTTTCAAACTGATGGACAATAATTCCACCAGATGATCCGATTCAGAAGAATGGATCACAAGAAAGTAATAAGAACAAGAACTCGAGAATTATAGGTTTTATTAACTGTTTTTAATGTATGAAAATCGCACTTGTAAAACATACCAAATAATACAATAATAAGAATATTTCATGATATTTTTCTTATATTGCAAAAATAAACTAAGTGTGGAGTATGTTTTGGTCACACAGACAACAAATGTCTGTAATTTATCGTAAACAGAAACTTATTGTCTGTAAAACCTAAATAAAAAATACATCTGTCAAATATACCAAATAATGCTATCATAAAGAATGTTTCACAATTACTCTAGATTGTAAAAAAAGAAAAAAATTATAATTACCACCGTTTTGTTACACAAACACTAAAAATCTATAATTCTTGATACATAGACATTTATTGTTTATGTAATTCACATTAAAATTTCACCCTTCAAATCTACGAAATAGTGCAGTACCAAGAACATTCCATAAAGTTTTCTACGTTTAAAAAAAGAAAAGAAAAATTACAATTAATATTGTTTAGTCACACAGACACTAAACGTCTTTATTTTCTTTAACACAGACAATTACTATTTGTATAATCTGAATCAAAGATCTCTCCTCCGGTGACACTATTAACGACAAAAAAAGTCATTATGGCGGTCTGGGAGGAGCGAGCAATGACAAGAAAACAAGTGGCGGTGAAGGCCAGGAATTGAAGGTGTTTTTCGTCGCCCTGCTCGAATCAAGATCTTGATTATGATGATGATGATGCCGCTCTTGGATGCTTCTGGGCGGCGATGGGGAACTCACGCCGTGCAACTTTTGGGCAGCGAAGAGGATGGGGCGGCAAAGATCGAGAATCCCAGGTTCAAATCCGTGATACCTCCTGAGTACTATGTAACATGTATAAAAATGAAATCCGTGAAATATCATGTAGTAGAACATAAAGACTTTCACAGACATAGACATTATATATATGTAATTCTTGATCAAAAACATTTCATCAAGACTTTCACAGACACTAGTTGTCTGTAATTTTAGTGACACAAACGGTAGATGTCTATGTGATAGATAATTGTCCACAGAAAAACATACTCCGTATCAATGCTATTTAAATACACAGACACTAAAGTTCTGTAATTGTTTGAACACAAACATTTACTATCTGTGTACCCTGAGTGAAAATTCCGTACTTCTTTCACAAACATTTTGCACCAATAACAAGCACTACACAGACATTTCGTAATAAGCATGAAAAATTCCCAATTGCCACAAGTTTTTAACAAAAAATCAGCCATTGAAAAGATTAAAAAACGAATTAAATGACTGAATAAGTTTGAGAAAGAATGATTCACAAAAACATATTTTAAAAAGACTAATTTTACAAGAGGGAAGGCTCAATTTTTGTTAGAATTGAATGATTGAATCTAGCTTTACAAATAAAAACCCTAAAATTGAAATAGAAAGTATGTACTATAACCTTTAGTTTGCTATTGTGTGGTGGTCAAGGCGCGGAATTGAAGATCGAAGAAGACAAAGGATGAAGTCTCCACCAAGTTGGATCTTCCACCGATGCACTGGACGGAGGAAAGAAAAGTAGGTAATGTCACTGTGGAAAAACGAGGAAGACGAAGGAATGGCTGGTCTTCCGGTAGTTGCCCGCTCCCTAATTCCCTGGAGAGATCTGCAAGAGAGGGGGAGAGAGAAAGAAAGCAGAGGAGGGGTATAGAGAGAGAAGAAAGAGGGAGGGGGGTGTATATGGTGTATGAATTGGGGTACACGACTGGTGTACCCCTAGCGCGACTGTTACAACTACACTCTTCTCAAAAAGGTGAAAGTCAAACTCCCATTCCTACACATTTGATTCCCACCTAAACCCAAAAATAACTTAATTTCCCAATTTTTTTATAAAAATGATACTCCATGTTTCATCTTCGAAGGACCATTCAGAATCGATTGGATACTTAGATGAGATTGAGTAAATTGAACTATAATTACTAACTGAAAAATAAAGTTTGAAACCTACACCTGATACTTTCAGAATTTTATGTTTAACATAATTATCTCTCATCAGAATTATCATAAATTGAACTCAAATTTACCCCGTCTGGTACCCCATACTCTACCATCTGAGTTATGCCCACCTGCTTAATTAGTCAATGAAGATTCAAAAGACAGCAATGCCCGAACTCGACTCTTGACAATGGCGATAGATGACGACCATACCTAATATGAGATCTGTGTACATATTAGGGACAAATGTAATTCTAAGATTAAAGTGCTCCCTTTTGCAGGAAGGGAAGGTGACGGGAAGCCGAGGTGGCATGCGGGAAAGGAAGGAGAACACACCCCCTCCTTGCGGTAACGGGAAGAGCGGGAGCCCCTTCTCGTTTTTTCCCGTCCGATTTTTAGGCATTTTTTTGTTTCCTCGGTCTTCCTTTTTTAGTTTTTAATTGTTTTTCAGCTTTTACTTGTTTTTCAGTTTCTAATATTGATTTTTGAAAATTTTTTAGTTTTTTAGTTTTTTATTTCTTTTTAGTTTTGAGTTTTGTAAGATTGTAATATTTAAATGTATTTTATAATTTAATTATTTAAATTAAATTAAGTATTATAAATTGAAAAGTAAATTTTTACTCCCTCCGTCCCCCAGTTTTTGTCCACTTTTGACTTTTGGAACTGTTCATCTAAGCACTTTGACTCATCAAATTCTCTCAATGTGTAAGCCTAAATATAGTTATGTGTGATCTTGTTTGATTTGTCTTAACATATAGATTATTAATAAATAATTTCTATAATTTTTTAATATACAAATTACAAGATAAAATGGATTAAAGAAGTGCATTGGATGGTGTGTAAAAATGAAAGTGGACAAAAACTGGGGGACGGAGGGAGTATTATTTTTGTGTTTTTAGTTTAATTATATATATTAAAATAAGTGTTACTCCGTATAAAATAAAAGTAAAAAGTGAAAGGAAAAGGGGGAAGGCATTTCTCTTGAAGAAGGGAAATATATGGAAAAATAAAAGCTGACGTGGCTCTGAGTTGGAAGAAGAGGAAAAGGGAGGACACACCCCATAGCCTAAGGGGCTGTTTGTTTCAGCCTCTTAATGGTTCAGATGTCTGAATAGTTCAGCACTTAATGGTTCAGACTGTTTGTTTCAGCCTCTTAATGGTTCAGATCTGAATGGTTAAGAGATTTGCCTCTGAATGGTTAAGTATTATACAGAGTCTGAATGGTTAAGACCTCTTATCTGAATTGATCAGACATTTGCCTCTGAATAGTTAAGCAATATACTAGCTCTTAATGGTTCAGACATTTTACTGATTCAGCACTTAATGGTTCAGACCTCTTACTGGTTCAGCACTTACTGATTCAGAAATTGCCAAACAGCCCCTAAGTGTGTTGAAGAAGTTAAAAAGGCCCTAAGACCACTAATGAGGAATGACCATTTACTCTATTGGATACAATCAGGTATTAATGGATTTGATATAGAGTACTCTAATCAATCAAACAACAATAATAACCGAGTTGAAACACATATCTTATCCCTATTCGAAAGTAGGAATGCTGTTTTCAAAAAAATCCAGGCTCAAACACTACAAATAATCACGTGTGCAGCCTAATCTCTATGTTTAAAAACATAGTGGTTATTTCCTGATGACCCATGATGAGCAAGCACTCTAACCAATCATCCCCTCTAAAAAAGACTTATCCACTTGACTAATTACAGAGGACTAATTGGGAGACATTTGATTAATAGTATTAAAAAATATTCCAGTAGTACTTCAATTGAGAGACATGATAATGCAATTAAGAAATGATCACATTACAGCATACTTTTTTGTGGGGGAGGAATTCATTCCGACACAAATGATGTTTAATAACCATAAAGCAACAAAATTATTTCCCACAAAACATTCCCTCTTTCAATTTGCACCATGTGAGAGTTGATACCCTTGTATTTCTTATTTGGTTAGAGACAAAAAGAAAAGAAAAATGAAAGGGAAAAAAATGAAAAGGAAAAAAATACTAAAAGGGGAGAAAGCAAAAATTCCTCCCATTTTGCCAAAAAAAAAGGAGAAAGAACTGGTCTTTTTTTCTTTTTCTTTTTAATTTTTTGAACCAAATATAGTGTAAATGTACACTGATACCCAACTACTCCCTCCAGTCTTAAAAACTTTTTCTATTTTGACTTGTTTTAGTCAAACATTAGCACACTTTGACAATAAATTGTGAGCAAAGTATATTTATTCATAATATAAATTCAATATAATTGGTATTTAACTTAAAATATAGTTTTGATATATCAAATTTTTATACTCCCTCCGTCCGGGAATATTCTTCCCGTGTTGACTTAGCACGCTATTAAGAAATAGTAAAAAAATACCAAATTTCCAAAAATGCACATACTATAAACTTTTAAATCTCTTTTTCTTATTAAAAAAGCAATAAAAAAGTAAATTAGTGATAAAATAGAAGGGTATTATTGAAATTTATCTTTAAAAAGTATACTAAAAAAGGAAATGGGAAGAATATTTCCGGACAGGCCAAAAAGGAAAGTGGGAAGAATATTTCCGGACGGAGGGAGTATCATTTATCTATATATATCAAAGAATATCATTGTTTGATCAAAAAAATTAAAACAGGAAAGATTTATAGGACATAAGGGAGTAATAATTTATCTATAAAAAAATATTGAGTATATATTTCTTCGCACAATAATTTATTGAGTGTACATAAGGCCCAGACATAAGAAACTCTGAGGTGACGAGCAATGCAAGCCAAGCAATAGATAATCAAGAACAAAGGATTCAAACCTTAGGTTTTGGGCCATACGAGAAATAGATAAAGAAAAGAAAAACAACAAAAAGCAGAGAAAGCTCTTGTCATATACAAAACCAAGGAATAATATATACAGATTTAGTTGAAGCAAGCAAGGGATAATATATACTTCCAGTGAACCAAGGAGACCATTATAGTAGTTTCAGTATTGTGTGTGACCCATCTATAAGGTTGGAAAGCCAAGAACATCAAGTGCTCACATACCCTTTTGTATAGCAATGAGTAGGACGATAAAAATGGGGGAAACAAGGAAGAAGATATAGGGGAGAACTTGACCTAGTCCGCCTTCATCAACTTCGCCGCCCTTAAGAGGGTAATTGGGTGTGTCCTTTATGAAAGCATCAAAGTAACTTTGGTAGTCCGTGCCCGCTGCAGAAGTGGTTGTTGTAGCCTTCATCATTTTCATTGCCTGCAATCGTCCAAATCAAAACACTAGTTGTCGTTTGCCATTCAGGACCGTTCTATTTTTAGTTCAACAACACATTATAAACCCAACCCCGTCGGGGTCTGGGGGTCAATGTGCACATAGTCTTATAAGACCCAGGAAGAATTGCTGCAATTAATGTCCAAAAAACACTTCATGTTCCTTTTATGTTCCTTTTATGTTAGAGTAGCCCACACATGGGTTTGCATGTTTTTATATTTGTTCGATGTAGGATGACTTTGCAGTTAGCATGTGCTTGGTTGGGAATTGATGAGATTATGCAGGGATATCGAAATGGGAAGCCATCCAAGGGGACTTTTACAGCAATGGGTTTACTATCAACCTTCATAGATTTGATTTAGTAACTAAATTACCTCAAAGCTGTATACAAAATTCCGTGCTTTTTTGCGCACTTGAACACTAGGATGTGACTGAAGTTTTTCATACATGGTTCGAGCTTCGTCTGGTCTGCCAATAACTTGTTGGTTATGATTTCTTTAACTACAAAAAATTATAATTAGATGCAAAAGAAGACGAGAAATGATTATGTGCATGCCTTTGGAGTGAATCTTGACAGATAGACCACTGCAAAGCAGCACGTCCATGAAGTTCATTCTGCAGAGAATTCAAATGAATAGAAAAAAATAGGGGGGGGGAGGTAGAAGCAAAAACACAAGTTCAGCATTTTAAGAGCTTATTCGTAATTACCCGGAATGGCATTCCATCCATTACTTTTGTATAAAATGGTATTGCTTCTCTCAGCTTCCCAAGTTCCATCAATGAGTCACCTTCACTCAATGCCTAGGCACAACAGTGCTATAATTAAGAAGTTAAATGCAATGACTCTCAATTCATACAAGAATGAAGTGTGAAAATACCATATCAGGAGAAAAAAATTCTTCAGTTGCATCATATATCTCATGTAAACTAATCTTTCCTAATTATAGTTTAGTTTTCCTAATATCTTGATTAAAATCTAGCTTCCCGGATCAACTTCCCAATTTCTCAAATGCAGTTTTACTTTAAAATTTGCAGGGCAATTTAGCCACTGATGCAGCGATGCATTTGAAGAAAGCATCAAGGCAGAAAGTATTCTTGAATTATACGGACACAATCATATGTACTCTGTAGTAAAACAAGAATTATCTTCACTAGAAGGCAGCACATGGAGCAACTAAATTGTTACTACCACCAACCCTTAAAAATCTTGCTAGTTTGACTTCAACAGAGTTAAAAAAATGTTGAAAAATGAAAAATGTGTGGTTAGAATTTGTTAAGGAGAGAATTTTTTAAGCCACGTATTCTTCTTCTTATAAGAGGAACATGAAGTGTTTTTTGGACGGACAAAAAACGAACAAGTGAAGATCTTTGCAGGATGAAGAAGCATATTATATTTCAAAGTAAAAGAAAGGGAAATTGAAAATACCTTCTCATATTCAAGTTTAAGCTTTGGATCAACAGACAAGCCTGCTTTTTTATCATAGGCAGCAAGAAGCTCTCTTGTTCGTGCATCTTTAGCTGCTTTCTCCTCTGCTGTTTCAAGTGCCTCGCCAGGTTTAATAATTCTTCCACCACCAAACTACAAACAAAAAAAATGTATAACAAGGTTGAGAACAAGCCTTTGAACATTAAATAGAACGAAAGATTCATCAATCAATATAATCCTTTGTGAGAATTTCAATTTTCCAGTCTATGCTCTTATTTTGTGCATCAATAAGAATTTTCACAACCCTGCAATGGAACTAGTCATGGGACTTCAAAAATAAGTACTTGTACTACCTCCGTCATCTCCGATGGGGCCAAAAATTCACTATTTTTTGGCTTTAGGGTGCGATGGAATAAAAACAAATGGATTTCTAAACTGCCTGCGCTTCTTTAATTAATGAAGTAGCAGTTAGTCAACCAATACAACTTTCGACACTGAGCTGGGAGTCTCTTTGAAAACAACCTATCTACCTTCGAGTAGGGGTAAGGTTTGCGTACACACACTCTGCGCTTCTTTAATTAATGAAGTAGCAGTTAGTCAACCAATACAACTTTCGACACTGAGCTGGGAGTCTCTTTGAAAACAGCCTCTCTACCTTCGAGTAGGGGTAAGGTTTGCGTACACACACCCTCCCCAGACCCTACTCTTGTGGGATTCAACTTGGTTGTTGTTGCTGTTGTTGTTGTTGAAGGTGTATGTATTTATGGTGAGTGTAATTTGGGTGTTACTTTTCAGTTTATCCTTGCTTTACGAAGGTAGAAATGTAGAATAGAGCGTGATAGGTAGATTCATAATGAATAAGTATGATGTGATAAGTAAGTTAATAATTAATAGATGCAAATAAGTGCTTTTAATTGAAAGAGGAAGAGTTTTTTTGGGATGGATGAAAAGTGAGAGAGGAAATGTTTTGTGGGACGGAGTAAAATATAGAAGGAAAGAGACAGTTGGAATGTTAATGCATCTAACAATGCTTAATTACTTATCTACCTCAGCCATCCACCGAAATATTTTGCATTAAATGTCCTTTGCATTCTTGGCCGAAATTCAAATTCAAAATAAAATAGTGGGTTCAAAACGCATTGCAGGTGATCGTTGTATGATATTGAATCTCTAGTTCTTTGTGCTCATTTACTCATTAGTCATTAGTATTATTGCATTTAAACAACTTACACTTTTAGAAATGTTGTTAGGTCTGGGGAAAACACCCCATGTGGAGACCTTTGGCTTGTACACATCCATTCCATCATCTTGAACCGGTTTAGGCTCTGTCGCATTTCCAAACTTACTAGAATCCCCAACTAGAATTTCAACCTCCGGAAACTTGCCGTCAGGGAAGGGGTTTGGCATTGGAACTAGCCCGGATGGCACTTGCTTCCCCTGCTTTTTATCAGAAAAATCAATACTAGAGACTGTAAATTCTTCCTTTTTTACTTTCTTTCCTTTTGGGGTAAACTATTCACAAGATCCAACATTACCTCCTTGTCATTAGGCCCTGGCACATAAAAACACACGTTTACCCCTCAATTCTGAGAAAATAACAGAGTCTCTAATTTTGAACAAGAGAATGCCGCAAATTAGTACAAACACAAACATTTAGGTTGAAAATGTTTGCTTCACACTAACGGCTGTTCTATAAAATGAAGAAAACATTAAACACAAATTTCTCATTTTTTTTGTCCTCCAACTCAATTTTCAGTTAAAGTACTTCGTAACATTTCCAACTTCAAAGATTGAATACGGAGCATTTAACAATGTTAATTTAGGTATACTTGTTTTGCAGCCTTGTCAGGCTTAATCAGTTTATCTTGTTTCTAAAGCAGCACATAATAAGTAACTCTTATTTTACTTATTTAGCATTGCTGTAAAAGCCGTTACAAGATGCTTTTGTAAATTCAGCATCCGGTCGTTCAAGTCCGATAGCTCTTACCAAAAACTGACCCTCACAGTTATTGTGAAACAGAGAGATTACTAGGCATAAAAATGTACCCGATTAACAAGATGCCTTTTTTAAAACAAAATACTCCTTGAAAGCATCAAGAATCATAAAGGGTTTATTTGGTTCACTTATGTGTTGCAGGTAAGGGTTGGGAAATCTCAAATCAATACTTCTCCTCCATACTTATTCCCTAAACCCCTCGAACCTGTTCTTCCCTATACCATCCGGTATCGAACTCATTCCCACATCGGTGTTTCTTCTATCGCTGTCCCAAGACTACATCAGCCATGGCAACATGACAACAACCAAACAGCCCCTAATTTTAAAAAATATAAATGCTTTCTCTGGTTGTCTACTTTCTACAATAGCTCATACTCAAAGAGTGAATGACAAATAAGTCCTAGAAAAGAATTTATCAAACAAAGAAGTTCTACAAAACAATATTGTATGAGAAAATAGGCAAAAGATCAAACTTTGACGAGTGACAAAAAAAATCTTTTTAGGACGAAGGACGGTTATGAGAAATGTACAACTAAATTCAAACAATCGAAATGGAATTAAAACAGAGAGAATAATAAAGTAAAATATATCAAAAACTGAAAAAAGGTAGAAATAATCCAGTTTTGTAAACCTGTGGCTGTGCCCGCAACTTTTTTGTTCATCTTATACTCCTTTGCTCTCTGGAATGCAAGTTTGACTGCAGAGGGCACCTCCCGCTCCCCCCTAACATACGCATCTTCCTCCTTCGACCCACCACTGCGATCTTCGATCTCTGCAGATCCTGGAACCTTCGGCCTCAGAAGAATCTCAGGAACTGGACTGGTTCCAACTGCTTTCTTGTACGCCTTGGCTCTGGCGAACGCAAGCTTCACAGCATCGAGCTTTCCAGATTGGGGAGCTGGCTCTTCTTCTTCTTCTTCTGGATTGGGCGATGGAGATCTCGGAGAAGCCGAGACGGTTAAAGTGTTGGATTTCAGGTGGGAGATAATGGTAGGGGTCCTGAGATAAATGAAAGCTGGGAATTGGGGAGCTGTTGCCATTGTCACTTTTGTTAACTCCAATCCGGTGATGGGATAATGGATGTGGATATAATCCCTCCTTCATAAAGATTGCAACTTCCTGATCAAAGTGCGGGCCTGGTCGGATTTCGGGTCGGACCGAGATACTACATCAGGAGAATGAATTTTCTAGGCCTGGGTTCGGCCCGAGCCCGTATAATGGGCCGAACAATTGAAGCCCAAGCCCGGCCCATATGGATACCCGCGGGCTTTGGCCCGGCCTGGCCTGCCCGCAAAAACTTCTTAATAGTTTAAAAATAATTTTTTTTAAAAAGTAACAAGTTAATATATTAGATATTTGATTTAATAACTATAATGAGTAAATGAAAGAAAAAACAATATATAAATGTATTTTGTAAAAGAAAGTGTATTTTAAATTTTAAAATACATATAAAAAGAAAGTGTATTGCAAAATACTCCCTATGTCCCAAACTAAATTCTATACTTCCTCTGTCCAAAAATAATCTTCTCATTGCGCGTTACGTTGTTTGACTGAAATCATTTTCAAAAATTTTATATGAAAATAGTGTGAAATTAAAAAATGGAAATTACATATTAAAATACTACATCAAAAAATCTACAAAATTAGAGGTGACATGACTTTATTATTTTATCAATTGAGTAACGAAAATAAGCCAACAAAGTGAATAATATTTGACCCTATGAATAGTGAAGGAGAAGAAAATTTTTGGACAGAGGTGAGATGCTTATATACCGATTAATTTTTGAAAAGTGAAACGAATCCATTGGTTTCTTTGACCCTATGTCGATGGTTTCTTTCTCACATTAAAAGATTGAATCCAATCGATTAGTTAGTTCAACTCAAGAGCTTATATACCGATTAATTTTCTCACACTTTTCCGATGTGAGATGCTCTTTAACAGTAACTCCCTTCTTTTTTACTCCCTTCTTTTTTAATACGTACAGAGTAAAATTTTCTTCTTTTTTCCGTTCTTTTTTTCGCCAAACAATTGTATTGTAGGCAGTATCTATTACTCGTAGAACACAATTTATGTACGTCTTGTTAACTACGGAGTATAACAAAAAGAAGACATGAATTTGATGATATGAATTGGAAAATGCTAGGGGTACACCAAAAGTGTACCCCAACATCCCCCACCCCCTCCATCACCACACAAAAAAGCAAGAAAAATTCAAAAAAAAAATAAAAATTAAAAACAAAATAAAATGAATGGTAAAGAGAGGGGTGGTGTACATTTGGGGTACACCTTTGGTGTACCCCTAGCATATCCCATATGAATTTGTCATCGATCTTATTGGTTTCATGACTACGTAGGGAGTACTTTCTAGGACATCCAAATTGAAGTGTGTCCTTGTTTAGCTAGAAAAGAGGGCACATCAAACCACATGAAGATGCATGCATTTTCAAATTTGGATTCAAACACACCATCTATACTAGCTAGTGAACAAATTAAGAAGACAAGTATTAGATAAAATGAGGTCACATTTTTAGTGTCCTCTTATGGGTTTTGGGAATTTTTGTACTCCGTGATAGATGATTACTTAATTTCTCCATTTCCTTAAATCTACTCTTTTCTTGTACTGTGCAGTACGCACAGAATAAGAATGGAAATAGAGAAAAGAGGGGTTCGGTCAGGGTTCGGAAGAGAGTTTCGAGAGGACAAGAGACACAGATGAATATTTTTTTTATTTTTCTATAACTAAAAAGCATCAATTTTTGTAAAGTGAAAAAAGAATCATAATCATGTCGGTTCAAGAAAGGCATCGAGGTAAAGAACTGAAAAGAAACCCTCGAAGGAGCGTGTAATATCGCTCACTTAAAAAAATCTAGATAATAATAAGTAAAACGAAGAAGTTAAAAATAAGAAACAAGTCTGACATAATCCCTACTCTATTATGCCCCGATCCGACTTGTGCGGGTCGGAACATAACCTCAGAATCCTCTTCTCCCTCAATTGCACGTTGCATGATCTTTCCCTTCCCCATGAACCCCTCTTGTATCCACTCCTCCAACATCTTCATCTTCATTTGTTCTGGATGTATTCGCAACAATCCAAGGGTGCTCTGCATAGTTATAAAAATAAGTTATACACACACACACACACACAAATAAATTACTTCCACCACACAAAAAAAAGCAAGTAGTGACACTTTTTTATACGTAGTAACGTTTAATGAGATTGTCATGTCATTTAAATTATTAAAAGTTCTTTAATATGCTTAAAAATGTCATACTCCGTATATTTTTTTTGATGACTAGAAGTATCATAATGTAAAATTCTTATTGCCAGCCTTAAAAAGAGTTGTTAAATTTCTTAATGACGCTTCCTTGATGTGTCATACTTTAATTTTGTGACATAACAAAAGATGACACTTTTAGGAAGTGTCAATATTTATTCAAGTAAATGACACTTTTAAATATCATAAATGATTCAAAAATACTATGTCATTGCTGCTTGTTTCATTATATTTAATTTCTTGTAGTCTTCCTATATATATAAGGTGCGGAGAAGAGTTTTGGAAAAAAATACACCTAATACTTGTTGAGGTGTTAGGCGAGATGCAGGGGATACATGGAGCATTCCTTTGATGAGATTGATGGCCTAAGGTGAGACATTAGGCCAGGGAGCTCTTTTGAAATCAGGTGGTGCTCTAGGCATAATCGAGAAATCTTCTGCATCTATATTATAATGGAGACAAATTTATGGTAATAATAATAATAATAATAATAATAATAATAATAATAATAATAATAATAGTAACAACAACAAAAACAACAAAATATATACTTACAAGGAACAACGCCTACGAGTAGCTCGTACAACGTGACACCCGCACTCCAAATGTCGCATTCAGGGCCATATTTTCTTTGAAGAACCTCAGGTGCCGTGTATGCCAATGTGCCTATATTCTCTTGTAAAATCTCACCTATTGTTTGATGAATGAGAGAGAGAGAGAGAGTCAGAATAATATTATCTTTTTAAAAATAGAGAACGAAGTAATGTATTAAATAATTATGAAAGTATGTACCCGGTGCAAAAAGAGTAGAGATGCCAAAATCAACAATTTTCACAGGAGTCTCTGACTCATCTTTGAATACCAGATTTTGGGGTTTTATATCCCGATGAACAATATGATTTGAGTGACAGACCTGATCGGAATGATGTATATGTATATAAGCCCAGGCCCAATCCCATGACCCATCCCTTAACTTAGCCCACTCCATGTGTACGCTGTAGACCAAAAAACGAAACGGAAGAAAAGAGTGCAAGTGCCGATCGCAGAAACCAGAAGGCAGAAACGTCAATGACTTGAAGAAACAAGAGAGCCGAGACTCGCTGCCTCCACCGCCGGACGTCGAGTCGCCGACCTGCACGCCTCTAGTCCCTCCACCCTCCAGGTAATCATTCATAGCCATTAGCCTTTCCTTTCCAATTTTGTACTTCGTAATTTTTATTTCTTAATCTTAATTTTCTTTCATTGTTTCATTTTTTAGATTTAAAATCTAGGGTTAATTATTAGTTTTTAATTTGAAATCTTTTCTAATTTCATTCTTTGAAATAGAATGAATGAATGGTTCTATATGTTATTTATTTGATTTGGATGAATTGATTTGAATTTGTTATTTATGATAATTATATATTTATATTAAAAAAACCGAAAACCGAAAAAAAATTAAAAACTGATAGATTAATGAATTGATATGAATTTATGATTTATAAAAAAATTAAAACTGAAAAAGAAAAAAACAATTAAAAAAGAAAAATTGACGAATTGATATTGATTTATGATATATTTATTTATTTATGATATATTTTGTCATTTATTTTTTTCCTTCAAATAATATTGCGTTAATTATAATTTAAATATAATTAGTTTACATATGTGAATTTTTTTAGACCATTAAAGATAAGACTTTTAGGGCTTTTTTTGTGTTTCGGCACAGGCTGATGAGGACCGGCCCTGACTACGAGTATTATCTATATACGGAGTAGTTAGTTAATTACCTGAATGCCCACGTCTCTGATAATGTTGGCGGCCTTGGCTTCAGAGCACCTTTTCTTCGCTGTGAGGTGTTGTGTGACGTTTCCGCCCGTGAGGAACTGCATAACGAAATACCAAGACGCCGAGTCCCTAATGCATTCGATGAACTTGACGATGTTGTCGCCTCAGGTCATTATTTCAAGCTCTCTCCTCGCCGTGAAGTCAACATGGGAACTGAACTCCTTGTGATGTATGACTATCACAGCGTATTGTTCACCGGTATTTCTAGCTGGGCACATGTAGACACTTCCGGATCCCCCTGCACCGATGCACCGATGCTCTGGACCCTAACTTCAAATTTTTCTTTCAACAATGTAGGTTTAAGAGCATCCCTCGAGGATGATAGTGAGAGTTGGGCAAGGGAGGAAGAAGCAATAGGCCCCTCTTGTTCCTCGTCGTCGTCCGTAGAGAGCCGGGGGTCCATGTATATCTATATTCCACAGGCAAAATAGTGAAATACATATATGTTTTAATAAAAGAAATGAAGAATTAATTCGGTTTTTTTCTTTAAAAAAACAAAAATTAATCAATCAATATATATACCAAATTTTTTTGACAAAATTTTTAAAAGCCATTTTTTTATGACAAAATAGTAAAAGGAAACCCGGCTTGGCCACCATAATGAATATACACAAACACACATGCACAATGTTAAAATAAGAAAAAAAGAAAAGAGAAGGATAAATGGAGTCATCATATATAGAAGATTCAAGAAGAGGGTTTGTGAGCTAAGAAATACCCTAACTTTCAAGAAACGGTAAAAACAATATTATATCATCATCATCGATCACCATCACATTCGCAGGGAAGGGAATGAAAGCTAAGACGATATATATATATATATATATATATATATATATATATATATAAATGGAGTACATGGTCGTAGAATTAAGATTCAAGAAGAAGATGGTCGGCGGCGCGGAATGAAAGTTGACGGAATTTAAAAACCCATTTTTTTATGAAATTGTAAAAGGAATGAATATACACACACGCACACACTGTGTTAAAAAAAGAGAAAAAAGAAAAGGATAAATGGAGTCGTCATATATAGAAGATTCAAGAAGAGGGTTTGTAAGCTAAGAACTAAGAAATACCATAACTTTCAAGAAACAGTAAAAACAATATATCATCATCGATCATCATCATCGTCACATACGCAGAGAAGGAAATGATAAATGAAAGCTTAGAATAAAGATTAGAATCAAGAAGATGGCCGGCGGCGCGGATCCCTATATCTATCTGCTGTGTTTATTTTCAAGAAACGTAACCCTCTGATCCTATACTACCCTATAAATGGGGATTGAATTGGAATTCCACCACGAAGGTACTAATAAGGAAGGAATGAATGATATGCATATACTTGATCGATCTATCGATCATCATAAATGGAGTAGTAGAAGATTATATTATATTCACCAATCAAGAAGATGTCCTGGTCGGACTATGTTTCTTTTCAAGAAACGTAACCCTCCTATAGTCATATACCCTATGGGGAATTCCCCTTTTCAAGAAGAAGAAGAAGAAGATGGAGAAGAGGGCGGTACGTACCTGGAGTGCGAGAGAGGAGAGAGAGTATAATCTGAGTTCGGGAGGGAGTGCGTCAGAATATGGCCGATGAGCTGCAGCCACTCAGTCTTTTATATAAACGTACTCCCTTCCCTATAATCTATTTTCTGCACCTCCCCTCTACGTGACCATTTTGAGGAGAGGAGGGGTTAACGGTCACGTAGAGGGGAGGCGCAGAAAATAGATTATAGGGAAGGGAGTACGTTTATATAAAAGACTGACTGACTGCAGCTCATCGGCCATATTCGACGCACTCCCTCCCGAACTCAGATTATACTCTCTCTCCTCTCTCGTACGTACCGCCCTCTTCTCCATCTTCTTCTTCTTCTTCTTCTTTTTCTTCTTCTTCTTGAAAAGAGGAATTCCTCATAGAGTATATGACTATAGGAGGGTTACGTTTCTTGAAAAGATACACAGTCTGGCCAGGCCATCTTCTTGATGGATGAATATAATATAATCTTTTACCACTCCATTTATGATGATCGATAGATCGATCAAGTATATGCATATCATTCATTCCTTCCTTATTAGTACCTTCGTGGTGGAATTCCAATCCAATCCCCATTTATAGGATAGTATAAGATCGGAGGGTTACGTTTCTTGAAAATAAACACAACAGATATATATAGGGATCCCGCGCCGCCGGCCATCTTCTTGATTCTAATCTTTATTCTAAGCTTTCATTTATCATTCTCTTCTCTGCGTATGTGATGATGATGATGATCGATGATCGATGATGATATATTGTTTTTACCGTTTCTTAAAAGTTAGGGTATTTCTTAGTTCTTAGCTTACAAACCCTCTTCTTGAATCTTCTATATATGACGACTTCATTTATCCTTTTCTTTTTTCTTTTCTCTCTTTTTTTTAACATAGTGTATGCGTGTGTGTGTATTCATTCCTTTTACAATTTCATAAAAAAATGGGTTTTTAAATTCTGTCAACATTTATTCCGCGCCGCAGGCTATCTTCTTCTTGAATCTAATAATCTTAATTCTACGACCACGTACTCCATTTATATATATATCGTCTTAGCTTTCATTCCCTTCCCTGCGAATGTGATGATTGATGGTGATCGATGATGATGATGATATATTATTGTTTTTACCGTTTCTTGAAAGTTAGGGTATTTCTTAGTTTTTAGCTCACAAACCCTCTTCTTGAATTTTCTATATATGATGACTCCATTTATCCTTCTCTTTTCTTTTTTTCTTATTTTAACACTGTGTGCGTGTGTGTATATTCATTATGGTGGCCAGGCCGGGTTTCCTTTTACTATTTCGTCATAAAAAATATGGCTTTTTAAAATTTCGTCAAAAAAATTTGGTATATATATTGATTGATTAATTTTTGTTTTTTAAGGAAAAAAAACCAAATTAATTCTTCATTTCTTTTATTAAAACATATATATTTTGTCTGTGGAATATAGATATACATGGACCCCCGGTTCTCTACGGACGACGACGAGGAACAAGAAGGGGCCTATTGCTTCTTCCTCCCTTGCCCAACTCTCACTATCATCCTCTAGGGGCGATGCAGATGCTCTTAAACCTACATTGTTGATAGAAAAATATGAAGTTGGGGTCAAGAGCATCGGTGCAGGGGCATCCGGAAGTGTCTACATGTGCACCGCCAGAAATACCGATGAACAATACGCCGTGAAAGTCATACATCACAAGGAGTTAAGTTCACATGTTGCCTTCACGGCGAGGAGAGAGCTTGAAATAATGACCCGATTGCCCTTGCACGACAACATCGTCAAGTTCATCAAATAGAAATCATCTTAAATAGGACTAAAACATAGAGAAAAGTACCAAAATAGGACTTTCATGTTTTTTTCCCGGAATAGGACTTTGCACTGTGGTAATGTGACTTTGCATTGTGGTAATGTGGCAGTGTACATGTGCAAATTACTATACTTTTGTGGTAATGTATATGACCATGTTTGGTAATGTAAGTCCTATTTCGGAAATAAAAACATGGAAGTCCTATTTTGGTATATTCTCAATGTTTTAGTCATAGTGGCATTAGGGTCAATATGCACATAGTCTTAACCCTGTAAAAACAGAGAACCAGTTTCCGTTAGACCCAGGATGAATTGCTGCATTTAATGTCCAAAAACACTTCATGTTCCTTTTATGTTCCTTTTATCTTAGAGTAGCCCACACATGGGTTTGCATGTTTTTATATTTGTTCGATGTAGGATGACTTAGCAGTTAGCATGTGCTTGGTCGGGACTTTTACAGCATTGGGTTCACTATCTTCAGAGATTTGATTTAGTAACTAAATTACCTCAAAGCTGTATACAAAATTCCGTGCTTTTTTGCGCACTTGAACACTAGGATGTGACTGAAGTTTTTCATACATGGTTCGAGCTTCGTCTGGTCTGCCAATAACTTGTTAGTTATGATTTCTTTAACTACAAAAAATTATAATTAGATGCAAAAGAAGACGAGAAATGATTATGTGCATGCCTTTGGAGTGAATCTTGACAAATAGACCACTGCAAAGCAGCACGTCCATGAAGTTCATTCTGCAGAGAATTCAAATGAATAGAAAAAAATAGGGGGGGGGGAGGTAGAAGCAAAAACACAAGTTCAGCATTTTAAGAGCTTATTCGTAATTACCCGGAATGGCATTCCATCCATTACTTTTGTATAAAATGGTATTGCTTCTCTCAGCTTCCCAAGTTCCATCAATGAATCACCTTCACTCAATGCCTAGGCACAACAGTGCTATAATTAAGAAGTTAAATGCAATGACTCTCACAATTCATACAAGAATGAAGTGGGATAATACCATATCAGCTTCAGTTGCATCATAAATTTCATGTAAACTAATCTTTCCTAATTATAGTTTAGTTTTCCTAATATCTTGATTAAAATCTAGCATCCAGGATCAACTATTTCTCAATTGCAGTTTTACTTTAAAATTTGCAGGGCAATTTAGCCACTGATGCAGCGATGCATTTGAAGAAAGCATCAAGGCAGAAAGTATTCTTGAATTATACGGACACAATCATATGTACTCTGTAGTAAACAAGATATTTTGTCTTGCGTCTTCGTCCTCCAGGATGGGGGGCCTCCGCTTCACTTCTTTAAATTTGTTTCGTTCTCCAAAATAATGTTCTACGAATAAAACATTGGTTGAAGTCCTCACTTCCTGGGTTGCTAATGACAATAACATGACACAACTCACAGATTTTTTAAGCAATTAGAAAAGAGCAACCAAATTTGAACATTAATTTGAGTTTAAAACTTCAAATCAAATAACAAAGTCACGATGCAACAGATTCGAGCTATCCACGAACAAATAAATCAGATTCGAGAGCCAAAATGACGGACATCATTTCACACAAAATCACGCCTGTAGATTCAAAGCTTACATGATGACGGGCATCAGTTCACACAAATTACCAGACTCGCGGTGCAATTTACAAATTCAACAAACAAAAGGCTGTGAAACGAGATATTAGACCCAGATTGAGAAGCTTACCCTTGAAACCGTGTCGATCTACTCTATTTCGCCGCTTTAGATGAAATCGGTTGTCAATCCGACTCCGTGCTCCTCGCAGCTTCAGTTCTCCAGGCTCGGTCGTCTCCTTAGCTCCAACCTCTGCTTCGTGCTAAACGAAGAGGACGATATTTGCTCCTCTGTCCGCTTCGTTCATCCATCTTCGACTCTTTCTCGCCTCTCACATCCATCTCAATTCCCAATCGACTCTTTCTGCGAAAGAGAATGCAACGGAGGATGGAGTATTAAGGTAGGTCTGGTAAAAAGTTTTATTAAGTAGGTAAGCTTAGGTAATTGAAGGTAAGTAATTGAAGGTAGGTGAAGTAAGGTAATGAGTTAACAAAATTGTGTTTGGATGTTTATTAGGTAACGTGATGTAGGAAAAGAATAAAATTACTAAAATATCCTTGTGATATTTTCTTTATTTGTTTAGAAAAAACAGAAAAAATTACCAGAAAAAACACTTAAAAAAAGATCATAAAAACCACAAAAAAACAGAAAAAAAAATAGTGAAATGAAAATTGAAAAAAGGGACACAAAAAAAACAAAATCTGGTATGAAGGAAGCATGGTATTGTGGAAATCTGGGCAATTATTCGGTTGAACCTCAATTTGACTTCACTTTTTTTTTGCTTCCTACAATTTTGTTTTTAATTGTAAAAGTGATTCAAGCAAAATTGAAGGAAGTATGGTATTGTGCAGAACAAATCTGGCCAACGCAAAGCAGAGCAGACCCATACGAAAAAAATTGAAAATTGAAGTGCGAAAATTGGAATACCTGTCTGGTTGGAGATGGCTATCGGAAGACGACGATGGTAATGTGAAGATGGCGATTGGTTTTCTATGGGGTACGGTGATTTGGGTAGTGAAGGATAGCTGCGGGAAATAGAATTTATTACCTCGATGTTTCGCCAAATTGGCTGTCATCCAAAATACACTATTCAGAGGTAACCCTACCTCTCCTCCCTACCTCCCACTACCTCTCTTTATCTATTTCAATTTTTGTTACCAAGCAAGGTAGAAAATTTAATCTACCTCTCTCTACCTCCCCTACCTCCAAACAAACATAGTGTTAAGCAATGAAAGCAAAGTCAGGCTATTGGTAAAGTAAGCTATAGTTATTAGTGAATATTTATAGAGTTAAATTTTATTTATTTGATTTTTTTTATTCTTGTTATTTATTTGATAAAATAATATAATCATGTCACTTTAAATTTTGTAGATATTTTGGTATAATTTTTAAAATAAAGTAGATTCCCAAAACAATACTAAGGGGTATATTCGACCTAGCCCCCGACCAGTCAAGACTAACCGGGTGGTTCGTGAACAGTACACAGCAAGATACTCTAAGACGGGCCCAAACCTGATTGGTTGGTTGCAAACCACCGGGGTGGGTTGACACCCGTGACACTACCGATTAGGGAGCGTGGCTTTGCTAGAGAGATCCTCAAACCACCAAGTCATTCCTTCGAGAAAACCGCCCGGGTGAGTCACTAGGACTTGTACTAGCATAATTGGACGATAGCGGTCAGAAGCATTACACGCCAAGAAAGACAGACACAGTAATTGTTAGTTCGAAGTTGTTAGTTAATCTTTTGGCAAAATTAAATCTCATATTTATTAAAAGTTTTACTAGATAGAAACATTTATTTGTTAGAGTATTCAAGATCTCTACTAACTTATTAATATTAGGATTAGGTTTGGAGATACCTATAAAAGCGCGGCATATTTCTGAGAATTCCTTAGAGCAATTGAGATGGAAAAACGTAAATTATACGATGGCGGAAAGTGTTTTCGTTGCATCATGGAGCTTCTTTTGCGTGAAAAAGCTATGATCTACATGAAGAAAAAGACTTTCAACAAAAAATAGATCGTGACATCTAGGAGTTGAACCAGAGTTGAACGATTGGGCTACCAACACGTTTTTCCTCATGATCTCGGTAGAAATGTGACAGCTGAAACGAATTTGTACATGGTACGAGTTAGAAATCTTATATTATAAGTTTTGTCATAACAATTCAGAAAAGTATTTTATCGTATTGTTATGTACCGGTGTAACTTAATCTAGTGATTTAGTGGGAGGCTATTACACAGATGATGTAGATTTTACTCGATATTATATATTTTTTATTTTTTAATTCTATACCAAATTTTAGCTATACTTGTTAGAAAAAATAGCTTCAACCTAACATTGTAAATCAAACAAATGTCTTATTTTAAGATAGAGAGAGTAATTTCTTTTCACTTTTCAAACAACTTTTGAGACCTGGTCAGACAATCTGTGAAAATAGATTAATTAGACTTTAATTATAAATAAATTGATGACTAGGTGTGGATGGTGCTACTCCATATACTTCCTCTGTTTTAAAATTAATTTCTCATTTGACTTTTAATAGTCTCCAATGTAGCACTTTGACCATTAATATCTTTTTTTATATAAATACATCTTATAAAAATAAATATTTCAACACTATGTCTCAAAATATATCTATTGATAATACATTAATATAAAAACTCAATAGTAATTTCCAATCAAAATTTAAAAAGTTTAACTGCAAAATTAAAAATGAAAAGTTGATTTCAAGAGGGAGGGAATGATAGAAGTCCGCTTGAAAGTGGTTGGAATGGCCTGGCCAGAGGTCAATCAAAGTACTAGAAGATAAAAGATATTGGTCAATAAGAATCCGGAGACGGCTAGGGGTTTAGAAATTCATTCAAATGACCTTTAGAAATTCAAACGAGGCCACATACATATAAATTATAAAACTTTAAGCACAAGGTATTATGGACTGATGGGTTGGTAAATTATTGTGGAGAAGATCATGAAACACAATATTTGAGAACATAAATACCACGAAAGCTAGCATTTAGCAATCATTTATCTGAAGACTCGAAAAGTGTGGTTGACACATGAGAAGCCACCATCAACCATGAGGTTCACCCCACTGATGTACCTCGCCTCATCACTCGCCAAGAACACCACCGCGTCCGCCACGTCCCGCGCCGTCAGCTCCACGCCGCGCAAGTTGGCGTTGCGGCCCGTGAGGGCCCGAAACCCCTCCATCGCGCCGGCAGTCCTCTCTTCCTCCGGCAGGTGCGCGAGCGCCAGCCCCGTGGGGACCGCGTACGGGGACACGCAGTTCACGCGGATCCCGTGCTTCCCCACCTCCGCCGCGACGTTCTGGGTCAGGCCCAGCACGGCGTGCTTGGATGCCGTGTACGCGTGGGTTCCCACGCCGGCTGCGACGCTCGCCACGCTCCCCAGGGAGACGATGGACCCGCCTCGCCCGGGCGGGATCATCGCCCGGACGGCGTGCTTCATCCCGAGGAACACGCCCTTCACGTTCACGTCGAGCACGCTCTCGAACGTGGAGAGGCGGAAGTCCCGGATGTCGGGGACGGGCGGGCCCGACGTGCCGGCGTTGTTGACCATTATGTCGAGGGACCGGAACGCGTCCACCGCGAAGTCGACCGCGCGGCTCACGTCGTCCTCCACGGTCACGTCGCAGTGGACAAAGCGCGGGCCCTCGGAGCTGTCCGCTCTGAGGGACGCGCAGAGTTGGAGGGCGAGGTGGTCTTGAATGTCAGCTATGACGACTTTTGCGCCGTGCTTGTGGAATAAACGGACAATGCTCTCCCCGATGCCACTCGCACCTCCGGTTACCACAGCAACTTTTCCCAACAATCTGAAATGGAACTCAAATTCATCAAAGATGAAATTAAGTAATCTCAAACCAAGAGAACTTGTGATGAAATGACAAAAAATTCATAAACAGTGCCCTATTTTATTTTATGTGCTGTCCATTTCTTCTATAATTATCAATAATGCAAAATTTTGATTGTGAAATACTCCATTAGTCCCAAATTGATAATTTGCATTTGGTTGGTTACAGAATTTAAAGAAAAAATGAAATTTTATGATTGAAATTAAAGTTTTATATTACCCTAGCAGTTTTGTGATGGAGGTATTGATTCATTATCAAATAAACATCTTCCCAAAGTCACAAGTAACTTGAACCATGTTAGATTTTATCCCAAATCGAAGTTGAATAAAAAAGTAATCGATATATAAGTTCTTGACTTGAACTAAGTAATCGATTGAATTAAATCTTTTAATGTGATTCAACTTAAGTGTCTTATAGCTTAATCCAATTATCTCTACCCAATCCTAAATTCTATCAAACCCCCATAAAAAAACTCAAGAATGTATAGGACTTGTGCTTGTTTGACATCATGATATCATGTGTTTCCCAACTAGTCATTATCTAGTCTCTACGTTTATCGTTTGTGTATGTCTTTGAAAAACTCTGGTGTTAAAACAGATTTACTCCTGCTGTGTCAAATCTTTAACAAGATTATGATGTATGTATAGGTTCTCTTCTGTGTTAAGCTAAACAAAAAAATAAATCAATTTCCTCTCAACTCAAACCCAAAGATAAGAGACCAGCAGGCTCTTAAAAGTTAAAAATGCAGAGGCCATGAAATCACACACCAAGACCAAGCCAAAAAAGAAAGAAAGAAAACCCAAACATGAATTGAAGGTATATATCAGATTCTCACACAAGATTACGAAGAGAAAGTGTATTGAGAAATTAAAAGAGCTCATATCTGCTGAGATCTCAAAGTCAACTGAATTAATTAATAAATAAACAGATCTTAGATGTTGATGTATTTATGTATATATATTATGCAGTAGTTAATTAATCACCTTTGGCATTGGGCAGGAAGAGGAGCTTCAGAAAAATGAGGTCCAATACTTGTGTCTGTAGCCATCAATAATGGAATCCTAATTGATATCCCAAACTAAAGTTCTAAACCTCATATCTTATACCCACTCAATCACTCCCCTATTGATAGTGTCCAAAAGACTAAAAGCCACCAAAACTTTGTTTATTTGTACATTTTAATTGATTATACGATAAAATAAGATATTCTTGTAATATCTTATTATGTGTATAACTTTTGATGTATTTGTTCAATATGTGGTCCATCTATCTCACAATTGATTATAATTTTTATTATTTTAAAATAATGACAATTTTTGTTTATTTTTCTAATTTTTCAATATTTGATAAAATAAAATATTTTTGTCACTTCTTATTTTGTAAAATTTTTTTATGTAGCTTTTAAATATATAAGTTGTATTTATTATTTATGTCTCTATCTTTAAATAAAATAAATTATAAAAATATGTTTTTTTTGTAATTTGTAATCAAAATAGAGACGGAGAGAATGTGCTTTATTTGGGGTGAGTGGAAGTAGATTAGGGTAGGATAATTAGAAACCGTAAATTTTTTTAACCGCCCGGTTCCGTAGCAACTGGATTTCAGTGGCAATAGCCACTGTCCTGATTCAAACACCCATGATGCTTCATTCGTAAAATTGATGATTCATGCCCATCCTAACCCATCCGGTAAACCCCCTACCAAGTCCCGACCAACGTCAATTGCACCCGCAATTTCAATTGACTTTGAGGTCACAACTTTAGACTTTAGAGTCAACTATACATGCATGCGGGGTGCAATTGACGTGAGTGGGGAAAGAGTTTGGGTAGGGACTAGGCAAGGGGTTTACCGAAAGATTAGAAGTGATATGAATCATCAATTTTACAAACGGAGCATCATAAGGGATAGTGACTTCTGTAGCCACTGAAATTCAGTGACTCCAAAATCAAAATTAACTTGTGGGGTGCAATTGAAGGGGGTGGGGGTACTCCGTAAGTATAAAGTCAAAACTTTTGACTTTAAAGTCAATTATACTTACGAGATGCAATTGACGTAGGTGTGGTGATTAGTTTGGGTCAGGACTTGGCGGAGGGGTTTACCGGGGGGTTAGGGGGGTAGGAATCATCAATTTTATGAACAGAGCTCCGTAGGGGGTAGTGGCTTCCGTGGCCACTGGAACCCAAAGGCCATAGAACCGTGATATATTATCTCTTATTTTGTACTCGTGTAGAATTGTTTATCTATTTTTTAAATATATAAATTTTATTTTTAAAATTTATAATTACAATCAAATATATTAAATTGAAGATAGAATCGATTAAACCTAAATATGCATTAAAAAATAAAAAATTTGGGCAAAAAAATGGACGTGACCTTGCTCAAAAAATAAAATCTAAAGGGACCAATATCTACTTCATAAATCAAATGGTCAAAGGTTAATGAAGAACTTGATTCACTGATCTTCTAATTTGCGACCACGAGAGATGGAGAAGAAAATTCTAACAATTGCATATAGTAAAAAACAACACTAGCAGTTTATTCTCAACTTAACTGGTATTATTCTAGCTAGCATTTTTGCAGCCGTAGAGATTCTCTTGGTGGAGATTCTTACTATCCTAATAAACTCTTCAAAGCTACACAAACTTAGACTTGGTTCTAAAATATTTTTTTCGATTTGCGTTTCCACATATAAATATTTTTTCTCCGATTTATTTATTTACCATATTTCGCTCTTCGGTCCGGTACCAAATTAATTTTAGACTTGTTGCCATATGGGCATTCAGATTAGTCGATAAGAGGCCATGATTGTTAAGTTGGAATAGTTGTGAGGTCAAAGCTAGAACTAAGCCCTTTTTTTAAATTTAAAAAAAACATGCAAATTGGCAACTAATTGGATGAGTTTTGAGAAACAACATTTTAGTCGCTGCTTTTTCTTTCGGATGTCTTTTTCTTTTTTACCTTTGGACATTCGTTGTTAATGACAAATTTAAAGTTCTCTATAAATAAAGTGCATTCAAAAAAGTAAATTGATCCATAGATTACAAAAAAATACACTATACTTTAACTTCCGTGTTCATAAATTAATTGACTATTGATCCTTGCATCCTTAATATAAACATTTAGAAACTAATGACAAAAAAAAAGAGGTACAAAAAATATGATAATGGAGTTTGACCAATTCCGAAAGACTCAAATCGGAGTCTGATAACTGTGTGGTTGCAGTGTCACAGTATAGTGGTGGACCACAGTCAACGCCAACGACCAGCGGCCGAGCTCCGGTGACCCAACAAGAAGGTAGGGAGCGGCAAATGCTACGACAACCTAATAGCGTCAGACAATTACAAAAGATAGTAGTGTGGCAGCAATAGATGATACTGTGGCGTGGCATATTGCCATTTGACACGATTTGATAATGATAGTATAGAATATAAACTCCTAATTAGGCCATGAGAAACTAAACCTCTTTTTAAATATTTTCATGCCTAACGACGTCACAGTGACTCTTTTAAATAAAAAGTCACACGTTCAATTTACAGTAACAGTAATTACTCTATGTACTTTATTAAATTGAGAAAATATGACCAAATATAATATTATAATCGAGTTATTAATATTCAAAAAAATTGAAAACCATAAAAAAAGCGGGGAACACTTTGAGTTATTGGGCTGTGATGCATCCAACCCAAGAGAATTTTTTGATTTACTACATGTAACATTGAAGAGAATAAGAAATAAGTAATGGTATAGTTGTAGTCATTAATTTGGTTGATCCACTCTGAATATACAATGTATATATACAACAAACCCAGGTTAACCCACTATAATCCAGTTTAATCCCCACATAGTTAGAATCTGTGGATCAAGATGTAGGCTATCTTACCCCTGTAAAAACAGAGACTGTTTCCTTAGATTCTTGATGCATTTACTACCCAAAAGTATCTCTCACAAATTTCAATAGCGCTCGAGCCGTACCAGTAGCTTAGCCGCCTTGAGTTTCAACGTTGCATGACCGTTGTGCGTCAGCTCAACAAGCAATGGCTTGGCTGACTCGCCATGTTCCATTATGTATGCTTCAACCCTGAAAACTCTTTCCAGAATCCAAACAGATTTCTCTTGAGCCACGGCGCTTCCAACTTCAAGAACCTTGATCAGAAAAGGGACACCCCTTTTCTTGACCAAGTAATCGCACCCCTTCTCCCAGATTTCGTCCTCCACCAGAGTCGCGATGCAGCTCAGGACAGATTCGTCTGCCCCCCTTTCGCCCCCTTGGAGGATTTGGAGCAATGGGGTGATTGCCCCAGCCATGACAATGCAGAATGTGGACCTGACAGAGCAGTGGCTGTCGTGGACTTGACAGAAGCCTTCGACAGATGGCATGCCACAAAACCATCTCTGTTTTCTTGATTTCCTCAGGGACAGCGAGGTTTGTGACAGCTGAGCCAGACAAATTGCTGATCTGTGTTTGGCTAATGTCGAATCGCATGACAGGAGATTGACGAGGGCAGGAATGGCCCCTTGCTCAGCAACATAATGCTGACATTTTCTATCTGAAGGGTGTGTGAGAGGGATAAGAGCACCTGCGATATTCTCAGCCATGTTTGATGAGATGGCTGGCGAAGTGTTTGGGCTTGAACTGATCAGTGAGACCAAACCGGGTAACAAGTTTTCGTTTATGATTGCGTAGGGGAAACTGCTTAGGATCCCTACAGCAGAAGCTTTTTCTTCGACAGACGATGACGAATCAGAGAAAATCTTGGCAATAATATGTACATGACTTTCATCCAGTTGTTCTGTCATCATCATCTCCCCATGCATGTTTTCAGAGAGAAGAATGTGGATTAACCTTAAGGCACCAGTTCTGATCTTGGGATAGGTTTCGACCAGAAATGGTAACAGAAGCCGAATTGCACCATTTTCATTCATTCTCCTTCGCACATTGGAGCCATCTGAATGTGAAGTGATACTGTTGAGTGCTTCCAGGAGATGGCACTGAATGACTGGGCTGGTCAGGTTCAGAAGGGAAAGCATCTTTTGAGCAATATCCGGCTTCACTAACAAACCCCCTTCTGATTGGGCAATTCTTGCAAGAATCGCAGACGCTGGTTCTCTCAGAGTCATGAGGATCGACGTGACAGAGAACAGAAGCTGAAGAAGGGTCAACACCACCCCCGAATTCACCAGGCGTTCGACATTTGCTCTCAATCCAGAGAGATTTTGCAGTGCGCTAAGAGCCGATTGCTTAGACTCGAAATTCCCCTTGCTGAACATTTTCACTAGTGATTCGACCGCTCCATCTTCTCCTAGCAAAGCTCTACTTTTATCCGTGAGGGTCATTCTCGATAGAGCTGTTGCCACTTGGACCTTATTCCTCATGTCAGAACCTGTGTCAAGAAAAAAAGATTACTATTGAGACATCGGTTTTATTCTGTTAAGTTGGAAAAACAGAGTTGGATGTTGGAAAAAAAACTGAAAGAAGCAGCAGAACCAGCCTTCTTTGAGGTAGCGCACAAGAGGCTTGAAGTAACCAGCTTCCGCAATGTGAATAGCATACTGAATGTTGGTTGCGAGGGAATCCAGCAGATTTCCTGCATCATTGGAAGCCGCGGCGTCATCACCATTGAAAATGGCAACCAACATAACAATGAAGCCAGGAATTCTGCCAAGTCTTCTTCTAACAACGGCAATGTCAGTGAGAGTGGACAGCAGCATGATTGCCTCTCTCTGCTCATATTTGTCCCCAAACAATGACTTCACCAGTGTGGACAAGAATCTTATGTCCCCCATCTTTCCCTGCATTGATCTCACTCTTTAGGGATAAACATTTCCCAACCAACTTAATAAGAATCGTTTACAATTTTAACCATGGGATAAACATGTCCTAGTGTCCTAGAATGAACTTGCCTTGATGTCATTGTTCCGATCAACCAGCCTTCTCAGTGTGTGAATTATGGTCGATCTGTTGTTCGACGTACTTGAATTCAACCGGTTGAATAGAATTGGGATAATCTCTTCTTCTTCTTCTTCTGCAACATTACTTTCAGTGATCAACAAATTCAACCCAAAAAGTGCCTGCTCAAGCTCTTCATCATTGCCATATTTGAGCCGCAGCACAAGACTGCAAACATCTAGCAGTGTCCTGTCATCATCCTCTTCCACAAATTCAGCCGGCGACAGGTGAAGGTCGTAATAGAACTCCGAGAATTTCTCCGATCTGGAATTAGACCGTAAACTCAAAATCTCATTCCTCAAATCCTCAGCCTCAGATTTCTTGGCCATTTGAACGCCATGGCTCGCAAATAGCACAAACCCTAGAGACCTCTCCAGATTCTCAGTCAGCTCATCCAGAAGCTTCTGTGGCAGCGAATGTCCATTGCTCAAGCTTTCAGACAACACATTCGCGCTCATATACTCGGCTTCCAGTGACTGAATTGCCTCCTGGATTGTTGGATCGCCGACCAGACTCTTGTCATCCTTCATTTTAGTGAGGATTGGGGTAAGTTTCTCAATGAAAACCTGGAAAATTAATGAAACATCACCAGCCCCAGTTGATTCAGAGCTTGCATCTTCATCAATTGATGATGATTGATGGCCAGATTTCGAGGAAACCTCATAGTCTGGTTTGCTATCATAATCCATACTCTAACAAGACAGACGATTATGCAGAAAGAGGCCTGGGACTGCAATAAGAACGAAAAAGCTTGAAGATAAGTATATAAACATAGATGAAAAACAAAACTGTAATAATAACTGATTGACCAGATCTTTATTGACTGTGTTTCTTCTTTAGCAGGGATTTGAGTCTAAAGATATGACAAGACATCATCTTCACATCCCCTTTTTCTTTTTTTGGTGCGAAAATTGAAAACTATTGGAGAGCATTTCCCCCTTTTTCTTTTTACCTTTTTCTTTTTTTATCTCTTTCACATTCATCTACTGTGTTTGAGATCGAAACCCTAACCGCCACCGCAGGCCCCGCCGGGGACATCAGCCGATCACTGCCCTTTCCTCGCAGCCCAGACAGCTTCCTCTGATAGCGAGGGACCGGAGAGGGAGGGAACAGAAGGGGTTTAGATTTCTCATTATCGGAGTATTTCTTTTCTATATCCCTTAAAAAAAAGTGTTTCAAGAGATATTTCTTGTTTATTTTATTTCTTTTTTAAGGATTTTTCTACACCATTGTTATAAAGTGAATTTGATGTATGTGCAACAAGGGAGTTATGAGGTTATGAGCAATACAATAAATTATTTAAAAGAAAGTTGGAGAAAATTGAGGGAAAATTCAAAAAAAAAAACGAGAAGATAATTATGATATGGATTGATTATCTTAAAAGTCAAAAATTTCTAATATTTAACTTTTTTTATTTCCAAACAACAAATTAAATTGATAATTTTTTTAAAACTATGAGAGTTTTTTTTATGAAAAATTTAGAATTTTGACATATATCACGCATACGTCAAACAATTTCTTTTGTTACGGATAATTATTATTCATAGGTTTTTTTTTGACAGAAAAACAAAACTTCATTCAGAAGAAATTAGATGTGCAATCCAGCTGGGTGGTGTACTGCTCCATGAGACAAAATGGGGCGTAGCACAGCGTGCAAGAGTATGAGCAATACAATTATGATTCCTACGAATAAAATGAAAGCCAATAGATGTAAACGAAGATAATAATTCAACACAATCATCAAGGATGAGACCTATATAAGAGTAGCACTCAAAGACCCTTTCTTGCTTGATAGCCCCCACTAAAACCTCACAATCAGAAAGAATTTCAACGTCACGAATACCTCGATTCCGCAACCAAGATAATGTTTCCTTGCAAGCGAGAGCTAATTATTAGTATAAACATATCAAAAATACAATGTTTCTCTTTCCATGTCCTCTCACTCCATCTCTCAAAATACTACCTCCGTCCCATTGTCTTTGTCCAGTTTTGACTTTTGGAACTGTTCATCTAAGCACTTTGATTCATTAAATTCTCTCAATGTGTAAGCTTAAAAATAGTCATGTGTGATCTTGTTTGATTCGTATTAACATGTAGATTATTAATATATAATTTTTATAATTTTTTAATATACAAATTACAAGATAAAATGGATTAAAGAAGTGTATTGGATGATGTGCAAAAATGAAAGTAGACAAAGACAGTGGGACGGAGGGAGTATCATTTATGTAGTTTCTCCCTTTATGATTGCATTCATAAAAAAAAGAGAGCAAGTGGGTCCTCTTTTAATTTATTTTAAATTTCTAATTTTCATTCATGGATATACTGAATTCGTACAAAATATACTTAATTTTCATTCATGGATATAGACTCTATGTTATAAGTAGAGTATTATTCTGATTAAAATAATAAATCAAAACAACAAGAGAAAATGTAAGAGTCAAATTAGATCTTGTTTTTAGTACATTTAATCTAAATATTTGATCATTCTAAAGAATAATCATGTCACCTCTTATTTTATAAATTTTTAATGTATGAATTAAAACATATGTTTTTATTTTATGTCAATATTTATCTAAATATAATAAACACTAACTTCATTAAAGCATGTTAAAAACAAATATGAAAGTTATGTAAAAGTAACTTCTTAAAACAATTTTATGAAAAGAAGTAAAAAATTTAAAAAATAGGAAATCTTATTCTCATAAACTGTTAAACTTAGTCAATGATAGTGAAATCAAAAACAATTTTGGTTATCTTATTTTCAATAATCTCACAAATCTTCATAAAACAATTTCACTTTTTAATGTTATTTCAAACAATTCTAACTTTTCAAGTTGTTACCCATGTTGGGAAAAAGTTGATAGAATGATGAATTGAAAATGCTTTTATTTTGTTATTAACTAAAAATAATCACATCTTTCGTTAAATTATGCAAAATAATGTTATCTTCTATTGAGTTGGGTATAATAATTTCATTTTTTTTCTTTTAAAGTTTTTGTCTAAATCCATTTTTATTGATAAAATTTTTTAAAAATTAAATTGAACACAATGACAGTTGTAGTACAAAATTATTTTAATAGACCACAAAAAAAGTAGAACCACTTTTATTTATTTTATTTAAAATAAATAAAATATAAAATAAACTAATTTTAACTTTTTTAGTTAACTAGTTTATTTTGCATTTTTCTGATATTAGTGTTAAAACGAGTTATTTTGTACTACATATTTATTTAATTTTGACTAAAATAAAAAAGTGGCTCCACCTTTTTGTGGTACACCAAAAAATAATTGCCCCAAAGTTTTAGTTGAGCTATTTTTTAATTTTTAACTAAACCGGTATAAACTCTTCTTGATTAACAATTTTTTTATACATTTATTTTAATGACGACGGACTTATGCAGTTATGCAAAACATAAAAAAAAAGTTTCAAATCAGATCATTACATGCAATTCAATAGAAGGTGATATTATTTTGCACAACTTAACGAAAGGTGAGATTATTTTGAGTAATAACAAAAAATGAATTTTCAACTCATTAATCTGTTAACTTCTCCGGTAAGAGGATAACGGTAATGCATAATGCATAACAACTTAGAGTATGTTTGGTTAGAGGCACATAATGTTTTATTATGTAGGTAATGATATATAATTGAAGGTAGGTAATTGAAAGTAGGTAAAGTAATGTAATAAGTTAAAGAATTGTGTTTGGATATTTATTAAGAGGGTGTTTGGGATTGCATTTGAAAATAACTTATAGCTTGTACTTTACTAAAACACAATTTTGATTGTTTGCTAATCTATTTTAGCTTATAAATTATGGCTTTAGAAAGTAAAATTAAGGTTTAGAAGTGCTTTCTAGCAAAGCTAAAAATACATGCTTTCTGCTTTTAAATTACGTCTTCTACTTTTACATAACTCACGACACACCCAAACGCGCAATTTGAGGTAGGTAAAACAATAAAATTACTTAATATTCTTGTGCTTGATTTTCTTTATTCTTTTCTTAAAGTGACTTTCGTCGAATCAGAATTGACCTTATACATAAAATTATATAATATTCTAATTACGTAAAATAATATTTTGATAATTATTTATAAGGTAAATGTAATAAACAAATTGCATCAATTTCAAACGTTCTACTTCCACAAACAACAAAAAAATGCAGAAAAAAATTAACATCAATTTCAAACATTCTATTTCAACAAACAACAAAAAATAGAAAAAAAATTCTTGCATCAACTTCAAACATTCACTTCGACAAACAACAAAAAAATACATTTTTTTGCATCAATTTCAAATATTCTATTTCAACAAAATTCAAAAGAATACAGAAAAAAGCAAAAATACATATAAAAACCACAAATAAAGAAGAAAAAATACAGAAAAAATTTCAAAAAATAAATGAAAAAAGAAAAGTGAAAAAGGAGAAAAACTGAAGGAAAAAACAGGGAAAAAATACATACTTTCAATAGTTAGCAAAAAAGTAAAAAATTGTACCTGAGATGAAGATCTATCAGCGATGGGAGATGAAGATGTGCGTCCAAGTGTGGCGATGGGAGATGAAGCGGGGAATGGATAGATAAGTGAGATCGGAAGAAGAAGAAGAAGAAGAAGGAGAAGGGCAGTTGAGGAAGGCGTAAATTTTACCTAGATTTCTCGCAGAATCGGCGAACACCTATTTTTAACTGTTACGAGGTCACATAACCTCCATCCACCTCCATTCACCTATCTCAATTTCTTCTCTAAATAAGGTGGATCTTAATTCTTATCTTGTTCTACCTCCCTCTCTCACCATCCAAACACAGCCTTAAAAAATTAAGATTATGTCACATAACAATTGTATCTATCATAATACCGGAAAATAAGATTATTTCACTTGTCATTATGGCAGAAATGTTAAATTATTTCTGATAATTTCACTGTGATTTTGATTTTCACAAATAAAAATTGTCTCTAAAATCATTTAGGGAGTACTCCGTATCATAAGAGCATGGGGGATTGAGTATAAAAGCATACATTAGGGGTGGGAATGTAATATTGAAGAAGTGGGAATCGGCCGGAACCAATAAGAACCCAGCAATAGATCTGGCGCCTCCAGCCACAAAGTCAGACACGTTCATTACACGTGGCAGTATGGCTGGCCACAAACTTCAAAGCCCCCAACTCTTCACGTGGACTCGGGCCCCACTCCCACCACCCTCTACCCGCGCCCGCCTCCCCCCTCCGTCTCTCTCGCCTCTCTCTCTCTCTCTCTCTCTCTCTCCCCCCGTATCTAAGGTCTGAGGCAAAATTCCGGCGAGGTTATCGGGAAAGCCATCGCGCCTTAATCATCTGCTGTAATATTCTCGGAAGATCGCTTCAGGCGACCGGATTCGTCTCCGGAGTGACCCGAGCAGAGACGATTTGGCGATGTTCAGGCTAAATCTGGAGCGTTACGTCGGAGACTGTAGCTTTGGAATCGGAACATCGTTGTTCTTTTTATCTTTCAGCTATGTTTGATTGGGACGACGAAGAGGTTATCTCTCTCTTTCTCTTTCTCTTCTTTTCCATTTTACTCGTGCAGAAATCCGGATTCGTTTCCATTTGGTTCATTTAAAGGTGAAATTTGGGATAATCGAAGTTTAGCTCCTCAATGGTTCACTCAGCAAGAGGAGATTTTTTAACCTTAATGTTATCTGTCACTTCTAAAAGGACCAGAACTTCTCTGTTTTACTTGATTCTGCAATAGTTAAGACTTTTGTTGAAGATCCACAAGTGTTCAAATCTCTAGTATGTACTGATTTTGGTGATATGAATCCAATTTCTGGTTCGACTTTCAAGATTATAGAAGGGGGACATGGAGTTGAGAGGATACTGTTTTACTATTCTGATGTCCTTTTTCTTTTCTCGTGTTCCTGAATGTGCATACTGAAGTCTTCTAACTAGTGATTTGGACGGTCGGTTCTATCAATCTGCTTTGTGTTTACCACCTGATATTTAGTTGGAAACTTATGCTTAGGATGTAACAATCCTTTTTTTTGTTTTATTCAGTTATCGGAAATAATATGGGGCGAGACTGGGGGAGATAATGATCATTTGGTTCCATATCCAGTTGAAAGGGATGTGAAACCTCCAGCGTCACATGGGGATAGTGTTGTAGAGGAATGGAATATTGAATCTTTCAGGGTTAAGCCCGGCCACCAGAAGAAACTTGACACCAAAAGTGACTCACATATTAGGTTAGAAAGCAGTTCCAAACATGCAGCAGATGAAGCCCGTCCTGCAGTGGCTTTGAGTATGGATTCATGGTCCGCCCTTTCCTCATCCACAGAACCATCAAAAAGTTCAACAAAAATTTCAAAACATGAAGGTGCAACCTCTTTCTTCCTCATAGAGTAAACACTTACAAAAGATTCATCTTGTTTTTCATGTTTTTTAGCAGACGGGTCTATTCAACAAGGAACCAATTCTAAGTTTTTTCAGAAGCAGCAAGAGGATGGGGAGCAAAGTGATTTTATTGATTATGACTGGGATAGCATCAGAAGTTTTGATGACCTGGATAAGATCTTTTGGTAAAAAAGAGCTCTAAATACAAAGTGTGATTATTAGCTGTTACATAAAACAGTAAATTTAATGTTTGTTGGTGTGTGCGTTAGTCCAGCATTCTTGATCCTAATCAACTCGAAAGAAATAACTTCTTCATATATACTGTACGAAACTCATCTGCCTCTGTTGCATGGTCACTAAAGACCTTTAATATTTGTTGTTGTTGTTGTTGTTGTTGTTGTTGTGTGGGGGGGGGGGGGTGTTAGCATCAATGGTCTCAGCCTTACCTAATATTCTCATAACTGATACTCCATATTTTACAGCAGTGACGATCCAATATTTGGGCATGCAAGCCTTCCCAACACCGATGAGCTCTGGTCTTCTACCAAGGATCTACCAAGTAGTCCTGAGAAGCATTTTCCCATGTCTATCGAGTCCCCAAATTTGGGGTTAGGAGAACTGAGGAGCACAATAGAAAACTTTGAGACTGAAGAAGAGTACATGCTAGACCAATACCAGCCATTCTCGAGAGCTTATGATGAAGTGAATAATATCGTGCCAAATGTTTCAGAGATGATACCCACATATGATGGAGACAAAGAAATTCCCGTCGTGAAGCAACAGGTGAAGGAAAAAAATTCTTGGTTTTCTGTTTGCAAGTTTCAAAAGCTTCTTTTTATCGGCAAGGTTCTCATGACATTGAAGTTCAATGTCATGGGATGATATTGGCTCTAATTGAGGCACCACGGTGCCCGGTTCGTAAAATTGATGGCTCCTACCCCCGGTAAACCCCCTCCACCCGACCTGACCCGAATCCACCCCCATCCCCTTCAATTGCACCCCCGAACTTAGTTGACTTTGGGGTGCAAGGGTGGGTTCGGCTTGGGCCGGGGTGGTGTGAGGTGGGGGGTTACCAGGGGCTTAGGGGTAGGAATCATCAATTTTACAAACGGGTGCTTCAATTGGAGCCAATGTCATGGGAACCAGAGTTGGCTGAGTGCCTCTTTATTGGGTTGTGATTTTACACAATTACACTCATTCATTAGAAATAAGTTTTTGCCAAGAATTGACTCTTGTGCTTGTCTTGGTTTTGATAGACAGCTTTGGAGTTAGGGGGAGAAGTCCCAGCATTCAGTTTGCAGCTTGACACTAGAGTTATTGGAACACCTAATCAACCCATGGGAAAGGTATTCTTCTTTCCCTTCCACTTTGCCACTGAGATTCAGCTAGCATGTTTAGTAACTTTTATTGATAGAAACTGTGGACTTTCTTTCACTCTTCCCTTTGGTTATTACAAACTGTAGACTTTCTTTCACTCTTCCCTTTGATTGTGTGCTTTAAATTCCGAACCTTGCAAAAGATGACTACAGGGCAGAAAAGTTCTGTGTTGCAGACCTAATTAGTTCAGTGACCTTATTTCTAATACCTACATACATGTTTCTGTTTTTATGTTTACTGTTGTTATAAATCTACTTTTTTATTGTTGTAAATCTAAGTTTGTCCACTTCTGAGTGGATCTTTCCCCCCATGATGGTGTCTGTTAGTGCACAGTTATTTGGGTTCTCTCTTATCACGCTACATTCCCTACAGAGAATTGAAGCAATCCCAGTTTAGGGACTGCTTAATAAACAACGTTTCATATTAGTATTATCCTTTTTTATGCATTTGAGGTGTTTGGTGAAGTAGCCTTTTGAATAAGCAATATGCTCAACACATTGTTAATTTGGAAATTCCGATTGGATTGTATTTTGTGAAACAACATTTGAGCATAACATGTGAGTTTTAGTCTCTTTAGCATTCTGCTAAGTTACTAAACATCTAATAAGCTAGTAACTTGTAACTGCTTCAAACATGCTAATACAAACTTTGACTGGCACATGCTAACCACAGGATCTGTGTGGATCGTGGTCAACATCCATCAAAGAACTCAGTAGCCAATATGCATCCGTGAACCAGCAATGTCCGTCGGTTGTCCTTTCTCAGCCAAACCATCTCCAAGGTCCACAATCTTTGCAATACAATCAAAATCTAAGCTCTCCTACGTTAGCTTCTCATGTGCCTGGAGATTTTGCTAATCAGTACCATATGACTTTTACACCGTTCAATGCTGGTCCCACACTAAAAAGTGTGACAATGACGCCCCGGGAGAAAATTGAAAAATTAAGGAGGCGACAACAAATGAGAGCCATGATTGCTATCCAACAAAAGCAACAAGAGTTCAGCGACCAACCCTTATCTACAAACCATTCTATGGAAGTTGAAGGTAGTTTTGGCCCTCTTTCTTCTGTTGTTGACCCAAATTCGCCTTCAGAACAGAATGGTGGTTCTAGTACAGCTGGCGTTGTGGTTGAAGATCATTCCGGGGAAGAATCAGTACTTAATCGGCTTCAGGAAATCATCTCAAAGGTTGTAAGATATTTCTAGAAAGTTCATCTATAGCCTCTTCCTTACAACGAAGCACCCACAAATTACTTAACCAAAAATATGTTTCTTCATCAGCTTGATATACGGATTAGACTCTGCATCCGAGACAGCTTGTTTCGCCTGGCTCGAAGTGCAGATCAAAGACAACACGCTGATAATGACACAAACAGCACAAACAAGGGCATTCAAGAATTAGTTGTCAACCAGGAAGAAATAAACAGTAACAACAGGTTAGTGATACAATGCATATTTATATTCTATTGTGAAAAAAGGAAGGAAATCCATAAAGGTCTGTTTGGAACCTGGGAAAAAGTGAAGAATGAAAAGGTCTATTATGTACGTAAACCTTATCCCTACCTACAAGGTAGAGAGACCGTTTCAAACTTAGAATGAAATTTTTGGGAATAAGTCAAAAATAAGAAAAAACAACCCAGAATCCCACTAAAGTACGGTATGTATGCAAACCATACCCCTACGGTATTTGTTTATTTCAATTACTCTCTCTATCCCAATATAAACTTCTCATTTTTCTTTTAGTTTTGTCCCAAAATAAAATTTTGATTCCTTTTAAAGCATTGAGTAGTTCACATTATTTCTCTCTCCTATGCATAAATTTCAACACAAATTTTACTTTTTAAAAACTCTTTGAATGTCAAAGCGAGAAGTTTAATTTGGGAGGGAAGGAGTATTCTTTAGGGAAAATGAAATGTGATCAAATGTAATTCAAAAAAACGTTAATTACATAAGTTTTATTTTACTACGCATATTTAGGATGAAACCAAACAAAAGAATATAACTTTCTTTAGCATTTTTTCCCCTTTTTCCTAGCATTTTCCAGGATCAATGCGTATCACTGGGTAACAATTTTTCTTGTTTGGTTAAAGAGGAAAAGAAAGGAAAATGGAGCGAAAAGAAAATGAGTAGTCAAAATGTATTAAGAGGAGGGAAAACCAAATTCCTCCCATTTTGGTGAGGAAAACGAGAGAAAATCATTTTCTTTTATTTTCCTTCCACATTTCTTGAACCATAGTGTTAGAGTCAAGAGAAATTGCTACTTTTTGTTGTATGCAGTAAGTACAAGATTGCTAGATTGCCAAATGTAGAGGCTGAAACTAATCCAATAGACCGCACCGTTGCCCATTTGCTATTCCATCAACCCATGGAAGTCTTGTCAACAAAAGCTGCAGAATTGCCTCAGCCCCACCCTCCAGATAAGCTCTACTATGATAGTGAATCCAAGAGGAGCCTGCCCCCCAGCCATCTTGTTACATCTCATGGCTTAAAAGCTCCTAGAGCTCATGCAGAAGGGGAGCAACCCCAACACAACCCTTGCTTGGAGTCTTGTTCTGAGAATGCAACCAAAAGTGAGGCAGCAGATAGCGGGGTAATGTTGGTCGGTCCGCCTTCAAAATGAATCAAATGGGAGACAAGGGTAATTCTGTCCTTTTATCATTTATTAATAACAAAGGGTATGCATGCTTATCTTTGTCCTGACTAAGTATTTAGTAACATTGAGCTATCTTTCCTTTTCCAGCCAACTCGATTCGTGCCTTCAAGAAGTGACCTTTGTAATGTTGAAGGTACAGATGAACTTCATGTGATTGATGCCTGTCTTTTGCATCTCTACTCTTCATTCAAAGACGTGTTAAGAACCACACCCTCGCCTTCCTCCCCGTTCATGGATCCAGTATATTTTTAGTTTAGTAACAATAGGAAGTGTAGCATTAGGCTTCTCTGGGGTTCAGCGGTTTTGCCTTTTCTGCATTATTATGCATGTATTTTGGTTTTTGAATTAGCTCCCTTCTTTCTTGAATAAGTGTGGCTTAAAAAAAGATTGTTCCCAATTAAGTCACTTTCGATTATCAATATATATCAATGCTCAGTCTCACACAATAATCATTATTCAACGTTCAACTGTGTTCGCTTTGTTTAGTGTTTCAGTTGCTTTTTTTTTTCTTCACACTATAGACTTACATTGGATTCTGAATTTTTAACCACATTGTCTAATCAAATGCAGACCAAGTCCCATGAAGTTCATGTTGCTAAGGGCGTGTTCTTTTGTACTGAGCTAAGTGCTGTATAGTTGAATAGATTAGTTAACTAGACGTCCTGGATTTAAACTAGTTGAAAAAATAGCTCAATGGGAGTGATGCACGCAGGCCTGGTTTGTCTTAAAATAGACGGAGTAACTCTTCTTTTTTAAAATGTCTCAAAATAAAGTTCTTATTCCACCCGGCATCAAGAATAGGATTTCATTTTGGCCGGTTGCTCCTATCCATTATATTTGTGGGCCATCGCGCATTAGGAGCAAAGATCTCTAACCTCGCGCCCATTAGGAGATACTCTCCTGGCATTCGAGTTGCTATCCTCTTGCTCGAAGGAGACTTTCCAGTGATGTGTCCCCTGTTGCAGTCGTGTCAATGATGACTCCATTTGGGAGGCTCAGGAAGAGCCCCGTCTTGAGCAACGACAACTAGCATGTTTTGCTATCGTCAGAAGAACGGGGAAGATTGTTATAATGATATTTTCTCTCGCAATGCTTGCACCTATGATGGATTTTGAGATCCAGAGTTAGAGAGATTAAACTTTAGAAAAAAAATGTTGGATTGTATTGTCGGAAAGAAGGTCTGGCTTCTTCTTCCACAAGTAGGGGAGGTATTTATAGATAAATAAGAGAAGCACATCTATGAGGAGAAGCCTAAAAGCCAAATAATGAAGTATGGGGTCAGTCCTAACTAACTACTCTAGAAGGGCATGATTGTGAGTTAGATGAACTCCTGATTGTGGTCGATAAATTTTTTTTAAATGATGCCGATCTCGACCAATGGAAGAGTATTGGGCTGAGGTTGAATGATCTTGAGCTCTTAACTATCTCGTTCATGGTATCCATCAACTACCCTAGTTTTGCATTTTAGTTTTGTCCATTTCTTTAAAAACAGTCGAAGAATACCCTCATTATTTCTTTATTCTCTATCCAAAAAAAATGTTCTATTTGTGATATATGTTGTTTGGCTTGGAATTAATTTTAATTCAATTTATTAAATAATTAGTACGAAATTTAAAATTTAATGTCACATACAATTTTTTTATAAATTACATAAATTTTGGAAAACAAGGAATGACCCAATCAAATTGGANGTGGGGTGGGGTGGAGTGACTAGTGAGGATTGTTTTTGCTAATCAACTCCCATTGTAGCCCCCGACCTGATGAGCTTTGAGTCATCCAGCACTTCTGCACCAAATTATTGAAAACACAGGGAGCCGCAAGACCGCAACAGATGGTGCTCGATAGGCGTGACGGCATCGCCTTCTCGGACTCGAGATTGGCGACGGAGTTCGCTGAAGAGCGGCGGAAACTGAGGCGCTGGATCTACTCGCCGGCGTCGGAGTCCGGGGTTGATCCTTATTGCCACCACCCTCGTCGTAACATTAACAACCTCGACGACGGATGTCTCATGCACATCTTCAGCTTCCTTTCCCCAATCCCAGGTATCTATATTCATATATCATAATCTTCCGTTCTATTCCCTGCCTATTTAAGGAAGCTCCGAATCTTCGTTTGTTTGTCTATTACACTATTGAATTTTGAAATTTTGTGCCTCCGCGATCTCCAATTATGCTATTAAAAGGTTAAAAGCTTCATCACTGACCTTCTCATTTTGATATTAAAGCTCTAGTTTTGTAGTTATTACTGTAAATCAGAGTTCGTGCCCGGTTACCCAGTTTGAAACCCTAGAGAGGTTTCAAACAAATTTTCAAAAACCAACTTAAAATTCTACTCTGAACCAATAGGAATGGATGCGCATCTTTAACCCCTTTGAATAGGCCTGTTTTAACATTTTTAGCTTTAACTTTGTCAGTCTAACGCTCTAACCTGCTATAGTTCCACGCTTTAACCTGCTATAGTTCCAATATCTGAAATGTAAAAACAGATCTATTGTTTTTTTTGGAATAGCTATATTGTTAATAAATCTTGATTTAGTTATAATGACATCAGAATGGGTGGGTTTATGTTAACTGTGTATTTTTGTCTCATGAATCATGACTCTCACATGTGGTAGTCAAACTTGAAAGTAGATTCGTGTGTGTTGTAGTATCAATGTATCATCTATTTCTCAAACTGCTGCTGAGTTTGCAGATCGGTATAACTCCGCACTGGTTTGCCACAGATGGAATTTCTTGGCATGCCACCCACATCTTTGGCTGCGAGTTGACCGTTCCCTGAGGGATCTTTCCCTTCCCAGAATTTTCCCGAACATTGAGACAGCTGTATCTGCTGCAAGGTTAGTTAGCGACAGTCAAATTGAAATGATCTGACTCCTTGGAATAATATGCATGAAAATCCAATCTCTTCTTGTGGCTGAATGATGCACAGACCTGGGGACACCATTCTGATTGCAGATGGTGGAAGTCATCATGTTTCAAATATTCAGATCAGAAAGCCACTTTGCCTGGTAAGTCGGAATGAAAATAATGTTCTTAATCTGCTGGTTCATCTTTCCTCTTTCCCATTATCTTGTTTTGATCTTGAAACCATCACTGCACTAGGAGGTTGCGGGAGGTCGGTTTGAATAATAAATAATCAATGCATTTAATATTTAATGTACTAAACATTTGGTACCCTAATCCACATAGCAGATCTAGATATCTTATGTACTTCCTCCGCCCTACAAAAAGGTTTCGCAATGGAATCAATGCGGTTACTAAGAAAAGTGAAATTGTGTGGTTGGAAATGGTGCAGACTGCAGAGGATAGAAAAATAATACTGTATATGAAATGGAAAGTGGAATCTTTTTTTGGGACGAACGAAAAAAAAGAAATGTGGAACCTTTTTGTGAGGAAGGAGTAATAGAATTGATCTTCCTTTTAGCTATGATATTTCTCTCCCTTTTGCTACTTCAACTCTGTTCTACAGATTGGTGCAGGTCAAATTCCTGATGATACTGTAATTACTTGCTCCCGTGGTTCAGACAGGTATGGAAAATTTTCATTACCACCTCTGCTTGGAAGTTAAGTGCTGCTAATTTCATCCAAAAAAAAGTTTGTTACAAGTACTACAAACCTGACTCTTTTTTGGATGGAGGTCGGAAGGAGTATGAGGTACTCGCAGTTGTCATACTAGTCATTCAAAGCTTGTATGGTTTTTTTTGGGTGGGGGGGATTTGTTTCTATTTTTGAATTTGCCTCTATTTATTAGTCCTGGGCTCCTTTTGTTTCTAGGGAATGTAGCATATTCCTCGAAAATAACTTGTTCAATGTCTAAAGAATCTAAGGAAATATTTTCTTTTGGGTAAATCTTGGTTGTTTCTAATTCTAGGAAAATCTTTCTTGCAAAATATTTTCACATCCCAAACATAGATAACATTTTTCATGAAAAAAACTTGTAAACAAACAGAGCTTTAGATTAGAAAATAAGCATGTCTTTACCTCCCATTTCCTTCAAACTTACCACACCACACCACCGAACAAGGCTTAAGATAGTCATCTCTTGCGACCCTTTTTTCCCAAGTTTCTTTCTTTCTGTTTGAGCAGTGCCTTGGAGTTCACATCCACTTGCAAACTATCCAACTTAACAGTGAGGGCAGAGCTTGGCTGCTGCTTGCTTCACCGGAGTGGAAGGTTGATCATTGATGGGTGTCTTCTTCAGTGTGAAACAAACCCTTTGGATCATCTGTCCTATGCAATTGTTAGCACAGCTAGTGCCGACAGTGTTTCGGTCTCGCGGACCCGAATCGAGGGAGGTTCAAAGGCTGTTCTTACGAGTGGCACACTCACACTGCAGCAAGTCCGGGTCATTTACAGTAGAACTTCCCTCTTGTTCTGGTTCAATGTAGGGGGCGATGGCGATACTACTGCGCAATCTTCATCTGGTAAATTAGTCGTTGGTTAGGTGTATACATTTATTCGTTTTAGCATTCTTTTCTCACTGCCCCCCCCCAATATTGTTCTGGCTTGTTTGTAACTTGTAACTTAACTTGGTTGTATTTCTAATAGTGTAAAAATAATTTCATACTTTCTTTGTCCCCTAAGACAGTACAAGAAACATTTAAATAAGGAAAAGGTAGAATTGTGTAATTGATATTGGTTTACTTGCGTTTGTAAGGTGTGTGTGATTTTGGGGATTGAAAGAAAATTGAGATTTTTGCCTCTTGTCCAAGCCCGCAGGCTAAATTTATACTTACGTCCCCGCCCAACCTCGACACTAACTCATCCTCACCCACGTCAATTATACTTACGGTGTGCAACTGACGTAGGTGGGGATGAGTTGGGGTCAGGCCTAGGGGGTTACCGGGGATAGCAGCGTAGGAGGGCAGTGGCTTCCGTGGCCACGGAACATAGCCGTAAATTTATTGGGTTTGAAACTTTTGTCCTAACTGTGCCCAATAAATCTTGATTTCACCTTTTTTTTCTTTGAAGGAATAAAATGAATTTCTTGTAGGAATCATCTTTCTAAGTATATTCTAAGAGCATCGGCAGCGGTGCGGATTTGCCACTGTCACGCTACCATATCATCAATTTTTATAAAATGCCTTGTAAGGCATGGGCAATTTGCCATGCTTTGCATTCCATGCGCCTGTCAAATACTCCTTTTTTTGCTCTTTTCATAAAACATACCGAGTAAGATTTTTTAAAAGAAGTAGAAAGATGTTTTTTTAAAAAAAAAGATAAGAAAAATAATTTTTAATAATTAAAATATGTCAAAAAAGATAAAAATTGATAAAATCAATGACTTGTCACTGTAAGACATGCCACTCCTCTCACTTGTCACACGCTGACTAGATTTTTTTATTGGTTGAAATATGTCATGTCAACATGTGGCATTCTATTTTTATACTTGCCATAGTTGATGCTCTAATAGTCTAATTATACATTTTAATTATAAGTGTTCTCTATAAGATTCATTAATATGGAGTAATATTCTGCCCGTTTATCTGGGAGTACATTGCTTTTAAAAATGGCCGAAGCATATACTTTCGTTGCCCCAAATTTTTGTCCATTTTTTCCATCTCTCAATTAAATGTGTGTACGCTTATTCAAAATAACATGCCGCTGTGATCTCATAATTCAAATACTTTTTTTTTAACATGAACACTCCAAAATTACATCTTGATCGCCAATATGTTTCAAAAATTGCAGGATTCATGTAAACTAAAAATTCTCTTATAGCAAAAATATTGAATTTCTAGAAACGTTAGTGATAATTATGTAATCTTAAAGTCTCAAATTTCTTAAAATGGTTAGGATTAATTTTCCATAATAAAAAATGTTTTCTTTAGTTTTGTTGTGGAAGGTAAGTAACTTGGGTTATGTTTCAGGGACCCCAAACTTTTAACCTCTCCGTTTTAAAGACATCCACATATAAAGAACAATGTCAAATGTCTGTCAATGTCTCTAAGAGGATGAAGTTAAAAGTTTGGGTTCAAAATAGCATTTTGCAAGTAACTTCTCCTTAACTCAATAACACTTGCAAAACAAAATCAAGAGGGAACTCAATCCAACTACCACACTCAAATTGCACCATTGTAGTGAATGAATATAACTCCAATCCTCCCTCCCTCCCTATTTAAAATGTTGTTTAGTTTGGTTGTAGATTTGTGGTAGAGGGAATAAAGATTATATTTTTTTCTCTTTTGTGGATTGAGAGGAAAACAAGAAAGGTTAGAAGTTAGAACAAGGCATGTTTCCGGGCAAAGAAAGGCCTGTGTTTCTCTGCTTCACCACTTCTGCAGCGAATGCCTTCTTCAATCCTGGAACACACTTCACCACCATCCAAGAAATGCTTCATCTCCCCTGCTGCTTCCAACCCCTTGATGACCATACTGTATGTGTGCTCTCTTGGGATTGACCCGCCGTTGACCGACTCCACCACCAAATCCCACGCCTCCGCCGCCCTTCCTGCCTCACACAGCCCGTGAATCAGCGGCGTGTAGCAGCTGTTTGTGGCCACGCCGTGGCCCCTTGCCACCATCCTCCTCATCATCTCCACCCCCTTCTCAACCTCATTCACCACACTGTAATATCTGATGAAGGAACCGTACGTGACCCGGTTTGGGTCGCAGCCCCTCTTCTCCATGTCCCCCAGCAGCTCCAATGCCCTATCAATCCTAAAGGTCTTGCAGCAGCCGTTTATGAGGCTGTTGTAGGTCACAATGTCAGGGACGAAGCCCTTGAACAGCATGAGACGAAACAGGTGGTTCGCTTCCCACATTCTCCTTCTTATGGCTTTCCTGCATCCGGTTTCCATGGCATGCCTGCAGTGGGAGCTGATGAGAACCGTGTAGGTGAATTTGTCTGGCGGGCAGCGGAATCCGGGCAGCTCCATTTGCTGGAGCAAAGACTTGGCCTTTTTGAATTTCCCAACTCTGCAGAGAGCGTAGATGAGAGTGTTGTAGCAGTGGACGTCTGGTCTGCAGTGGAACTGTTTCATTCGGTAAAAGGTGAAAAGGGCTTCATTTGCTAACCCTTCTTCTCCTAGGACTTTTATCAAACAGGTTATGGTGGGTGTGGTGACCAGCCCTCTCTTCGACATTTTCTTGAGGAAGAACAAGAGGGGTTTCAGCAATCCGCTTCCTTTGGCGAGAACGATGGCCATCTCTCTGCAAGTGAGCTCATCGTGGGTGAACCCGGAATGGGTCTCGACCCAATCGAAGAATTCCAACGCTTTTTCCAGACCAAGCTTCACTTTTTCGGGGTCTCTGTAAGCAGCCGGGCCGAGGAGGAGCTTTCCGGTGCGAGCCTTGTCGGATTCTTCTCTGAGATTTCTCTGTCTCAAAGGGGAGCGATGGCGGAAGCCGCTCTGCCGGCCGATGGATCTGGGTGACCGGAAGAGGAATCTGGGAATGGAGCGTAGGACCTCGGAGACTGTGTCGGTAGTCCACACGGAACGATTGGGTGAGGGGAGGAGGAGGCTGGCGTCGAACGGCCGGTTTTGAATGATGGCGGCGAGAATTTGATCTCCGGCGGCGCTTTCACAGAAACGACGGGACAGTGGTTTTGACAAGAACATGAGTCCACTTCCATTTCATCCGTTATTCAACACTCCATCTTACATGTTCATTATTCCTTTTCATTTTACTATTTATATTTTTACAATGGGCCTATTTGCCATCCACGTTTTTGGGCCAAAACGTTATTGGGTTAAGTTTTAGTGTTTGGCTTCCGTCAAAATAGATCTACGATTAGAGGTGTAATTTCTCCACTATTCTCTCGCACGGCTTAACGCAGGAGGCTTTGGGGGACGAGCGTTCAACCTAGAAGATAAGCGATTCCAAAAAATTTTCCACTTCTACCCACGAAAAATCTAACGGGAAAGTTGGCGCCTAATTGCATCTCCGATCCATATAGCCGCGATCTATATTTATACATATATATGTTCTCTCCTCTCACTCTACTTGTCTATTTTTTCCATTATTTTTGTTTACTTTCTTCTTTTGGTAAATATAATACCTCTAAATGTCTACCTTACATTCTTACCCCTTCCAATTAAAATTTAATCAACTCATATCTACCACTCACAATTACTTCTCTCATCTTATTCGGTTATACCATATACCGTAGATGGTTCTCAATTTATTCCATTCATCCGTCCCTCTATCTTGCTTAAGATCCAATCTCGTTCTCTCTCATCTTGTTCCTTAGATCTAAAATTGTTTTCTCATCTTCTTCGAAAGCCACCAATAGACTCATGTTTCTATAAGAGTATTTTGTACAATAATATTTCATAAATGTAGTCTTTTTTTGTTATTCTGGGCCTTTTATGCATATTTTACATACGAAGTTATTAAATTCATTTCAATTATTAAAATGGACAAATTTGCCATTTCATTTCCATCTTTCTTTTTTTTATACATTAAAGATAAACTTGGCTCTTTGATATAAAAGAGGATAGAAATAGCCAAAAAGGGGCGTTTTTTTTAAAAATATAATCAACTTTCAATTCCAACAGAGAAACAATAAAATCTAGCGGAACAAAATCTTAATCATCTATCTGGATTTCCACCCGCCTAGCTAACAAAATAATGGGTGATTTTAACAATAGCCAACAACCTTTTAAGGAGTATATATTAAACATAGAGTGCTTCTTTAATGGACATAAGATTTACACCTTTTTAGGTAGACCTTCATATGAGTGACAAACAAATATTTAAGCATTTTTGCATATTATTTTGCAAAAATATGTATATTAGGATAGTTAACATTTACTTACCTCATATAAAGATTATATATAGCATTTGTGGTAATTAATTTTTACGGACAACAAATTTAAAAAGAGAGAGAGTGTGGATTCCAACTGCTTGAATGCCACCTCACCATTTGAGGGCAGAATCGTCCAAGGAGTGACTAATTAGGGCTCAATTCCAACGCCACCACACCAAATGGTTGTTTAAGTAGATGGCAATCAAATTCTTTTAAACCCATTTTCGTCAAATCACATCATTTTCCAAACCCATTCTCTACCCCTAGCTTTTCTTATCAATACAAATGCAAAGACCGTATCATTGTTTTGAGAACCACAGTTCACTTGTCATATGCCCCAAACATTTTTAGTTTGGTTTTTTTAATAGGTGAGCACAGTGATAACAAAAGCTTTAATGCTTCATTCATCTATAACCCACAATTAAAAAATTGTCCAAACAGGGAAAAAAATTAGAAACGAAAAATGTGGCCGGACAAAGAAAGCAGTTCACTCTAGGAAGGATGCACAAGTTCAATGCAACACCATGTCGTCCGCAGAATAATAGTCAGCAATGAGACGGTACATGTATGAAGGATTATGCCCACCTCTGCAACCAAACCACGAATAACACACATTAGAATTTCAACAAATATATACCGGAAAAATTCATGTCTGGTTTAAGCAATCTTGGAGGATTCGTTTAAAGTCTCGGATTTCTAGGAGTATTGACATGAATTTTTCCATAAATGCCTGATGATTAGTGAATAATACAGGGCAGTTAAATAAAACGGAAACAAAAGGTAACTTACGTGTCTGTGATGAACAAGCTGACTAGATTGGGAGGCACGTAATCAAATGCAGGGTTGACAACTTGTAGGAGAGGGGAACCAGAGCCAATATCAGAGTTCAGACAGTCTGAGAATTCTCCGAAATCCAATAGCTCGGATGGGGACTTCAGCTCATTTAGTAGAACTTCAGGGTTGTGCGGATATAGGGGACACAACTGTCATTTACGCAAACACTGTTAGACAGGTCACATTTTCCGTGTTCATGAATGATGTGATATACTGATATGAATTGTGTGGATGTTCAGCTACAGGCTCTATTTAGATGGAGAGTATTTTAGGGGTCGGAAAGCTTTGGCAAGCTTAGAGAGCGATTGGGATAACTTGTTTTCAAAGAGTAGATGTTTGTTCAAGGGAGAGACGTGCTTTTACTTCAACATAAAGCTTTTGGTGAGAATGGGGAAAGTAACAGACTGCTGCTCTTTAATAAATGCACTTAGTGCTCAAATGAGAAAATTCTAATGATAAAAAACATAAAATCACACATGCCACAAGTTATCCCACTCTGCCAATCAAGCTCTTAGGATTATATCTTGATAAATAGAATGTTTCTAAAAATTGATGAAAAGTTGTTATGCCTTGTTGTGCCTCCATTTTGATGTTAAGAAAAACTCTCCACGTCCAACTACTTTTGTCCCTTTTAAACATTTTTGTTCGTCCAACTATTTTTGTCTCATAAGTCAGACCATATTTAGTCATATTTGTTTGGTTCAATTGTTCAAATTCCTTCTTACTTTATCGTACTTTTTAAGATCAATATCAACTACACAATCTTACTTCTCTTGATTTCCGTACCACTCCATCATGTCCCAAAAATAGTGGGATGTAGGAAGTAATATTTGACTAACGACTTGTTTAAGTGTTGCACGTACATCCCAATCCACTCAATTAGATTACACTTGCAAAACGTGGATTGCCCACACTAGTTGTAGTTTAGACCTCATTGTGAAAAAGTTGAATATATGGTCAACACTCAACAGTATCATATATGACATACAGCTCAAAGCATTTGCATGAAAATGTTTTTTTCCACAATCTCCTTCATTTTCCTTCATTCCCATTTAAACTTGCCACAATCAACCATACCATAGGATCGATGCAGCCACCAAATTATGAAAACAGGAAGCCAATGTCATTTTTTGGGAGTGAAGAACCGGTGGAGCGGAGCACAAGAACAGTCCAAGGACTAAACCGTGAAAATGGAGGGCCGAACAGAATTTTCATGAGCCATGAATCGGTCGACCGTATGGGAAAAGCGGTCTGGACAGTGGATTCATGAAAAGTGAGAAGTTGAGCTGATTTTTCAGAAGCATGGAATTGGTCGCCCGTAAAGGAGGTAGTTAGATTGTTTATCATTACAGAGATTGAAGGATTAGGGTTAATCGTCGCATGGTTTAGCACATCTATTGTGGAGCACGTCAACCATGCACAATAGGGCCACTAAACCTACCCTTATCTACTTTATCTAACCTAATTAAACCCTTTTTTTCAAACAATTTAAAGGATTTAATTATTCAAAGAGCTATTTAAAATCAATCGGAGTAAAACCAAACAGTGCGGAAGCTTAAGTAATCAATTCAAAACACAACCTAATTAAACCCTAATGCTTCACTCTCCCACAAATACCTCCCCTCACTTAAATACCTCCCCTAGTCCCCTCCCTTACAACAATTTTTCTACCCTCTCTAAGTTCATAGTCATCTCCTTTCTAAGTGTCTTTGCTCTTGTTCTTAATTCTTCTATTTTTGCATTAGCATTTTGCAAACACTTATACACAATTGAATTATTATCATATTGTTGCCATATGCACTACTTTATAAGATATTGCTAATTTTTAACATTTTTCTACACTTAAATCTCCAATATATATCAAGATATAAACTAAATCACCAATAAATAATCAAACAAACGAAAGAGCAATATAGCTCCTTATATGCGAATACCTTGTGAACGCCTGCAAGTACAACAAAAGGAACAGCGTGCCTTTGGGCTGCTAAAGCCACCATGTTCATCCCTACTGGCGCTATAACTCCCCCGTTGGCCATGACTACATGAGCTCCAACTATAACCTTCAAGCAATAAGTGTCAGATTTCAGCAAAAGACAATATTGGGATGAAACAATCCACTTTATAGGTAAAAAGGAAACTGCAATTCCATACCATATTCACTCTAGAAATCATTGCAAAAACAGCAGAATCTGTAATGACAGTGGTCTGCAGTCCCCTTGCAACCAATTCTTTCGCAAGAGTGTGTCCCTGATATCTGAATTAGCAAATGAAGTTTGAAAAGAAAAAAAAAAGAAATTAGCTTTCAAAAAATGAGGGGTAAACAAATTTACGTAATGAAAATGACCTTTGCAATAATAGTCTGTTCAATAACAACATTTATTAGGGTAAGTATTCACTAATAACTCAGTGAGAAAAGTAATCAGCTGTTTCTACAGGTTTAAAACCTTGGAGCACCCTCTGCAACGAAAACTCGGAATGATCTCTTCTTCTCTTTTGCAGCAAATAAAAACTCTAATACTGTTCTTGAGCTGCCTAATGTCAATATTACCTCGCTGAAATGAAAAAAATGGAAAATATTGACTATAAGATTTTGATATTATGAGTGTGAACAAGAGGAACATAAAGTAAGTAAGCTCTTGTAGTTAGCCAAAAGACTCAAGATTGCATACTGACATGATTCAAACAACAAAGGTTGGACGGGTAAGATATCAAGAAACTTTTAATCTAACGTGGATGTGATATACGCTGAACAAGCAATATGTTGTGTTTGAGAAATCTATGAAGCAATACAGAAGATTGGTCAGATAGATACTTATGATGAATATGTTCCACTGCCTGTTCTGCAATTTGTTCGTGGCAAGTGGTTATATCTTGGATAAGATCATTAACAGCCTCAATGACATTATGCTTCAGTTTCCGAGATTGCAAGCTCTTATCAGCAGCTGCCAAGTACACAAATATAAAATTACCAACATTAAATTACATGAAAACTGTGTGTTCCAAACCCTATGAATGATCATCAAATGAATATTTACAACTCCTTACATGTTCTAAAATACCAACACGATATACATAATGAGATCAGGAAAAAAATCAAAAAATTTTGTCCGTTCACACATTTTAGTATATTTTTATTGTCACTGATGGGTTTAAAAAGAAAAAGAACTGACAAGCTTAGAAAGAAAAGTTCATTTCATCTTATTATGTATGGCTTCAAAGCTCACATTTACTTTTTCCTTCAGAGTCTCCTCCAGAGGAAGGAGTATTGGTAACAGTTGTTGAGTGTGGCAAATCTTCAAGCAAAGTCTGCAAGGAAGGTGCCCTCAATGTGCTCCGGGCAGCAGCTACGACGGCAGCAGCAGATAAACCAGGATGATCATCATGATACATATGGTCTTCATCATCACTTCCAGCTGATATATTTAACTCACCGATTGCATCAGTAGTTAAGGATGCATCCTCCTCCCTAATAATATGTAAAACGCGCCTCACAATGTTACCAACAGCAAGTTCTGCATTTAGATTACAACAAGTCCTTAACAAGCTATAAAATTGAAAATCCGAAAAGTGAATATCAATGAGAGTGAAAAGGACACAATGTCTACATAGAAAGAGGCATGAACATCTTCTGCTAGCCAACATCTGGGGTATGAGAATATAATAAATCATGATTTGAACAAACAAGCATGTCCTTGTTTCCACATTTGAAACAAATCCTATGTTTAACCCTCATATGATAATGCAATACACATACCAAGTACCCAACTCCCATAGTAACTATGAAGTTCAGAAAATTTAGAAGGCCTGGTCTTTCAAGTTAAAACTTTACACAAAGCATTTTATGCGCAAAATATGATCCAACTAGTGCAGTAGAAGAAACCTCCATTTGTGCTTACCTACAGGATTGGCATCAATTAATCTCCCCCCGACGGCTTTGACGGCGTCGATGAGAGCTCCGGCCTGGTTCGCATGCGGAAGCCTCTGCTGAGAAATAAAAGTGCGAAGCAGCTCAGCCGTCAGCTTGGCCGTCGCTTTGGAGCCCTCGATTTTACTGCAGAATCACGAAAAACGTCAGGTGTAAGAATTAAAGACTCAACCGGCGAGGAATCGCCGGGAAGTAATAGAAATCGATACCGTTTCTTGAGCTTGACGATGAAGTCATTGACTAGGGAAACATCCGGCATGGTATCGAGCACTGAATGAGCTCGGAACTGAGACGTGAATCTGCTCGCTTTCCCTCTTCCTTCGTTTCTCTTGAGCCGTGAGCTGCGGAGCTTTTGCAGGGAGAACTTTTGCTTTGGGGATTCTGTGAGTCGGGCCAAACTCCAAACCCGATTGTGCTGAATGGGTCGTTTCACGGGTCCTTAATTTTGGTGGACTGCACGCTAGCCCGTCCAATAACTAACTCCTTTGTTTGGCGAAGTTTGGTTGATTTTCTTTTTTTATTGATAATTGAGTTCATGTTCTTTTCAAGTGTAATTTCAGAGTTAGATGTCGGAGAAACTAAAAAAAATAAGTAAAAATTGGAAAGAGTGAGACAATATTAGAAAAATTATAGCATTAAAAAATCATCAATTAAATAATCGCTCAAAAAAATATGTAAGAAAACTCTAACTTTAAATAAAAAAATTCATCATTGTCTGTAAGGTGATATGATATAAATTTAGATATATAATGTATTATATATTCATCATATATTGGTCATGTATGCATATCCTAGCTTTATAGTGCATTTAGCGCACACAAGCATCCATGATATTCGATTGCGACTTGTTTCACATAGCCTCTGTCACGGGATAATCGATGCACACATGGCCAATAATTTCCCTTCTTAACAATTGCTCCCGTTGAGAATTGAACTCATGATATTGGCTTCGATACTACTTGTAGGACCCCGGGTGCTATTAACTCTTGTGAAACCAATTATTAGTGTTAGAAGAAACGCATGCCCTAACCTTATAGTGCATTCACAGCCGCAAGCACCCACGAAAATTAATTGTGACTCGACACATAGCCTCCGCCACAAAACAATTGATGCGCACATGACCAAGTGCATACCCTAGCCTTATTCAATATACATAAGCGTCTCACGACATTCAATTGTGACTTGGCCTACATAGCATACACCATGGGACAATTGATGCACACACGGCCAACAATCTCCCCCTCAGCAATTGCTCCGCAGATAATCAAACACGTGACCTTGGATCTGATACCACTTGTAAGACTTTAGGCGCTACAAACCCTTCTAAAACCAATTGATGTTAGAAGAAGCGCATACCTTAACCTTACAGTGCATTCCGCATATGTAAGCGCCCACGACATTCAATTATGATTTGGCCCACATAGCCTCCGCCAAGAGATCATTTATGCATACACGACCAAGCGCATATCCTAGCCTTATAGTGCATTCAGCTTACATAAGCGCTTCACGACATTAATTGTGACTTAGCCCACATAGTCTTCACCACACGACAATTGATGCACACATGACCAACAATCTCCCCCTCAACAGTTGTTCCCGTAAAGAATAGAACTCATAACCTTAGCTTTGATATCACTTGTAGGACTTTAGGCGCTACAAACCCTTCTAAAACCAATTGGTGTTAGAAGAAGCACATATCCTAACATAACAGTGCATTTCGCATATGCAAACGCCCACAACATTCGATTATGACTTGGCCCACATAGCCTCTGCCATGGGATGATTGATGCATACAAGGCCAACAATCTCCCACTCAACAATTGCTCTTGTTGGAAATTGAACTCGTGACTTTGCCCCTGATACCACTTGTAGGACCTCAAGCGCTACCAACTCTTCTAAAAACTAATTAGTTTTAGCAAAAGCGCATACTCTAGTCTTATAGTACATTCAGCACACACAAGCGTCCACAATATTTGATTGTGACTTGACCCACATAGTATTTGCCACTAGACAATTGATGCCACATGGTCAACAAAAGCTATGTGAAAACCAACAAAAAGTTGGTAGAAAATCATCTGGAAGCTACTTTGTGACATTGGCCTAATCTATGTGCCCTTAATATTCTCTATTTAAGAGATGCTTATATGCTTGTAATCTTTGTGCAACAACAAGAATTAAAATCTCTAGTTGCTTTGTGTGGACATAGGTTGCAGTTGGTGACCGAACCACTTTAAATTTTGTATTATTTATTTTTATAGTTTATTTGTAAATGTGTACTGTTTTCGTTTACATGTATCCCAACTTTTTATCACATTTATATTTGTGACTCTAATATTTATTTTCTTCTTTCCTTCCCAAATTTGATTGCAATATTTTTTCTCCTTCTTCTCGATAACTTTTCTTTTTTTCTCTGTTTTCATTGATTTTTTGATAAAATAAAATAATCTTGTAACTTCTTATTTTCTAGAAACTTTTAATGTATTTTTTAATATATACTTTATATTTTCTATTGATGTAATAATTTGTAAATAAATGATTTCAAAGTACAAAGTACATGGAGTTTACCTCGTAAATTTTAATTTGTAATCAAATTTGCAAGAGGTGTTATTTTTTCTTGCTTTTAAGAAGGATATTATTAAAAACATCATTGGGCCATATCAAAATGGGAAGCACATGAGCAGAAACAGAGCAGCAAATATTGTGTGGCAAGTTTGAAAAAGGAGAATAAAAAAATTCAAAGATGGATGCACAGTGTCTCTCCTTCAATTTAACAGTTTTACTACCAAATCCATATGGCGGCCTCCGATGCGGTGGTGCTGTCTAATCGTCCGTTTTCCGCTTCGGTTTCCCCACACACCCAACGCGTGGGCCCCCGACCCAGCTCCGCTTCGCCTTGTTTTCTTCGATTTGATGCATCCTTTTTGTTTTCATTCGAGATATAGCTCATAGCTCTCTCTCTTTCTCCCTCTCCCTCTCTCTCTCTCTCAAAGACTCCCAATTTGAAAATTGAATTCTCAAGTTCCTCTCTTCTTGAACCGTGCAGTGCCTCAAGAATCCCGCCTGCTTCATTGGCACCTTCCTCATAAATTACCCTCGATTACCCGGAATGGTATTTCCGATTTGATTTGAATTTTTCCCCTCGTTGACTTCCCAGAAGAGGTGGGTATATATCTGAGAGTGCCCATTTTCTAGGGTTCCTATTCTAGGGTTTCTATGCTCGTTTGATGATGATGATGATGATGATGATGAGTTTTTGAATACTCGCTTACCCACGCACCCCCAACCCAATACCCACCTATCAGTCGAATAATAGGTATTGCCACCCTTTCATCTGTATGTTTTCGTAGATAATAGCAATCCATCGTCTGGGTATGTGTTTTTCCAGCAAAGGTTGGAGCTTTTGCGTTGAAATGATGTGGGTTGATTTTTAGTTTCATATTGAATGCTGGTTTTTTTAAATCCCTTTTTATGGTAATGGAGCATTGCAGATCTGCTTTGGATTTTGGATATGTTTTGTATCTTTTGTATAGTTTCACTTTCTATTTAAAGGTTATCTTTCCCAAAAATTACTTTCTGTTTTGTAATTTATTTGGGTCTCCTGCTCTGTTCTTTCTATTTGAATGGGGGAATTGTGCAGCTGCAAAGGCATGACTATTATTGTAATTTGTTTACTTTCATGCAAAAGCTGGAAAGCTACCTTGATAGATTCTTGCAGAAAGATTGATTCTGTGTTGATAGGGGAATAGATGCACCCCGTTAATTCTCATCTATAGAACTTGAAAAGAAATTGATTCTTTGCTAAAAGTAGTATTGTCTTTTATGGCTATGTTTCCATTTCATTTTCAAATGTGATAAGTAGTTGTATAGTTCATTGAAGACTTGCTGATAGGTTCATTTCTTTTGAAAGATTGATTATAAATAAATATATAAAATGGGGTTTCTGTTGCTGCCATGACTTTTGGGGGAGGTTCACTGGTTCAGAGTATGATGCACCCTTTACATCTAACCTCGGAAGTCGGAAGTGAAACTCTTATCATTGTATGCCTACAAAGCGAGTGGTTTTTTTACTTCATTGATGTCTTTCATATTTTCATATTAACTTTTTATCTGAATTCTCCTGGCACAACTGGTGACTTAAATGATTTTTTATCTGAATTTTCATAATAATCTTGGAGATTTCTTTTTACTCAGTTTTGAGTTGGAATTTATCTTTCATGCTTGTTCTGTCCTTTCGGCTCAAGAGTTTGATGAGTGATCAAGTCGTTTGCAATCTACTGACATGTGCAGGAACAATTACTATTGCGTTAGCTATGGCAACTGGAACTCTATTTTTTGATGATGTGCGAAGTAAAGCTGAGGTCACTGATTCCCCCCAAACAAAAGACATGATGGATGTTGGCGAACAAGTCAATGAGACCATGCAGAATGCTTTAAAGCATAATACAACAGCCTCTAGTACTAATGTCCGTGAACTATTGGACTGCCCAGTCTGCCTAAATGCTATGTATCCACCGATTCATCAGGCATGTGTTTGTGTTTGGACTTTTTGTGTTCGATACTTCTTAATTACTAACTTAAGAAACCAAAAAAATATATACATTTCAAATATGAAAAGAGACATGAAGTTGAAACTGTAGTTGATTATGGGTCATTCTTCTCATGCTTAGGCATTAGCGCATACCATAGTAACCCATAGCACTCCATCTGTCTAATTTTTAGATCTGATTTCAGTTTTTTAGTCCATCCAAAAAACAATGTTTACTTAGCTATTTTAAACTCTACAAACCTTCAACCTTTTCACTTGTTGCAGACCTATTTTTAAATCTGAATTTGTAAACCAAATAACGTCATCTTTATTTTCTGAAATGAGATATCAGAAAAGGGTATTCTTACATGATGGAGACCTTTTCACTTTTCTTTCTCTAGCATTTTCTGGATCCCAAACAGAATATATCTCTTATCATATTTTCTCTTGTTTGTAGTGTTGTAATGGTCACACAATATGTTCTGGATGCAAGCCTAGGGTACACAACCGGTGCCCAACTTGCAGGCATGAGCTCGGCAATATTAGATGTCTTGCTTTGGAGAAGGTCGCTGCATCTCTTGAGCTCCCTTGTAAATATCAGAGCTTTGGGTGCATGGGGATATACCCTTACTACAACAAGCTGAAGCATGAGTCCCAATGTGGTTTCAGACCCTATAACTGCCCCTATGCCGGGTCAGAATGTGCAGTGATTGGTGACATTCCCTCCTTGGTGACTCACTTGAAGGATGACCACAAGGTAGATATGCATGCTGGGAGCGCCTTCAACCATCGCTATGTCAAATCAAATCCACACGAGGTTGAGAATGCCACGTGGATGCTCACGGTAAGCTCTATTTTCCTTGGAGCCCTTGGATCACACACACACACACATGCGTGTGTGTGAGAGTGTGAATCCAAGGGTTCCTAGACCCATGCCAGCAATACCCTTAACCGGTAGCTTAGACAAAACACAAATTTTCTCCACATTTTGACAGATTCTTGTTAGGTCAGTCAGGTTATGGCCCGACTTTACAAATATAAATGGTGTTTCAGACCAATTTTGAAAATGATTCTCAGCTTTTGCTTTGGAAAACATCAATTTAAAAGCACCTCCGAGATGGTTTTAGGTTCTCTTGTCAAAACAATCCATTTTCAAAAAAATTATAATAATAATAATAATGAAATAAACACTTCCAAACAACCAAGCGAAAGCTTTTTTACCAAAGCGTGTGTGATGTGTTCAGGTTTTCAGTTGCTTCGGGCAGTACTTCTGTTTGCATTTTGAAGCATTTCAGCTGGGGACAGCGCCTGTCTACATGGCATTCTTGCGGTTCATGGGGGATGACAACGAGGCCAAAAACTACAGCTACAGTCTGGAGGTGGGAGGGAATGGGAGAAAGCTAATATGGCAAGGGGTGCCAAGAAGCATTAGGGACAGTCACAGGAAGGTCCGCGACAGTTTTGATGGTCTCATCATTCAACGCAACATGGCACTCTTCTTCTCTGGTGGAGATAGGAAAGAGCTGAAGCTCAGAGTCACCGGTAGGATATGGAAAGAACAGTGATTTGTTCTTTCATTTAAACTGCTCTCAATGAGTCTTCTGGCATTGTACTTTCTCTTTGGTCTTTCGAAGCAAAAACTCTTTTGCTTTAGGGCATATATGTTCTATGTCTCTTTTGTCCATAAGAAATGGAGTTCATCCCTGAAATGTTTTTCTTTTTGAACTGTTTACAGAGCTTCTGTTTTTTGTTCTAACTACAAAAAATCAACACTTTGGAATAAAGCCAAAGTTATTACTTATTACTAGCACTTTTTATGACTGAGAAATCAAAAATTGCATAAGATTCAGTGCAAACATATAAATTCTAGCTAGAATGAGCATAAATATTGTTTGATTTTAAAACTTTTTTGCCTGTTTTTGATGTTGGCTTCTCTTCTTGCCGTTTATGGAACAGTTGCCACATCACTTTGGGTGGCTCACACATCATTCTGTGTACATAGGAAAATATTGTCCATATCTTCTTTGCCTACTACATTTTTTGTTGCATGTATACCTTGAATAACAAATCCAATAAAAATAGAAATGGGTGTGGTCCATGACGGCCGTTGATACTATTAGAACCTATCACGTACCGTTCTAAATTAAATGGTTCAATATCTGTACGAGATGAATTCCAAAATTATTTGATACCGTTTCGTTTTGAAGGGGAATGGTACAATACCATACATATTTAAGTATTTTCTTACCGTTTAAATAAGTATTCGTTTTTTTAAATAAAAAAAATAGATTTTTGAGAAAGTCCACAAAAATATGTACTCAAGGTGCACCATAGAAGCACTCTTCTTGAACACATTCTCTATGGTAGGGCTATTTGTTTATATTCGAAATACTCCGCACCATTTAAATACTTCTCTTCTTAAAAAATGTTACACTTTATTTATTTGTACGTTGCAAAAATTTACATTTACGGTATTTTTTTTAGTAATGAAATGTGACGGGGAATTTACTTAAATATCACTAAAACATAATGACTTTTTCTAAATAGCATCACATCTGTTTTTCTTTTCAATGTAACACTTTTAGTCATTATCCATTAGTCATTATTCAAGTAAATGTTCGCCCTCACTGGACATTATTAAGTGCTATTTAGGGAATAAAATAGTTTAAGTGCTATTTAGAAAAATGAATTAAATTTTAGTGCTATTTAGTGCAAATATCTTTAATATTTTGATGTATAACTTGTTGGATCGATCTAACTTGATGACACTAAGGGTCTATTTTTTCGGTTGGAAATTTATGGTTGGATGTTGGAAAAACTAGTAGTCGGATGAAATTGAAAGGTATTAGAAGAAATTGGAAGGAGTTGAAAACTATTGAAAAAATTAAAGCGTTAAAAAATTAAACAATTAATGAGCAACCAAATCTATACGCAATAAAACTAATTTTAGATAAACGAAAATTTTTCTGTGTTTGTTCGGATTTGAGGTGGTATGTTATAAAATTAGATATATGATATTATTATATATTCATCATATATAAATACATTATTTAATCGTTGAAAAAAATTGGAAAGAATTAAAAAATTCAAAATTAATTTTTTCAACCAAAAAGCGTGTAAGGCATACTATCCCAAACTTAACCCAACACGCAAGGATTAACATGTTAGCCAGCTAGGAATTTATGCTATTACTATTAGCCTTGAGTGTCAAAATATACTCCAATTTGTTTTGTTTGCCTACATAATTAGGACATTCCCCATCCATGGCAGAGAAAATCATCCACCAAGCAATATAAATTTATTATTCAAAACTTGTGTAACTGGTGACCAAATGTCATCATAGGTTCAAGAAACATTTCATAATCTAACATGGCAATAAATAGAATAAAAAAAGGGTGGATCATATTTCATTCATACAACACACAGCTTTCAATTCAATTGCTAGGCACACAATCAGCCAAATATGCACCCCAGCCTTGGAGCTTGTATTCCCTAGCTGCCTCTACGGGGTTCGCCGCCTTTATAATTCCACGCCCTACTATTATTATGTCACTTCCCCGTTCACGAATCACCTGCGAAAGAGAAGCAACGATATATATAAGACCATGTTTGGTTCGGGTGGTGTGAACTTGCCGTAACTTGATGAAATTGTATATTGACATGGATAAAGTTGAGCAAGTTTGGCAACAACTTTAGCATTTTGCATTTTCAAAGTTATCTGCACAAGTTATCCAAAATGCTAATTGTAAACGTTGCGTTCCCAAACGAGGCCTAGTTCATTCAAGTAAAGCTTACAGAATGTGGGGTGTTGTATTGCTGGCCAAGAGAGTCTCCGCCTTTCACAAGCTGCACACCGGGAGTTGCATGGATCAAGCCTGGACTCCCGGGCCCAGTGGGCCACGATGCAGGGTTGACAGAGATGAAGCCCATCACAAAATCCGAATGATCCTCGGCGATTTTCACAGCTGCAGCTGTATAATCTCCCTTGGCAAGATTACCGGATGAGCTCATTTCTGCAAGCAGCAGTAGACCTCTACCATGGGCTAAACCCTGTAAAAACAAAGAGGCTGTTTCCATTAGACCCTAGATGCATTGCTGCATGTACTACTTAAAACTTCATAGAAAGTTAGAACAAAAGAAGTTTAATGTTCCATTTTTATCTAAGCCATTTTGTGCTCGAAACTAAAACTTTGGGAACAATGACTCTTTTAGCTCCATTGGCAATGGAAGCAAAGTGGTAAAAAAGGGAAGGAGAGAAGAAAGTAACCTTTAGTTTCAACCCATCTACAATTCCAGGACCAGAAATAATATGGGCATTTACTATGTCTGCCCAATCCAATATGCGAAAAATACCACTGCAAAAAAACATCATAAAGCTTTTCAGACATAAATTGATGGGGAGAAGAGTGGAGTGTAAGATGTCATTACAGAAAACCTTGTCATCTCACCCTTCATATTGCATTGTGACAGTGTTGCCAATGTCAGCAAACTTACGGTCTTCAAAGATTAAGAAACCATGCTTCTCGGCAATCTAGAAATGGCAAACGAATCAGTAACATATTTCGCAAAGCCAATAAATATATTACACCTTGAACAAAATAGCCCAACTTTATGTCTTTGCAAGGAAGCAACATCTCAATTGTATTTATAAAGGGATTCATGACATTTTGAAGAATCTAGATCAACAGAAAACTTGTACGGTGAAATCCAATTGAAGGATATGTATTATAAACATATCCTACGGCATACCAATGCAAATATTTTAAAAAGATCTAAAAAATCAACTTCTTTTCACATTTATGGGCAGGGAGTAGAGACACACGCATTCCATAAATGATACTCCGTAGATAACTCTATTGCATATTGGCTGTATTTGCATTATGTAATCAAACTTACAGATCGAAGTTTAGAGCCAAAATCTGGGGTGAAATCGGGCAATATGTCAACATGGGTTTTTAACATGCAAATTTCTGGCCCAACCTGAGGAATGAAACATGGATGTCATATTGTCATTCAAAACGTATCCAATGGACAAGAATAAATAACAATGTGCATTATAAAGGCGGCTTGATGAACACAAACCAACTCCTCTAAAATCCACACCAAATGCCTTCAATTACATTTGGTGCTTATTTTTGTATATTTTTGTAAGGCTATCGCTCAATTTAAGACCCTAGTAACGGCATCCTAAATTTCTTCGTTATTCCCTCCTGTTAAAGGTCAACTTCGAATTTCTAAAATTTGTCAATTGGGGGCTTGAGGCAGCTCTCTACTTGAGTATCACAAAACTGTCTTCTTTTAGAACTTGATATATTTGATGAAGAAATGAAATCACATTGAAGGGATCTTTCAATTCATTTAGTTGAATTTCACATACCTTTTCAGCAAGACCAAGCAATTCAGCTGCAGTGGCAACATCAGCAGACAAACACAAGTTAGTCTCCTTCTGCACCATGATCTCAAACAGCCTCTTCCCTGCAGGGTTTTTGGCCATCTTAGCCCTCTCCTGGTATGGCACCCTGCCCTTATTAGCCTTTGACTCTACCTTTGGCATTGGTGCAGCCACTTTCCTGTTCTCCTCCAAGAATTTCATCACCATATTCTCTGTATCTTCTGACAACCTTCCCTTCTCCTTCAATATCCTTACCATATCAGTCAACTTCACCATGGAATGCAATGTAATTCCATTCTCTGCCAGATTTTCCCTACCCCCTTGTTCTCTGTCCAATTAGTTCCAATCCAAAAACAACCAAAAAAATTTGGGTAAAAGAATGAGAAAGTGAAAAATACCAAGGAACCCATTCAACCAAAAGCTCAAACTCATTTTTATGGGGGCAGAAAGATTTTACACTAAAGCATACAAAGTTAAGGAACCAATTCAATCAAAAGCACAAAATTGTGTTTATTAGACCTGAAAGGTTTGATACTCTAGCAGAAAAAAAATTCTAATTTTAATAAAATGTAATGTAATAAGGAGTATCTAGTACAAATGCAGGAAAATATTCGAATTCTTGACTGAAAAGAACACATTTTTATGGAGGACTTAAAGAAAAATGACCAATCTGGAATGCAGATAGAGTTGCAAAGTTGGTTTTTTTTCTTTTCTCAGAAAAACGTTCGGAAAATAATTAATTACTGGTCAGAAATTAATTTAATCTGACCTATCAATCATGACGACGGCGTCGGTCACAGTGAGGCCGGCGGCGCGAAGTGGGGCGGCGGTCTCGAGTACGGAGGCGCCGCTGGTGACGAGATCCTCGATGATGATGCAGGACTGGCCGGGGGAGAAGGCGCCCTCGATGGCCTTGGCGGTGCCGTAATCCTTGACCTCCTTGCGGCGCATGAGCATGGGGACATTGTTTGAGACGGAGATGCAGGTGGCGATGGGGAGGGCGGTGTAGGGAACGCCGCAGACGAGGTCGTAGGCGGGGGCGGAGGGAGGAATTACGGCGGTGAGGGTCTGGGAAATCTGGCGGAGGAGGGAAGGGTAGGAGACGATGAGGCGGAGGTCGATGTAGATGGGGGAGACGATGCCGGATTTGAGCTTGAACTCTCCGAACTTGACGGCGGAGATGTCGTGGAGCTGGAGGATCAGCGATTCCATTGTTTGCTGTGAAACGGACGAGGAAGAAGACGACATCCCTTTTTGGGTTTTTGGGCTATGGCAGTTCCCGCAGCAGCGTCGTCTACCACCGCCGGAGAGTGAGAGTGAGCGAATGACAGAAGCGGCGAATTTGCTTAAATAGATACCGTAAGGCGAATTTTTAAATTAATGTGATCTAATTTTTTATCCAAAATGCTAACGCTAATTTGTAATGTTAATTTCAAAGAGGCCCTAAGTCTTTTAGCACAAACTAATCTCATATTTAATAATCTAAGAGGAATGCTAGGGATACACCATTTGGAGTACCCCATTTGTACACCACTCATCATAGTCCTACATTTCTTTTTTCATTTTTATTTTCCTCTCTTGCTTTTGTGTGGTGGAGATGTAGGGAGTTACAAATGGGATACCCCATTCGGTGTACCCTAGTATTTTTGTTAAAAATATTGGAAGAAAGAGAATTTAAGTTTTTGGCCCTTCTAAACAAATGAGAGTCTGGAGATATGCAACTGGATACATTTTCGTAGTTAATAATAACGCGTCATGTAAAAGCATTAAACTTTTGGAAAAAATAGGCTGCTTTACCTTTTCGGCCAGACAAAAATCCCAATTTATCCGCGCTTTACCTTTCAATTCGCGCAATATGATCCAAATTCCAAATAAACTCTAGATTTTCTCCCTAGTTTATAAAAAGGATATGAGTCTGTTTGAAAATAGTGTTAGAAATTAACGTTAACATTTTATATAAAATTTTAACAGTGTAAATTACTTTGAAAACGTCAAACATTATCGTAGATAGTTTCTTTCCAAAACAGTAACTCTAATCTCTAACGTTATTCCAAAACATGTCCATATATGTCTAAACTTTTCTATTTAAAAATTAACTAGTATTCTATCTCGTGCCATGTACGGGTTGAATAATTTTTTTTACTCAATTATTTTTTTCCTTATTAGTTAATGATTAAAAAATTGAGCAAAATATAACATCGAACTGTAGAATTTAATGAGAAATATTTTTTGAGAAATAAAGTTTTCAAAAGGAAAATGATTTTCAAAGAAAATTATTTTCTCCCTGTAATTTTCCATTGTTTGATAGAACGAAAATTATTTTCCCAAAAAACACTTATAATTGTTAAGATTTCAAAATTAATATTAGAAATCATCCTAAATAGGACTAAAACATAGAGAAAAATACCAAAATAGGACTTTCATGTTTTTCTTCCCGGAATAGGACTTTGCACTGTGGTAATGTGACTTTGCATTGTGGTAATGTGGCAGTTTACATGTGCAAATTACTATACATTCTTGGTAATGTATATGACCATGTTTGGTCATGTAAGTCCTATTTCGGGAATAAAAACATGAAAGTCCTATTTTAGTATATTTTCAATGTTTTAGTCCTACTTTGATCTTTCTCCCAATTAATATTTTAAAATATGTATTAAAGTAATTTAAAACTATTTTAACAACACGGAGCAGATACGGATAGGCGAGTGACGAGAGACAATGGGGTGGGGATAAGAGCCATGGGGTGGGTGGGGTGGACAGGCGGAGTGGTTGTGGTCTTGTGGACCGGTGTAGCAAGGTAGGAGGGGGTAGTGTAGAAGAGGGTTGACGAGGGGTGGAAGGGTAAAAGCGGAGGGGGTAGGCATTGGGGTAGAGGGTGACGATGGCAAGGGTGGCGAATGGGACGAAGATGGAGAGTGGTAGAAATTTTCGTTTGAAAAGAAACAAAAATCATTTTCCACTTGATGCGAGAAAATATTTTCTTTGAAAAGTATTTTCCTACCACTTATGTTACTAAACAAAAAAAATAGAATCAGAATTTTTTAGGAAAATATTTTCCTCCCACCAAATGCACCTTTAGGTTGAGATTTTTTTCTCCCTCTATTAAAGAACTTTACCCATATATTCAGATAACACTTTCTATTTCGAAATCCAAAAAAAACATCCTATTTGAGTGAAATCTATAATCTCATTCCTCACTTTTAACTCTAATTTTTAAATTTGGAATCTCAAATTTAAAGTCTAAAGGCCGGTATGGTAAGTGTAGGAGATGTGAGTTTCAATATCTCATGATATTGGATTTTTTTATGTTTGGTGGGACATAAAAATAATTTAATTCAATATTTCCAGAGATCACAAATCTTTCAAATAGAAATTTTCGATATCTCTCAAATTTAAGAGATAACAATGTGGCTGGGGATTTGATATCTCCTTCAATTATCGGTTCATCCCAGCCACCGGCTGCCATTTTCATCACCAACCACTCCTGTTGCCGACGACTCCCGTTAATCATTAATTAAATTATGATTTTATATATCTCTCAACAATTTTATTTCAGATTTTGAAACTCATATCATTTCTCACAGATTTCAAAATTTATATCTAATTATATTTTCAAAACTCATCCAATAGACCCTACAGTTTTTAATGTGAAATTTATGTAAGAAAACTGAAGTGTTCAAGAACTTTTTTGTCAACTTAATCTCTAACTAAATTCGAGTCCAGAGTTGGGGATCAGTTGGGTCTTGAAGTTCAAATACTTGAAATTGGGAGGTGAAATAAACATGTGGAGACTAGAGTTTTAAAATTGACTTATAAAAAAACTTAGATTGAATCACATTAAAAAATTGAATTCAATCGATTCTTTAATTCAACTTTATAGTTTATATACCATTTACTTTTTTCTTCAATTTCTGATGCGAATACTATAACACTTCTACTCAAGTGGATAATCAGGCAAGTTGAGATTAGTTTTGAATAATTTTCATTGTTCAATTTTTTGGAAATTTTCCTTTAAATTTTTAAAATTGCTTTCTACCTCCAGCATTTCTTACCAATTTCAATTTAATTTCTATTGATTGCTTTATTTATTTCATTAATTTTGTATGATTTTAGTTATTTTTCTCGTTTTCGTTATTTTTTATATCTATTTTTAAATAAAAGATTCAAAAAAAATTAAAAACAAAAACTCATCAAAAATAATCTTAACTTTCATTCTGTTACGCAAAACAGGCATTCCCGTTAACATGCCGTTAGCAACTTAACGGCGATTCAAAACTCACTATTTTAAATAAAGTTAGGATTATTATGTATCACAGTGAAATATGAGATTATTTTTGAAAGAGCAGGTAAAGTTGGGATTATTTTCAATAATTTTCCTTATCATCATCATCATCATCATCATCATAACCATAATAGGTAAAGAAAGTAAATAAAAATTGACCGTACAAATTGTGTACATGCAATTTAATTAGGCAAAGAGGGAATAGTATAATTATTATTTTTTAATTTAAAATGTTCATATATTTCTCAGATCAATTTAAATTAAGTAAATATTTCAAATTTTTATAAGATAGTTCAGTGTCATGTAAATTAATAGAAAAATTCCCAATAAAAATATACTCCATAATATTTATGTTAAGAATATAAGAAAAAACAATTCTCCGTAATTGGTGTGAATCACAAAATAGTGACATGGAAAAAAATAAAAAATGATAAATAAAAAAAATATAGTTATGAGCATATTAACAATAATAATACATGAAAATATATCATTTTTTGAAACATTAGTTGAGGAGTAGAAAAGATTGAAAGAAAATGTGAATAGCCGGAAAAACAGGAAGAATTTAAAAAATGGAAAAAAGAGGATAAGATTGAAAGAAACTAGAAGGACTAAAAGTCAAAAGTTTAAGTTTTAAAATAACATGTTATAACAAGTTTTAATAACATGAATTAAAAGTTGAGGAAAACATATCACAAATATAGAATATAATGTTTTAAGCACCTTTTGATGAGTTTAGAAGATTGATCTAGTATGATTTAAGAAACTAAACCATCGCTCTTTTATGAAAGTTTTTGTTTATGATCTTCTTTGGAGAGTTTTAGAATATTGATATAGTAGGAGTTAAAAAATCTAAAACAAAAGACATATTTATTAAAAACAAAAGTATTTAAACATATTTGAAATGACGGTTGATAGTAACATGTGAGAATGACAAACGATGATAAATGGCTAGCCAAGATAGATGATCGGAAACGATGCGTGTCTGACATTGGATGGCCGAAAGGGATGGTAGATCAGCGGCAAGAAGGGACGGTTGGAGGCTGACAACATGTGACAATTGACAAGGGGTGACAACAATAGTGAGTGATAAGCAACGGAAGGTGGTTAACAACGATGGGCAATGTGCCCAGTAATGGTGGGCTTAGGGCCGGCAGGATGTGATAAAGTTAAACTGTAAGTTTTCTTTGATGATAAAAAATATTCCCTACATCCTAAAGTATGTATAAAAATAATTTATTTATTTGATATCGATTATTAAAAAAGAATATGTAATTCAAAATATTTCATTTTTCTAAATACTACGTAAAATTTAATCATTAAACTTTTCACATTCCAACAATTTGTTTTTAATATCCCATGAAAATCAAAACAAGTAATTTATTTTGATAAATGAAAGAATAGAATATGCTTTATTATCTTCGATGAGTATTAAACGTGGTGACAAGACAATAGCCCATTAAAAAAAAAGATCTCCACAAAACAGTTAAATACCCGCCGGGCAGTCAATAACAGCAGAAAGGGCAGCGAACCAGCCCGTATTCGTTGCAAACGTGGCACCTCCGCACTTGTCCTTCCCCCTCGTCGAACACTTTCTTGCTCCCGTTGCAATTTGTGCAGGGAAAGAAGCGCGCGTCTCCGCAGCCGTTACATACGGCGGCGCGTCCCGGCGGCCGCGCCGGGAGACCCCTGAGCAGTTTGACCAGCTCGCCCACTTCGTTCATCTGCTTGATCACTTCAGCCCCGCCGATGTACTTCCCTTTGATGAAAATCTGCGGCAGGCTCACGCTCTTCTCCCCCAACGCGCTCTGCAGCTCCGCCCTGTACGCGCCGTCCATGGAAACGTCCCTCTCGTCCACGTTCACCCGGAAGCTCTTCAGGATCATCCGCGCCGTGTAGCAATCCTCGAACGTCCGGCGGATTCCGCGGAGGCTGGTGAAGTAAACGACCACTCTGTCGTCCGTCCCAGGCAGCAGAGGCGGAGAATCGCCAGATCCGGAAATCGAGGGTTTCGCGGCGGCGGAGACGGTGGAAGATTGCCGCTGCAGGGGGAGAAAGCTGGACAATCCGCGAGACAGTTTCTGAGCGTCGAAGAGAGAGCAGAGCTTCTTCACCTTCCCCGTGAACGAATTCCCGGCGACGGAAACGATCGAATCGAAGGCGGAGGATCCGTGGATCTTCTTAATTGACCCGATCCGTTCCACGGAGGGCTTCCTGGAGAGCCCGAAGGCCTCGCCGGAGGTGCGGCCGGGAGCCATCGTCAACGATCGATTGAAAGGCGAAACCGGATTCATCTTCGGATTGTTGTTTTGAGATTCGATCTTTTCCCTACCAGCCATCATCAAAATTGGAGAACGAAGAGCGTTCGAATATATAATTTCTGTGATCTTCTTCGCGACCGATCGAAGAAATTCAAAATTTGTTTGGGAAGGTATTTGCAGAGATAGAGGAGAAATGGAGGATGGGCGAACCCTCTCAAGGAAGGAGATGACGATATTTTCTGCCTGTTTTTCTGTTGTTAATTTTCCGGCGAAAGAAAAGGCGTAAAAAATGAAATGGTGTGGTTCCATATTAAGAAAAAAACGAGGGAAAACCAAGCTTAATTACATTGGCTTATCCTTAACTAATTACTCGTGGCACCATTGTTTTAGCGGTCCATTATTCGGTAGACTCTACTTTGTAGTTTGTACACCATCATCCCATTGTACGACATACTACCTTCGTCCCGGTGCATTTATTCAGTTTGACTTTTTCGAGACAAATTGGACAAACTTTGAGCTCTAATTACTCTCAATTTATATTGCATATTAGCATAATAAAATACAATTTTGAAAGTTCTCAATACGATAAATCCAATAAAGTCATTTTTATGTTAAAATACATTCAGGTTTTTATTTAATTGAAGCTCAAAGTTTGTCCAGTTTGACTCGAAAAAAGTCAAACTGGACAAATACATTGGGACGAAGGGAGTAATATTTTTTGATATATCAAATGTCTTTTCTTAATTGTTTTATTAATGAAAAAATTAACGTAGGAGTAACACATTGAAAATATAAAAATATATCAAAATAGGAGTTTTATATTTTTATTCACGAAATAGAAGTTAAGATACATATTGAGTGACAATTATGATCATATACATTACAAAAAAATATTGTGAGATGTTCACATACAATGTCACATTACTACAATGTCAACTCTTATTTTGGGATAAAAAATGAAATTTTATACTTTGATATTTTCTCTATATTTTATTCTTGTTTAGCAAGATTTCTTTTTATTGATATTTGTTCAATTTAACTTTTTTGAGACAAATTAAATTAGAGCAAATTTTGAATAATCTGCAAGACAAGTTTAATGAAGTTCCTTTTATACTAATACTCCCTCCGTCCCTGAAAATCTCTCCTTTCTTTTTTTATTCGTCCCAAAAAACACTTCTTATTTCTATTAAAAAGTCACTTTTACCTTTTGGTTTTCATACCCTACCTATCACATTATACCTTTTTACAAATAATCTACCTATCAAATTCTACTTTTAACCATTACATCAAAGGACATTTTTAGAAATTCAATACCAAAATACACTCTTCTTAAATCTCTTCAAAATTAAAACATCCCATGTTTAAAGGGACGGAGGGAGTATATAAGTAATACGGAATATAATTTTTTTTAATTAAAATTTAAAAATTATCTAGTTTGATTCAAAAAAATCAATTCAAATGATTACATTAAGACGGAATTGATATTTTTTAATTTATTGAAGTACAAAAAGTCAACGCTCTTTTAAGATTTGAACGTGTAAATTTCATTTGACGGAGCCCTAATTTGAAGGTCTTGTTGATCTCAAGCTTACAGAGAGAAAGTAGATTCCGTATTGATAATAACTAGTGAATGGATCGCTGCCCCTACTTACAACCCGAGATGGTTATATATAGACGAAACAATGAGGCATAAAGCCCCGAAATACAATTTGGACCGGGCCAATATGCTCGGCCGCCCTACTATTGTCCACCATATACTATACACCGAGTATTTGGTAATAGATTGAAAAATGTATAAACATATTCTAACTTTGTAATAGAATCAATATAATTGGAAAAGGAAATCTTTTGTTTTGGAAGGGAAGGGAGGAGTAATTAATAAGATTAAACCGAAGTGTGGGATTACTAATTGTGAGATGAAACCGATCGAAGAAGATTACTTAATTATATCAAATGAGTTTCATAATTAATCCGGAGGATAAGTGAAACAATTTACTCATATAGCCCAACTTAAGCACTCCGCATTAACTAAACTTCCTTTTGAAAAAAAGAAAAAAGAATCCATTTTCCAGCAGCGGCATACATATACGTGTGCTGTGGAATAATGTTCCATAGCCATTCTCTAATCTTCACCATAAACCGCGTGGTGAACCGGTTAAATTCAAATTAATTAGTCCGTCAGTTTATCGTCTTATCGTCTTTGTCGATTGGACGGAGGAAAGGCCGCAACTTTCTTCCAAAAGGACAGAAGCGGCCTTTCTCTTCCGGCAGTTCTGCTGTTGCTGTTGCGACTGCAAGGAAGAAACCTCTTCTTCTGCTTCAGCAGCAACAGCCACAGCAGAGCTGGGTCTCCTGAGGAGATGAGACCTGAGTTTGTTGACGTCGGATTGGCGGACCGGCTTGAGGAAGAACTCCTCGGCGCCTTCCTGGAGGCACCGGTCGATCCGGGAGGGCAAATCCTCGGAGGACATGATCACCACCGGGATGTCCCTCAGGGAGGAACACCCCTTCACCTTCCTCAGGAGCTCGTACCCCGTCATCCCCGGCATGCTGTAGTCCGTTATGATCAAATTCACCCCCTCTATCTCCTTCCCCAATACCTCCATCGCCTTCATCCCCGACTCCACCACCGTCACTGCCAATTTTTCCAACCCAAAAGAAAATCAGCTCAAAGATTCAACAGTTATATATATGTTCTTACAATGAGAAACTTGTACGTGGTTGCAGGCTCAAGAAATGTTTTATACTTTAACACTTAAAAGATCGTTTGGAACGAGGGAGGAGAAAGAAAGGATTGAAGATGATATGTATATGTACCTTGATAAGAGCAGGTTTTAAGGAGCCTCTCAATGAGCTTTCTATCAATGATGCTATCATCCACTGCAAGAACATGGAACTTTGCTTCATCTGATGAAGAAGATGAAGATGAAGAAGACATTTTCAATGGAAAGAGATGGAGTTGTTATTAGAATATAATGAACTGTATGTATGAAGCTTGAATTGAATCAAATAAAGCATATATGGAGAAGAAGAATCTATATATACTATAGATAGGTGTGTGAGAGATCAAATTAAAGATACGAAAGAAAGAAAATAGGAGTGATAATATATTGAGAGGGGATGGGAAGATACGCCAAAGATACAATCTTTGAAAGTGGGGGGAGAGATATATAGTATAAGTCATATTCTATCTCGCTGAGAGGAGTAATATACTATGCCCAACAATATTTGTTCCGTTTTTATTTTTTAGTTAATCATTTTAAAAAATAAATAGTGTATTAGTTAGATAAAATAATATTTTAAAAATATTTTATATAATAAATTTAAAAAAATTAATTTCTTATCAATATCTAATATTATTTTTATTTAATTTAAAATTAAAATTTACTAGTTTTGATTGAAAAAAATGGAGAGTGGACTAATAATCAGAAGAAAAGAGTATAATTTAATAAATGAAGGGAAATTAAATCAGACAAAAACATATACGGAGTTTGTATGTTTTGTGACATATATCATCGGATCAGAATCTTGAAGATATTGTTGGAGTTGAGGGCGTGGGACCCACTAACTCACGTTACTTACCTCCGCGTTTTCAACTCGCCGTTTCGCCTCTACCGCGCGCTCTCTACCTACGAGTCGATCCACTGTTTTTAATTCGCCAGTCTCCGTTTGGTCAAAATATAGATACTCTTGTGTCTTCATTTGTTTATTAATATAGATACTTTGTCCCTGAGTTTTTATTTATTTTTGATTTTTTTCAGTCAAAATGGGTAAATTTTAATCTTAACTTAAATAAAAATGATACTTCCTCCGTCCCAAAAAGTTTTACACATTTTGACTAAAGTGGAAATTAAAGGAGGGATAAATTTGTGTTGACTTTCCAAAAATAACCTTGATTTGATGTGTAAAAGTAGGATGTGATGTATAGATTATAAGGAAAAAGGTATGATGTGATAGGTAGGGTTTGAAAAAGTAAGGGGTAAAAGTGGTTTTTTTAATAGAAATGGGTCGGAGATTGTGGGACGCAATTCTTTTGAAAGGTGTAAATCTTTTTGGGACGGAGGGAGTATTAGATATTGGTACAAAATTAATTTTACTAGATTTGTTATATAAAATATTTTTAAAATATTATTTTATCTAATTAATATATAATATACGGAGTATATTTTATTTAATTATACGTCAAATGTTGAAAATGATTGATCAAAAAATCAAAACATGATAAATACTCAAGGACGGAAGTAGTAGAATTTAGTTACTTATAAATTGGTACAAGAATAATTATAAAAGAGTTTAGTATGGTTTTAGTCGATGTAAAATAAATAAGTTTTATTTTTCGTCTTTCTAAATTTTTTAAATCAAGTCATCGTTGTAAAATATTTATTTTTGGGCTAAAATCCACCATTGGTCCTTCAACTTTATCAGTTGTGCGCGATTAGTCCTTCAAGTTTCAAAAGTCTATAAATAGTCCTTCAACTTTATGAGTTCTGCACCATTGGTCCTTCAAGTTTCAAAAGTTCATAAATAGTCCTTCAGATATACGTCGGCCCTACATATGAAGTCCTTTTGATAGTAAATATTAAAAATTAAACGAAATACTAATTTCATATAATACGAGTAAATTCCACTAGGTATGACTACTCCGTATTATATGAAGCTACTATTCCATTTAGCTTTTAACATTTACTGTAAAAAAGACTTCATCTGGAGGGCTGACGTGTACTTGAAGGACTATTTATGCACTTTTAAAACTTGAAAGACCAATCGTGCATAACTCATAAAGTTGAAGGACTATTTATGAACTTTTAAAATTTGAAGAACTAATCGTGCACAATTGTTAAAGTTGAAGGACCAATGGTGGAGTATTGGAGTTTAGCCTTTATTTTTGCAAAGAGTCTTTCACTATTTATTTGAAATTTAGAGTTAATGTTTAATTTGTTTTTGAGTCCCTAAAAAATCAGTGATTTTGTTTTTGTTCCTCTAAAATGTTTTAAATCCATAGTGGTTTAATTAACACGACTTGAAAATATATTCTTGATATTTTTAAAATTAAAAGACTAATCGTGAATGAGGTAATAATTCGAAAGACTAATTATAAAATTTAGCCTAAAATTTCCATGCTCAAAGTAGAAAGTAGGGCAGGGCGGAGGAGTTTGGACTTTTGGATCAGCGGCTGGACTTTTTCGGTCTTTTTCCTTTCAAATATTCACTTGCTCATATACATTATCACATGGCTTCTACTCGACATATATTTTAAAAAAATCCACATTTTATACTAAAAGACAGAGTTATAATTAAAATATAAGTTTTGTATTTTTAATATCAAAATAAGACTGCTATCTTGTGAAAACTTGACATGATATATTTGTTGGTTATTTTAGTGTAATCAACTACGAAATATATAAGAAATTTATGAGCACAATCTTCTCTTGGTTTTGAATAAGTGGACCATATCAGAACCCGAATAAGAAATTTTGGAGGACCGAAGACCGGATTGGAAAGTGGCCGGTCTGGGTTTGACCGGGTTTTGGGTCGGTCCGGGTTCAGACCGAATCATGCACAACTGCAAGCAAGATGGTGAGATCATTCAAGTGGTTCAAAGTAATCTGCACCGTTGAAACTTTTTTCTAAAATACGAACACTAATTACTAGCGTTATTTCCAAACAGGCATATCATGGCATTAGAAAATTGAGTTAAGGCATATTTAGTCCCAAAAAAGGACATCTCATTTCAATACATACCTAAGAGCAAATATCTTTTGACCTTGTGTTAAAATGACTTTCAAGTGACCATGACATTTTGAGATACCTATAGGGATCCGTTGATGAAATTAATAGTTCGTACACTCAAATCTATCCCCAAACCTCTCTGCACCAAGGTCAAAAGAACAATTAGAAAATAAATATTACGGGTAACAAATTTGGATAAGCATCTTTAAAAAATTTTCCAACGCAAATAGGATTATTAGCTTAATATACATCATTAGATTAACAAAGTTTGAATATATGCTATATTATCGTAGAGTGAATAGCACAAAACAAAGATATTAGATTAAATTTTGATAAAGTTTAGGGTGGATTATTATTACTCGTAATCAGTAATCACGCGGGTGGCTAGTTCTAAAAAGAAACAAAAATTCCATTGCCGGGAATTGAACCCGGGTCTCTTGGGTGAAAGCCAAGTATCCTAACCGCTGGACGACAATGGAGCTCCTGAATTATTTTGTTCGTTCAAATATATATATTACAATTATATCCATTCAGAGAGAACTTGGTACATCACTTTCATGTTTTCAAGAATATATTCTTCCCTTCTTTAATTAACAAAAAGAGCATTTATTTTTTAAAGGATGCACAGTTATCTTGTTTAGTTGCTCCTTTGCTTATGAGTCAAAGAATCATTGATGGGTGTTTAATGTTTATGTAATTGGTTTTATGTCTAATCTTGGATTAGGCCATGTCTTCCTAATTTTCTCAACCCTAATTTTATGTTTGGTTTGAGCGAAAAAAGATTTAATTGGAATTTACAAAGTCGAAACTCAATAGTAGCAATGTAGCATCGAGAAAATCCACACAATAAAAAAACTCATTTATTTTGTGGAATTATATTTTACTCATCCGTCTTTGAGTATTTGTCAATTTTTATCTTTTTTTAGTTAAAATTAATAAATTTTAAATACAAATTACATAAAAATGATATTAAATGTTGATACAAAATATATTTATTAGATTCAATTTGTAAACTATTTTCACATTAATATTTTATCTGATTAACATATACTCCGTAATATATATTTTCTCTTGTTATGTGTCAAAAATTGAAAATCGTTGACTGGAAAAGGCCAAAACTAAACAAACACTCAAAAACTGAAATACGATAAAAAGATGCAAATAGTTTGTGCAGTTTGCATCTCCATTACAACAGGTAATATATTCACGATTTCACGTTCCTTTTTTCCAAAAAAGTCATGTCAAAGATTCAAAGACTTTATTGGCAGGATTCATCCAAAGTTCTAATATTAAGGGCACATAATCCTTACAAGGATGAAACTATTTCTACGCTAAAAAAATATTTGTCCCGTAACAAAGCATTTTATACGAAAAGGAGTGTAAAATTAAAAAAAAATTACATTTTCAAAAAAATCTTCAAAACTAGTTTTGACATGAATATATTATTTTACTCCATATCAAATTACTAAGATATAAAAAGAAAATGAATGAAATGTGATAATATGTAAAGTAAACATGCAATCTAATTTGGTATGGAAGGTGTACTACGGAATATTAAATGCCTGTTTTTCTATACTTATAAATATGTTAAAACTACTTATAGGTTATTTTTAACGTATAAATCAGCTAATAACATGTTCCTCTATTTATAAACTGACCTATAAGCTACTTCTAAGCCACAAACAAATAAATCTTACCTACTTAGTTTTGAGTCAATGCTTTAATTTATATATTTTGACCAAATTATCTTTTATTAATATTCACAAATAACTTCTTTATCATTTAATTGTCAATTTTTTTCAATTGTCTACACTAATAAAAAGATTTATATTTCAAAATAAACTTTACACTTTTTTCATTTGTTCCAATATAACCTTCATACTTCTCAATTTTTTTTATATGAAATATATACGTAACTCATGGCCGGATTATATAATATTTATCAACAAAAATTTCAACTACTTTTCACAATTTTCATAACTTACACTCTGCAAATCATGTAACAGTAAGAGCTATGTCAATGGCGAGATAATACTCATGAGTGAAGTGCTTTCTTACCATTGGGAAAAAAAAGTTACCCCAAAATAATGATGTGGATGAGAAAAAAGTGTTTCGAGATTGGTAATTATTTTTTCCCCTCACTATTAAGAGCGCTATAATATGTACAACACCAGTATCACAAAGTTGAGCCAGCAGAGAAGATCCCTTTGGTGCCTCACAGTGTCTATACATTGTGACCCAAAAAAATAAAATAAAAAACTAATATAAAACAAAGACAATGAGAAATGCTGATATAAAACCCATCAAGGAAAGAGGTTCAAATAATTCACTTCCTCCCCCCAAAAAAACAAGTAACATTAACTAGCTATGAAAAAACGGGGAAGCCTATTTAGCCCGAAACTCCTGCCTGAATATTGTCAAATTCTGGGTGAATTTGTCACGATTTTTTGTATCCAAGCAATTCGTGACATTCATCATTAACTTGTCGAAACATAAAGAGAGGTGCTCGTGCTGATAAACTGGCTGCAATTGGAAGAAAAACACGCATGAATGCAGAGAATGAGGAGAGAAACCCAACACATAGTACTCTGAAAGAACGGTGTGATGTAGGACAAATATTGAACACAAAAAGGGTTTTGTGAATTGAATCAAGAATCAGAGGAATGGAGTGAAGGAATTGAGAGCAGAAATTCTTCTAGAGGAAAGCGCGAGAGAGCTAACCTGAGAAGCTAGAACTTGAGCTTTTATATCACTGAATATCTGCACAGAAACATTAACCAAGTAATCAAGATTCAGTATATGCTCATAAATAGCATTTTTGCAACTGTATAATATTCAAAACAAAACAAAACAAAACAACAATGAAGTGTCAAATGAGCTTTGAAGATCCAGACACCTTGAAATAAATTATACTGAGTAAATCATATGGAGTACAATATATTCCAGTGTAAGAAAAAAAAAGATAAATAGGCCAAGGACTTTAAAGAAAATAACTACCACTTCAATATTACATCAATCACTATCCAGAGTATTACTTCATGGCTTTGTTGTTGTTTGTATACTTGGAGAATGATTAATGGTCGTATACACTGGCACAAACATTGTGCAGCACTGGCATTATTGTGTAGGGTTTAGAGAGGCAGAACACACACAGTTTACAGTTTGTAAAAAAAAATTGTTTCCTAACCATCTAATATTAAATGAATTAGGGAAAGATCTGTAAGCAATCACCTGTTGACAGATAAGCACCAATCCTAGCATTGGTTTGCTAAAATTCAATTGGTTGCCATTGTCTTCAAAAAGATAAATCTCGAAGAACGTTTTTAGAATCTGAAAAAAAATGTTCCAAACAGGTGCAATTATGTAAAAACACTGTGGTTAGCATGTACAATAGTGTGCATTCAATCAACACAAAACCTAGAGTAAAATCAGTAAATAACCATAATTTGCACATTTCTAATACCATGTTGCAAAACTGTAATCTGGATTAGATTTCTTCCCACTCCTTCCAGTTCCTTCCAACTCCTTCCATTTTTTTACAACTCTTTTTAGTTTTCTTCCAACAACTTGAAAAATGTATTTACATATGATGACTATACAATAACATTATATATCCAAATTTATAACATAACACCTCAAACACGGACAAAAATAAATTCTTTTTTATATCCAAAATTAGTTTTCCTATATATTTATTTGGATGATCATTTAATTGAGTGATATTTTTTAAAATTATATTTTCCAACATTTTCCAACTCCTTCCAGTTTCTTCCAACCTTTTCTACTTTCTTCCAACATCCAACTTTAGAATTCCAACCGAAAAGAACAGAGCCTTAAATAGCTTTACATGACATTTTATGCCAAAATAGTTTGGTGGTTGAGTGTATTAGAGAGTGCATAATACTGAGTGTGATATTTTTTTTTTATATCTTTTCTAAATCTCTCTCAAAACACAGTTTCGCTTTTTTAATGTGTACAAATTTCTAATGAGAGCCTTACTGTGGGACAGAGGGAGTAGCAATATAGGTCAGCATCCGTGTGCACGAACAATGTCTAAGTCGATAAAGAGCAATTCTTTTCACTCACTTCTCACACTACATGTAAATTGTTTGTTGGATGTCCTCTCAGAAAAATCCTCCCCCTCCGTCCCTCCCTCCTTCTAAAAACAACAACAACCACAACCCAGTTGAATCCCACTACAGTAGAGTCTGGGGAGGGTGTGTGTACGCAGACCTTGCCCCTACTTGGAAGTAGGGAGGCTGTTTCCAAGAGACCCCCGGCTCCCCCCTTCTAAAAAGAAAAAAAGAAAAAAAAACCTGCTCTAATGTGGATATGTTGGGTGTCTTTGCTTTGGCTTGGCTAACTTTTTAAATTGAAGGACTTTTTTTGCATCTTTTACCAAGAATAGAGTAGAAGATTTAGCTGTAAAAACAAAACAATTTAGCTCACTTGAGGAAATAAATTGGGAGACTCTGCTACATGTCTAGCAAGACTAACAGCAGCAGGTGAAGTGGGTGCTTCCTCCATTGTGATGTTGTTGAAGTAGAATGAAGCTAGATTGTCGAATGCAGATGCACACTGAGCAGATAAAAAGTATGCAGAGCTTAAGCACCGTGTGAATATATCTTTGCTAAAATATTGCATAGTGGTTTTATTACACGGGTAAAAAAGAACGCACCCAACAAATGTATGGAACTACATATGAAACCACCAACTTTGGTGATTCACATATTCAAGTAATTCAACTAGAGTGCATGAAAAGTTTCAATAAAGACATACTTCCTCCATAGCTGCTATCAAAATGTATTTCGGCTTCTGATACATCAGTTATTTTCCTGACATTCATGTCCCTTAAGAACCAAACACTTTCCTTTTTGTTTGTCCCAGTAAAATTACTCATTTTCACTTAAGGAACGGATATGAGGTTCACATTATTTCTCTCTTTAAAATAAATTTCAACCACACATCTCTCAGTCTCTAACTCTTCTTGTAATTGTGAGCCCAGTCAAATGGGGTACTATAAAAGGAACGGAGAGAGTAATAGTCATGAAGAAAGAATAAGCAAAAAAATATGGAATCCATAATTCCATATCACAATTGACAAGCTACTCTCTCCAGCCTTGAAAAACCAGCCAGGGTTGAATATTACTTTTCAAACAATACAAAAGTGATCTAAAAGCTTAATGGGCTCTCAAGCTACGACCTCTTGTTTAATTCAAAAGAGGAGAGGGGAGGAAAATAGGAGAGTCAAAATTTTTGTCAAGTTTGTTCAATCAAGGTGTGAGTAGGAATTTTGATTTTTAAAACTATACGGAGTATTTGTATAAAAGATTAAATGATAGAGTATGATTTTTCTGTAATTGAGAATCTAGAAGCTATATGCAGAGCGACAATAATGTAGAACAAATGAACAATTTTGATTAAAAAGTGAAAAAAAGAATATATAAAATTAATACTTCCCCCAAAGCCCTCAAACGAGCTAGATATGAGCTTGAAAAAGTCTATAGAGCTGCTTCACTTCCATCCCCTCTCTTCCAAATTCTCCAACCAATCGAGGAATAAATATTTTTTTATTAATTTTTATTCAAAACCATTGATACGTTCCACAAAATGTTACTCTATCCGTCCTATATCTTTCTTTCCATTCTCTTTCTTGGTCGCCCTATATCTTTCTTCTCAATTCCTTAAATGGAAAGACTATTCACTTTTTTATACAACTAAAAGACTATTTTACCCTTACTTTTTGACTATTCACCTTTTTACATCTCCTTTCAATTTATTACATAACCAAGTGCAAAATGGAAAGCCATTCATTTTTCATCTTACATTAAAAAGTGCGCCAAGTCAAAATAGGCAGAAAAATACATGGACTGAGAAGGGAGTAGATCTTGCAAATTGGAAAGTCAAGTTGGGTTCAAGTTTGGTTCCTTTGGAGTCGAGTTGAGAACTTTAATTACCTATGTCATGTGGTTTGGGTCCACCCAATTGAATCCCACCAAAGTAGAAGAGCGTGTGTGTACGCAGACCTTACCCCTACTCGAAAGTAGAGAGGTACTCCGTACATCAATATTATAAATAATATAAAAAACTTAAATATGGAGTAATATGAATGCAGAGCATAAAGAATATTTTCACAATTGCTTAGGTCTGGAGTCATCACCTGAGTGGGTACACGAGCATCCAGTGCTTTTAAACCAGATTCCAACAAACCAACAATGTGCACAAACGTTTTTGTATCAAGGCTAAGTACAAAAGCAATATTCCTGTTGAAAAGAACTTCCAAAAAGGAAAAGTACGCCCTTGTGAGCTGCAAAGAGAAGAGTTTCACTGGAATTTAGCTTTCAAGTTTACTTGATGCTAAGGTTGACTGAAATAATATGACCTACAACCAAGCATCAATATCGTATGGCACCGTATGCAAATGTAGGTACAATACACCCTGATAAATATAGACAATGGAAAAGCTTAACATTTCAATGACCTCATGTATTTTGACTTGTAGTAAATAGGAATGAAGGATACTGATGGAAAAGCTTAAAGTGGCCGTTTAGGTGCTTACTAATGAAAAAGTACGTTTTTCTGGAAAAATGAAGGATAGAAAACATATTTACTTCACCATAGATCTGATAGGGTTATAGGGCAGTAGTGACCACAAAGAAGTTTCCATCTAGAAGTGGCCAACATACATGAAAATAAGACAAAAAAAAGAGGTGGTTGCAAATAAACTGTCTTTCATGCAACTATGTAATTCGGGATATATGTACTTAGTGCTCTAACTAGGGATTGTACTGGTTCCAAGACCCGACCTAGATCTATTTTCAAGGATATGAGTCCAAATTTTTTTTAACCAATGGATATGGGTCAGATTTGGGTCTGGGGAGTCCAAATGGGTATGGGTCAACTTTTTTCGAATCTGGATATGAGCCCAAACGTTGAGACCCATATCCTTACTCATATCCAAATCTAGACCCACACTTAGACCACACGCAGATATATTTTAAAGAAAGTTGTCTTTTATCCCACACTACAGCACTGCGATTTCTGTTTGCTTTTTCAATACAACTTCCTTCTTCGTCTCTTAGATCTCATCGGGATTCATCGTATGTGACAGATCTATCTCCAATTATCACAAACACGGCAATGCTAGTCAGCCTAGCCACTGCATTGCTGAAAATGTGGGCTAACCTCCAATCTCTAGCCAACATCATGTTCAGGAGACATGTTTTAGTTTTCTTTATTTTATTCTCATACAATTCTATATTTAAAATATGTTAATATCTTAATAAATTGGTGTTCTCTAAATAAAATCTACATTTAATCTAAAATTTTAAATGGTTAATATTTGTAAATAGGTTGATACATGTTTTTCCCAAGAAGGTTTTGTTAGAAATTTGTGTTAACAGTTTTAATATTTAGTACTCCCTCCATCCGCCGTAGATCTTCCCAAATGCCCTTTTTGTTTGTCTGGGAAAGATCTTCACATTACCTTTTTTAACATTTAAAATATCACAACTACCCCCACCTCATTTGATATACTCCACTCAATTTCATTACACCTCACATTATTTATTACACCTCACCCACCTCATTTGATATACTCCACTCAATTTCATTAAGGGTATTTTAGTAAACTTTCACCTTTTTTCAACTCTCCTTAAAACCACAAAAAAAGTCAACTTGGGAGGACCTATTGCGGACAGAGGGAGCATTTGGTTAAGTCTTATATATGTTATTTGAGTCTTTGTCAACTTTAAGTGCTGGATACACTTTTTGTATCATGACTAAATATTAATTTTAATAATAAATAATGTGGATCCGCTAAAAACCTATTTACCCGTTGGAGCGAGAGGCTATAGGTACGGTTCCACCATCTATAGAACCATTGGATATGGGTTCAAACAAATAATAATAAAATGGATCTGGGTTCAAATGGACCCTGCCCAATGCCATCCGAGGCTCTAACTAGGTTATTTAGCTTAAACTACTATGAAATGTAGAAAAGATGGAATAACTAGGAAAGCACTAAAAACCGAAACACCGTTTGGAACTTATGAGGAAAAGCCTCTTTTCCTTGAAGTGCTAACTGGGTGAATACAGATTTTAATGAAATGTTAGTCATTAATAGGGAAAAAAAAAATTGAAGCAGAACCAATGTTTCCTATTAGTTCTAATATGATGCCTTGGCTAAAAATTCTCCACAGAATCAACAACTAATGTTAAAGTCAATAGAAGTCACGGAGCTCATGCCCTTATCAACTTGCATAAAAATTTCACTGAAAAAAAATCCTGGCAGACGGGGACAGAATGGTTTCAATATCTACCCTAACAGTAACTAACACAACTACAGAAATAGGGTCACTCATTAATCCATGATGAAGATGAAAGACATTGGTTGGTCTCCATAGCTATCAGAGTTTGGACTAGGATCTTACGAATAAAACAATTTATGAACAGAAAAAGGATCAACTGAACTCTGGAAGAGTGCAAATTTTCTATTAGATGCATTTTACCTTTGTGTATGCAAAAATATCAGCCAATGGAACTGACAGTGTCATCTTCAGGGTGATGTCCAGTGCGTCTGCAAGTGCTCTATCTCCGTAGAGTTCAAACACACCAAAGTTTACATAATTCCCAGCAAGAGCTGTCATTAGAGAAAGTCAACAATCCAGTGAACCTCAACAGTTTCTTATTTGTTCTTTGTTTTTTTGGAAGGATTTCTGTTTACACATGATTTCAACGATTTGAGAACTAAAAATTACCTCGTGAAAGAATAGTTAAAGAAATCAATATTCCCTTGTATTTATAGGCATACATATCGGAAGGATTTGGAATTGACAAGATTCTTGATCCATATGCAACAAGCAATTTGCTAACTTCCCTAAAAAGAAGTATGCCTTTTGGGGAAGAAGAGTCAAAAGTTAATCGTTGAGCTTTGTTTAACACGAACTCAGCTAAAAACTTCAACAGTGGTGTAGTGACCTGTGAAAATCAAACGAAGAATTAGGTCGCATCCATATATATATGTATATATATATATATATATATATGTATGTATGTATGTGTGTGTGTGTGTCTATATATATATATATATATATATATATATATATATGGGCAGGTGAGAATGCACCTTGGTGAAAGAAACAAGAATAAAATCTAGCCTTTGGATCCGATGCATCGTGCGACTCAGATTGCATCCTGGCTCAGATTTTGAGATAGTGCATTTTCAAAGGATTTTGGTGCATTTCGCCTTGATGCATTCTCAAACCATTTTGGTGCATCTAATTTTGATGCAATCCTGACCTTTAGATCTCACAATCTAAAACACCAGATTCATTCTTATTTCTTTCATAAGATCGCATTCTCACAAGAATCAAAATCTATATCTATATATATATATGTTTATACAGGGATCTGTAATCTCCCATTAGAAAACAATATGGTAAAACCTTCAGAAAGTAAAATCTGCATGAAACAATAAAATAAAGGCCAATCCTTAAAAGCTATATAGATATGTCTGAATTACCCAAATGAAGTAATCGGAGAATAGAAAAAGCAAAAACCTTTGCCGAGGTAAGCAAATATTAAAGGCATGGGATTTTATACGTTACAGACACTTACAAACTTAAATAGTTACCAATTCAATGTTTGGGATCTCATATTCACTTACCTCTGGAGTATCAGCCCATTGTGAGATTCCCTTTAATAGAACAGGCATGCGTGCAGGATATATCCAGTCAAAAAGTAGACTGTAAGCCCTATGACTGAACACAAACAAAGGTTGGTGTATAGAGAAGTATGGGCCAAAACCAAATTAGTAAAATAAAAAAAAAAGCATACTTATAAGTAGCCATAGCAATCCCACGAATGTCCCGCATAAGTCCAATCAAAGCGTACTTCACTGTATCGGTACGAAACATTGTGTCCTGCACTGACTCCAAAGTAAGGAAAACCTAAACAGAAACAAGTGTCAATAGGTGATTTTGTTCAACACTTCAACTTCAAATATATTTATCATTACATATATGTAGCAGAAAAAACATAAATATACTTGAAAGCGGAAACGAGTGATGTAAAAACATGTTTGCTTAGGCGCCAATAGGCCAAACAAAAATTTAAATTGAAACTCTATTGTTGGATGACCTTTTTTTAATATTTAATAGAAAATAGAATAACAAGACATAAGTTACAATAAAATAATATGAATCTTTAAAACTACATATTCCAAGGGTAGAGTCAACTGCCTAGAAACTTCTGCAACCATGGAAAAAAGACACCAATATTTAACACACATTTCAAATAGCATGAAGCTTAACATTGGACGGTTTTATAATGTCATCACCTTAAAACAAAACACCTCACAATAGTATAGGAATCTATTCATTGTGTTATTAAAGCATCAATTTCAGAGATCTGAGGGTGATGGAAGTGAATCATGTCTACTAACAAGATACACCAATAAAGTGCACCATCAGAACATCACACACTAAATATAAAAAAAAAAGCATATCTGTGTCAAATGAAAAAGGCAGGTGATAGATTTTACCTGGAGAAGAGGATCCATTGTTATTTTGAATTTCATAGAACTACCCTCTACAAAGATTAGCCATCCTATAATGTGGTAAAATGTTGTTCTACTGCGAGAGCATGCATGCTTTTCTAGGAATGGGAAATGTTCTTTCTAAGACAGAAATATAGAAGAGTTTGATTAATCAGTAGTGCACAAACATTTAATACCCTATGTTAATAAGGAACTGATAAGTGAGGCGAAAACATAGATATACCGTATGGTGTGCAATTATAAACTTGACGGTATCCAATTGGAGAAGTAACTTTTGGGTCATGTAACTGCAAACGATTTTTCCCCCTCATGCTTGTTAATATATTTGCAATATGTAGTATAGAAGGTTCAGAAATTTGCTAAATCAGACTCACCCAGATGCTAACTCTTGAAAGAGGTTCAAAGTATGATCAATAAGCTCCTCACTCTGAACGTTAGAACATAACGACGTGCGATTTAAACCACTGAAAATTATATGCAGGAACATAAGAGGTAAAAAGAATCACCTCAGTATAACACCTGAGGTTCGTTGCAACTTTTTGGATACAGAAATCTAATAACAAAAGATGATCATGCAGTCCAAGAAGTTCAGACAATCGGGCATACAACTGCTGCAGCAGAAACAGACTGCATTGAAGTGCATATCCATCCAAATATCTGATCTGATACTTATAGATGTATTGTGAAAATCCTGATTACCTTTGAAGAATGTATAGCCTGATCACCCACATAAGAGTTTCTGAAGTTCTGAAAAAAGATGAGAATTGCCTTATCAAGCCTTTGCTTGCTTGCTTCACCATATCTCTGCAGACCACTTGTTAGCTTATCGCATGCACAAGTAAAAAGATAAGAAAAAAGGACAATTTTTTAAGGGATGCGGTTAGAAGCTCGGTATATTGTGAACAAAAATATAGCATGGAAACTGAAGAATAGAGGATAAGGAACAAAATGTGTCTGAAATTAAATGAATCATCGAAAACAAATAAACAGCATGCAAAAAAACTGGCATTTGTGCACTCCCCAGTTAGAAAAACATCACAAACATGATTTTTTCCATTACATTCATATCAGCATCACAAATGTAAAAACCAAAACTGCGTCACTAGTCAGTACTGTTTTAGTTTTCACAGGTCACAAAGTTGGGAACTGTGAAGTAATGCAGAGTCTTAAACATTCAGTTACAATAAAGCACAAAATCAGAAAAAAATGAGCATTTAAAATCTCCTAATAATGAGGCCAATCCCTAGACCAGGCAATAAGGTCAATCGGTTCGGTTCCGGTTCGGATCTTTTCGGTTCGGGCCTGTTTCAGATATACTCCCTCCATCCACAAATAAACTTCCCGTTTACATGGTCAAATTTTATTCACCTATTTTCATCACCCATTTGTTAAAATAATATAGTCATGTCACCTCTAGTTTTGAAGATCTTTTGATATAGTTTTTTAAAATGTAATTTTTATTTTTAAATTTACACCATTTTTCATATAAAATGGTTTGAAAATAACTTCAGTCAAACATCGTAACACGCAACGGGAAGTTTATTTGTGGACGGAGGGAGTATGTTATAATCGGTTTGGGTCTGTTTGGTTTCGGGTTAAATTCGGTTTGATTTTTTCCCAATTCGGTTCGGGTTCATATCGATTCAGGTTTATACCGGTTTGGGTTTATATCGATTCGGGATTATACCAGTTTAAGATGAGATCCCTTGGTATTAGAGTTTCTAATGTTAGCCTTATGTGTAGTCTCTCCTCTCTATGTGTAAAGGGAGTATATATACAAATGTCATCAATAATGAGCTAGTATATTCATGTGTTACGATGTAACTATTAATTATATAAACTTTCTATAAAAATAAACAACAACCTTAGTTTAAGTGATAAAATACAAAGTAAAAGATTTGTACATTAAATCAGTTGTTCCCATAATTCAAATATGTTTTTTGTAGAAAGACATCAACCAATGAGCTATTAGGTTTGTATGGATTTGAGTGTAATTTGTTTTGAACTTGATCAATATCGCGTCTAATCGGTTTTAGGGTCTAATCGGTTTTGGGTCCAATCAGTTCCGGTTTTAATCGGTTTGGGTCTAACTGGTTCGGGTTCAATCGGATCCGGATCTGAATCGGATCTGAATACATTCCGTTCGGTTTCGTTTCGGTTCAGATCATTTAGGATGTTCGGGTTTAATTCGATTCTTCAGTTTTCGGGTCATTTCGGATTCGGTTCCGGTTATTCAGTTTGGGCTATCGGGTCCGGGTTAGTTTTGCCAGGTCTACCAATCCCACATGCTATATCAAGAACATACAAATCAATAAAGACTAACCAAGCGTATTTCACCATCTTAAATACAAGCAAATAAAGTGCAAACATCTTTTTGAGCTGCATACCTGACTATGTAACCCACTATCTGTCACATTCACTAGACGTAAAACACGGGCTGAGAGTTCTGCATCAATTACTTCTTGGACAGCGGCACTGCATAGACACGCAATAGAAATATTTAAAGTTAAAGCAGTGTGGATTGTATATAATCCCAGATGATATGACCCACTTTTTATAATGAAGAAGATATTCTCTAGTCAGCAAAAACAACAAACCAAAAAGAGAAAGAAGAGGGGGCGGGAATTTTAATCCTTTTACCTGCAACTGGTGCACTGTCTTATCTTCACAATAGCAGCAATAATATTAACAGCCCAAGCAAGTTTGTCTTCAGTAACGGACAGCTCAATGTTACTGCAGCCGGTCTGAAGTCGAGATCTTTCCTAATGAGGGCATGAGGCAAAGAAGAGTCAGAGCCAACTCAAGAAAAATATACACATTTAAAAAGACTGGGCTCTGTGGAATATAAGAACAAACATACCGAGTATGCCTGCAGTATGGGCTCCACAATATTTATTATAAATAGGCTGCATCTTTCATACTGGAATCAGAAGATTGCACGACATGAAAATCAGTCACTGCAAAAAACTGAAAACTCAAAGAAGAGCATTATGACCTTGAATCGTGATATGCATCATACATACCTGAAATCTACAAAGTTGTGGAAAGCAATCGAGTTGGTCATGAAGAAGCTCAGTGTTCTCCAACAGGTTTTCTGAAGGACCATCAGGAAGAGCAGCCTGTGATTGGGAAGTATACTGTGTTAAAATAATCTATAGACAATATTCTGCTGAGAGAACCATTCAATGAAAAAAAAACAAAATGATCTAGATGCATATTCTGAAAATAATACCTCCACAGAATCAAATCTTGAAGTAATAAATCCTTCAACAATTTTTGGAACAAATTCATCAAGCAAGCTTGGTGCATTTCCCTTCAGGTATGGTGCTGAAGCTGCCAATTTAGACCACATACTCAAAAGGTAATAGACACTGCTGCTAGCCCACTGCACGTGGAGACAATATGATACCATGTCAAGACCTAAAAAGAAATCCATTCCCTCTTGAGACAACTATCAAAAAGGGGCAAGAGGTCAAACTGTAGTGAAAAAAAAGGAAGGTTGTGTAGACGAAAGAGTCTTCCTTTTTATCATGGAAGTTAACGCAATGATTCTTCATGAATGCTGGCATTGATAGCAAAAAGATGCAAGACATTTTCCAGCCAATTACTTAGGAAGGGCATTTCATGATTTTCATGTTAATATTGCAATATCAATCATGTAATGGACATGACAATAGCAAACAACTCAACACATTGCCATCTCTTAATATTTTCTATGCATAGGAGAATGACCTGTGATGAAACATTTTTGGTATTTTTATCTCAAGATTCTTTCTTTTGAAGAAGAGCATCAGGTTGCCACTGTGCTTTTTGCATGAACTTTATGGCATTAATATACGGAGTATCATACTCCCTTTGTCCCATTAAAAGGTTCAACATTTGACTTGGCACGGAGATTAAGAAAAGTGAAATTGTGTGGTTGAAAGTGGTGTAGAGGAGAAAAAGTATGTGGGCCACGAAAACTTTTCTAAAAGTGGAATGCAGGACCATTTTCTAGGACTGATGAAAAAGGAAATGTAGAACCTTTTTATAGGACAGGGAGTACAATAAATTGGCACTACAAATTTAATGTCCTATCATATTTTTTGTGCAGGTTGAGCCGGGGGTCTCTTGGAAACAGCCTCCCTGCTTCCGAGTAGGGGCAAGGTCTGCGTACACACACCCTCCCCAGACCCTACTGTAGTGGGACCCAACTAGGTTGTTGTTGTTGTTGTTACAAATTTAATGCCCCACCAACCCCGGAATAGTCGGGACTAAGGTGCTGATAATGAACTTCTTTTCTTGTTTCTGTTCTTCCTTTTGTTTTTTATGTGTTCTCATCTCATGCCCATAGGCCCACCTCCAAACAGCGATACACATATTCATCTCATACCAGAAGGGCATCAATGGTACTCAATGGGTGTTCAAATGAATACAGGTTCTTTGAAGTGCCAATGTTGGACAGTTGGAATGTGCATGATATCCTACTTATTGACTTTTTAGGCATTTGTAATGGTGTTATCTTATCATGCCTTGTACTTTATTCAAGTAGTAGTTTCTCTTATAATGATTCCGCTAACTAGCTTGTTGCAGCCTACTAACGCCACCCACTAGCATCCTAATATCATTCATAATGTTTCAAAAAAAAATCAGAGTGTTTAATACGCGGTTGAAAGATAAGTTTTTTTGAACCAAAAACAAAATTTATTTGGAAAAAATTGAAAGGAGTATAAATTGAAGGAGACATGAAACTTGAAAGGTTATGCTTCAAAGATGGTGATCTCCATTTGCGAATGCTATCACGATACACACGCGCATACAAATTAACTTTATACGTAGTAATAAATTAGGTTATATTCAATCATATAGAAAAGCATCAAAAGGATAAATCACCTGCCAAGAGTGTAATGACTTGAATGTGAATTCAGCCACAAAGTGTATCCATTCACCATATCCTTCCACATTGACTAGCTCTGATAGCTGCAAACAGAATGTGCAGGAGGAAAATAATATATATCTGCCAAATTAAATGTCCAGGTGGTGCCCCTCAAAAAGTACTTGAATAAATTGACAATTAGGATTTACGTCCATACAGCAACCTAACCAAAAATATGAAAGGTACACAACTTCATAGCCATAATAGCTGCAGAAGAAAATAGAATAAGTTTCTTCAGAATCATTCACTAGTAAAAGCTAGTTTGGGCATAAAAGAAGTCAGCTCAGGGTTTTTATGTGTAGCTGAAATAGAAGCATGTCCTAACATCAGCAAATACCTCTTGTAGAATTGACATCTACACAACTATAATGCATGAAACTCTTGCAGAAAAGTGACTTTGCCAGCATCTAAAAAGCACTAGACACTAGGCAAACACAAATGACTGGATCTCTGCTTATGGAAAGCACTAATTCTGATCTCCCTTAATAGGTTCAAATTTTTCTCTGTTGTACATTAAATATTCACGGAGACTCTAATGTTAGAGCATTGCTTTTAATTATTATCTATGGAACTATTTGACTATTACTACGTGCACAGATTTAAGGAGAAACATACTCCCTCTGTCCCAAATAAACTTCATTTCTTAGGCTTACACCTCAATTTGAGGCGCTCTGAATGGAAATCAAGAGTTAAGCCTGGTTTGCATAACAAAAGGTACACCTCAAAGAAAAAATCTTATGCTTTGAGGCTTGCCTCAAGGCTTTTTGTGAGGCTGGATTTTTTTGGACTGTGAGACTCTAAGTAATGAACTCCATATACTAAAGTCAGTCCATGATAGACAACCAACCACATGAGTCTATTCTTTTCTCTCCTCTGCCGCTCCCCCAACTTCAAAATTCAGCAATCACCATCACTACATGCATTTCCATTTTTTTCTCTGATGCTAATTGCGCTTGTTATTAATCTTCTCTCTTCCTACTACTCCTCCTCCTCCTCCTCCTCTTGGTCACTTCTATTTGTTTCCTGTTTTTTGAACTTCTTCTATGTTTCTCTTTGATGTATTCTGAATTTGAGATTACTTAAAATACTTTTGTCTAGATATATTATTCTGTACAATTTACAGTGAGAAGTTGTCAAGGTGCTACCTCTAGTCGTAAAGAAGGTGCAGGTGTTTCTAAACAAGTTACTAGAAAAGGAAATGGCCAAGCTTGAAAATAGTGTTTAAGTACAAATCCTATGAAAAAAGTGTTCAGAATAATGGAGTATAATTACTTATGACTCGCCTCTCCTGAACAAACAGCCTCGGTACCCAAACTAACTGTTTTGGACCAAGAGTATCATACTATTAATCAATACAACAGCAGCAACATCCCCAACTCTATTGGGGTCAGGAGTTTCAAGATGTACACAACCTTACAAGTTACACCCCAGAGGTTACTTTCGTTAGACCAGTGATGTCACTAGCGCTCCTAGATATTCAATATTTATAAAATAATGCTTCAATATTGCATATTGATTTGATCATAGATACATCTAAAAAATTGGGGGATCGATGTAAACTAAAAATTCTCTTTAAGTATTGTTGTAAAAATATTGATTTTCTTGGAGCGCTAATGATAATTATGCAGTCTTAGGCTATTCATTATCATCATTATTATTATTACTATTACTTTTATTATTATTATTATTATTATTATTATTATTATTATTATTATTAGTAGTATTATTATTATTATGAAGATTCATGGACGAAGTACAACACAACACTCCATTGCTGGCCTACCTCAAACACAACACATATCTATCACTCAACATACATGTTTATTAAAACATATTTAGGTACAAACTATCCAGATTTCATGGATGAAGCACGTGATGATATGGTACAAACAATCCCCCAAAAGCACAGGCAAATCCAATAGCATTGACACTACATGTTCAAGAGAAAAGAACAAAAAAATAGAAAAATGATGGCACTACAACAACAACCCAGTTGGATACTTGGATCCCACAAGAGGGTAGGGTCTAAGGAGGGTGTGTGTACACAAAACCTTCCCCTACTCGAAAGTAGAGAGGCTGTTTCCAAGAGACCCCCAGCCTCAAGATAAAAAGATCACAGCAGAGATGGGACTACCTGATAGCTTATTCGGAAGCGTCCAAGAAGACGACAAAATTCATTGTAATTCTCGTGATCACTTAGACCTGAATTACAATTCAAGATGAAACAAGCATTTAAACAGATAAAGAACAAAGGAGATGAACCAAAACCATATAACTTTAAACAATTGAAAGATGACACTATACCATTGGAAAGATGGAATTACATGCACTAATTGAAGGCACTGGGAGTCAGCAAATGAAAATGAACAAAAGGCACAGCATATACCTAGGCCAGTTCGTAAAATCTCTTTGGATCCTGTCATGAGATGAGCCAAAAAATTTGTGCGTGCCGCATCATTTGTGAAAACAGAGCGTCTTACAGAAGCCAGGCGCACCAAACACTCCAATGCCTGGGAATGATAAAAATAAAAATTCAAGGAGACACCTAATTAGTCAGCAGAAAGCTATACAACACTCAGGAGTTGAGATCCAGATCACTCAAGTCGTAGCCAGAACAAGGTAATCAATCTTCTCTCTGACAGAAAAAATCAGCAAAGAAAATCACTATATCTGTGGTTGATGGTTGTAGTACTCTCAGTGGAGCTTATGCCCTCAAAAAGAACATAGAAGCGAAAGTTGTCAATATGTGTGGAACTACGAACAAAAAAAGCCTGATGAATTCCTTTTGAGGGCTTCTCTTAATGGAGAGAAACAAAATAAATTTAGTCTAATACTGATCTTCAAAAATCCCAGCAATTAGTTTAAACCAAATGCAAAAAGTAGATGCATGTACTGCTTTCAGAGGGATTTTGTTTTATAAAAGGACAAAAGTGTAGCTAGCAACGACAGCCACAGAAAGCACCAATGCACGAGCTATTAAAAAAATGGACCAACACACTAGCAAAGAAAGAACACGGTAAATGAAAATGAGATCCAAATGAATTCAATTAAATCAATGATATCCTCATTTTTATGAAAAAACAGAAGTCCATCCAGCTTAAGGGCTCAACTACACGCATGTAGAAGCATACCAAACATATATGTGCAAGCAGTGAACTGTTTTTAATGGATACTTGAATATGCAGCTTCCAGAGCTTGTGAGGAAGTTCTAGAACTTGAATGAACAGCATTAATAATATCAACCAAACATGTACCTCCTTGGAAACAGATGCCTTTGCAAGAGCATAGTAATCGAAAAAGATCTGCAGAGTTGAAGGTTCCTCTAAAACTGATTTCCATGAAGATGAAACCTGTGAAATAACATTGACAGCCATATGATAATGAGTGCAAAGTAATAATTCAATAACTATCCTGATTATGAACAAAATCATTCAACCCTAGAAAACTAACTTGTATCTGGAGACACCCAAACTCGTCAGAACTTTCATCAATAGACGTTCCAATAAAATCATAAGCTAAACACTTCAGTGAAAGAGATACTGCCAATTCCTGCAATCGGTTGATGGCTGCAGTTCGAACTTGCAACCATCAGGTGTGGATCACAGAGAATCAAGAAAATGAAAAATGATAAAAATATCATCAAACTACCATCATTTTTTAGCTGGTGCAATGAAGTTAAAGATATCCGAAAAACTTGTAACAGAGACTGATCCCGGAAGGAGCCGGCCACCCTATGATGATGGGTTGAAGTTACCCCTTGATTTTGCTGAAAGAGACGATAGTAACATAGATAGGCACAAGAAAATGTAAGTTCATACTTCATACGAAATGAGGTCAATACAAGACAATATCATTGGCATATATGGTATTGAACACTATTAAGAAATTACAGAACAGATCGGAACAAAGTTAAATATTACTCCCCCACAAGTCAATACATGGGGCAATCATTATAAATACAGTTTTCAGTTAAAGAAATAGATAAAAGATGCAGCATTTTCTTGTGCCATGCATAACAAAATTAATTATAACTCCCAGTACCATCCCAAAATGTAGGCAATATGCACTTTTAATGTGGTTTATAGTTAAAGAAAACATTTAAAAGAAAATGTATTATGTAGAATTGTCTTCAAAGAAAGCCTTCAGCCCCACATGGTCAAATAAATTTAATAAGTTCTCTTTCTTCTACACAAATTTCAGCAATACACTTTTTACTTTTGAACACTTTTCCTAAACTTCGTGATGTCAAAGTTTATATCTTTTTGGAATAGAGAGAGTACATGTGTGTCTCAATTAGATCTGGCAAAAATTGAGACGGCCTAATTTTTACCCAACACGCAACCTAAAAAATTACTTTAGAATTCAAATGAAATATTATAAGAGCTTTATTATATATTTCAATATTTCCATAATTTAAATAGTGCAAAATGCAACTGCTAATACGAATTTAAGTATTCTAAAAACAAATGCTCATAACATGATTGGTCGAACTGAATTCGATGACACTGGTCATGAACATTAAGTTCCCAACCCGATCCTAAACTTATCGAAACCCAAATGAACCGAATCTGAATCAAACCTATTTGCTAGCACTAATGTGTGCGTGTAATCTTTTCCTCTATATGTGTGTGTGTGTGTAATGCATGTATAGTGCAATTTAGGTAAGAATGATCCTTATTGAGAGAAATACGAAGAGTGTTTTTTTGGTCCATCATGATACACATTCGCACTAGCAATTATGCATTTTTGCAATGGCAACGGAGTTCAATTCATTTACTAAAATGTCACCACAATTTCCCATATTTTTATTTTATAATAGTCCTTAAATCCTAAATCCAATAGATCATATGCATTCTCATTTCTATCATTGTGCATCATTCTCACTTGAACCAATATACATACAAGTATGTGTATGTGTACACACAGAATGGCATTACAATTGAATCACGTTAGATGAGGTAATGAGAGTCACTCATTCCAAAAGGTGACGATATTTCAAAAATACCACCGTGATTTTATATATATACATATGTAAACATAGATTTTGGTTCTGGTGAAAATGAGATCTTAGGAAAGAAATAAGAATGCATATGGTGCTTTAGAATGTGAGATTTGAGGGCCATAAAAATTTGAAAAATAAGGGAAAATGTGCAGGAAATTTTGTAATTAAAATCGAACTTTGTAAAATGCACTACCTTCTTTTCCAAATTTCTAACTTCTTCCAATACTTTATAATACTCATATGTACTCCTTGGGTAACAGCAAGACATGTGTACATCTCACCTACCAAACTTTTGAGCTGGACTTAAAGGATATACGGAGTATTTGTTTATGTTTGCTTTAATAAATTTGCTTTCGAAAAATCCACACACGTTAAACTTGCTTTTACAAATAGAATATTCATCCATGGAGTGGTACCTATTGAATCCTTTTTCATATGTGAGTGTGAGCACGTGCATTCAAATCATACACTAAGAAAAACATGTATGTATGCATTTAAACATATATATGAATCACTGGAAACACAAAAATAACATTAGCACATCGCAACATTAATGTCCAAATAAAAACTTATTTCAATAAATTGGAAAATATTTTCCAATGTGTCCCTTTAAAATCTTCCCATTATTTTAAAACACTATACTAAACGAGCTGCAAAACTTAACCTGATTCATCTCACAAACAAGCTGATTCAAGATCTTTAGGCCAATAGCATAATGATCGGATGTTGCCTGTAAAATAGAAACAACATGGGAGGAATCTATGTAAATGTCCATATGACAACTTCACTCAGGACAAGAAAAAAATTTAACACACATTTAAAGTATATCAGTAGATGCACTAGAAGTAGTCTTCATGAAATTTAATGGTAAATTCTGTGTTTCAAACATTTGGTACATTCCCAAAGACCAAGATAGGGAGAAGAAGAAGACTCAATCGGAAAGTAATTCAGGCGGGACAGGGCAGATCGATTCGGCTACAGGAACGTCGAAAAGCAATACCAACACACCGAAGTCAGTTTCAAAGGACAATTTCACTGAAGATCTGGACTTAGTTCATGAGATAGGGTTGAAGGAGGTTGAGCAATCAGGGGCTGTATTGTTGATGGATGATAAACCTAAAGGGGAATCGGATCCGCCGACTAAAAGCTATGCGGATGTGGTGGGGTGTTCTGATAAGGTACAAACAAATCTAACCTTCTATCAGTATGAGGAATTAAATGGGCAAAAAGTAGCTAGGCTTACTAAGGAGGATGTTCTAAATAATACTTGAATCTGGGATCGAGCAGTGCTTTGTTGCATTCTAGGGGCAAATCCTCCTGTAGAAGTGGTAAAAGGTTTTCTGTCAAGAATCTGGAAAAATTATGCTATTGAGGATGTATCCTTTTTCAAAAATGGGCAATATATTGCTCTATTTGAAAAAGAAGAAGACAGAGATGAGGCTGTTAAACGCAAATATTATCATTTTGACAATAAGCCTATGCTAGTACAGAGATGGAGACCTGGATCCACAATCAATGTCATGGAGTTGGAGGATATTCCCATATGGATCCAACTTCCCAATTTAGATCTCAAGTATTGGAGTTTAAGTGGATTGGGTAGATTGGGAAGCATCATTGGGAAACCAATTAAAAGAGATGCTGCCACAGCATCTGGAGTAAAATGGGGATATGCCAGAATCCAAATAGAGGTGCAGGTGCAACAAGAATTCCCGGATGTAATCCATTTTGTTGATGAGGAAGGGAGAGTGGTGAGTCAGAGGGTGGAATATGACTGGAAACCATCACTATGTTCTAAATGTAATAGGTTGGGGCATGTAGCTGAGAGTTGTAAAAAGAAGAACGAGGAAGCAAAGCAAAGAACTGTAGGCAGAATGGTATGGAAGCCCAAACAAAATCAACCTCAGGATCAAAGGCAAGAGGAGAAAAATACAGAAGAGGTACCAGAAGCAAGTAGTAAGATTCAAGAGGACCCTCAAGGAGAGGTTGGTGAACAGTTAGAGGAGAAAGAGGATGGATTTCAGAATGTTAGTAAGAAAAAAGCTGCCAGAAGGTTAACAATAGAAGATATATCACCAAAAGGGTGGGAACTGCTTAAAAATGCCCCATATGAGGGGCATTACCCTTTTCTAACATGATACTGGTTTGGAATATTAGAGGGCTTAACAGCCGTAATAAACAATGGGAAGTAAAAGCTATTATTAATAAATATAGGGTGGGTCTGATGGGTATTCTTGAGACAAAAATAAGAAAGGAAAAGGAGCTGGATATACTACATAAGATGTTTAGTAATTGGGGTACTTTCACCAATATTGATAGCCATCAGTTGGGAAGAATATGGGTGGTATGGGACAAAAATAAGTACTATGTACAAGTTGTGGACAGCTCTGCCCAAGCAGTTCATTGCAGAATCAGATATATCGGTAATAGGGACGATTTCTATGTCACTTTCATCTATGCATTCAATGATAGAGGACACAGAAAACAGTTGTGGGATTTCCTATATAAATATTCTGGAAGTATAAAGGAACCTTGGTGTTGTATTGGGGATTTCAATACCATTATGAAAGGTGAAGACAGAAAAGGAGGTATCCCTGTCACAGATGAAGAGACAAAAGAGCTCAGAGATTTCACATTTCAGAGTGGACTGGAAGAATTACCTATAACTGGAGCATACTACACTTGGTCAAACAGACAATGTATGGAGAAAAGAATATGGTCTAAACTAGATAGGGCCTTATCAAATATTGAATGGGTGCTGAGATTCAATACTAAAACCAGGGTACTGGAAGAAGGAGTATCTGATCACTCCCCTTTGCTAATTTCAAGCGTGAACAGTCAGCATAGGATGAAGGGGTTTAAATTCTGCAATATGTGGATTAGGGATGATCGATTTCCTCAAATTCTACAGGAGACATGGAAGGTAGTTGGCTCACAGGGGCAAATGTATCAGCTGGCCCGAAATCTCAAGAAGCTTAAGACACCTCTTCTAAGACTTCACAAGACTAAATACAGTCAGATTCATAAGCAGGTAGACACTGCTAGGGAAAAGCTTATGGTCATTCAAAAACTACTACAGGGTGGGAATGGAAACAATGAGATGATAGAGGAAGAGAAAGAGCTCCGTGTTCAATTACATCATCTGATCAGGGCTTCTTATGAACTTAAATGTCAACAAAGCAAACAAGAATGGATAACCCAAGGAGATGAAAACTCCAAGATCTTCTATGCTTGGGTAAAGAAAAGGCAGTTTCAGAACCACATTGATACAATACAGAATGAGGGTGGAGAAATGGTCGAGGGTACTGAGGAAGTAGCTGCAGTACTACAAAGATATTATTCAAGAGTGTTGGGAACTAGGGAATATACTGAAGATATTGATGCTCAAACTATACAGAGAGGGAAAGTGCTGGATGCGGAACAGCAACTGAACCTGGTCAAAAAGTTCACTCCACATCAAATAAAGGCAGCTTTATTTTCAATACCGAATGACAAGAGCCCTGGACCGGATGGATTTGGCAGTGGCTTTTTCAAATCACAATGGAGTACAGTAGGGGAGTTAGTTGTTAATGCTGTGGAGGAATTTTTTAGGAATGATACCACTCTTATCCAAATTAATGCTACTAGCCTAACTGTCATTCCAAAAATTGCAAACCCTAAAAACCCCCCAGATTTCAGACCCATTGCCTGTTGTAATACAATATACAGAGTGATATCAAAGCTACTATGCATGAGATTGAAGGAAGTCATGCCCCAACTGGTGGATCTCAACCAAGGAGCTTTTATCAAGGGGAGAGAGTTGCTACATAATGTACTCTTATGTCAAGAGGTAGCCAAGGGATATAACAGAAAAGGGGTTTCCCCGAGGTGTATGATGAAACTGGACATACAAAAAGCATATGATTCAGTAAGCTGGAAAGCTATCAGAGGTATCCTTTATAATCTCAAATTCCCTGAGCAATTTATTAACTGGATTATGTTTTGTGTTACCACTCCATCATACACCATAAACGTTAATGGAGAGCACCATGGATACTTCAGAGGAGGGAAGGGAATAAGGCAAGGAGATCCAGTATCTCCTTTATTATTTGTGCTTGTAATGGAGTACCTAACCAGATGTTTTGCTGAAGCTGCTCAAAAAGAAGGATTTTCGTACCACCCAATGTGTAAGGAGCTAAAGATCATCAACATCTCTTTTGCGGATGATCTAATAGTGGTCTGTAAGGCAGAAAGTAGATCAATCCAGTGTGCAATGAATGTTCTGGAAAAGTTCAAGAACACAACTGGCCTTAAGATTAACAAGCAGAAATCGCATATTGTGTTTGGAGGAGTGAATCAACAGAGGAGGGAAGAGCTTCTAAAACTCACTGATATGAAACTGGGCAAACTACCCTTCACATACCTTGGCTGCCCTATTACCACCGGAAGACTTAAAGCAGGGGATTGCGAACCATTGATTAATAAGCTTACAAACAAGATTACTGCCTTGGGGACTAGACACTTCTCTTATAGTGCTAGAATCAGGATTATAAACTCAGTACTTATGGGTGTTATAACCTTCTGGTCAAGAATTTTTATTTTGCCCAAACAGGTAATAGGGAAAGTGATGGCTATCTGCAGAAACTTTCTTTGGAGCAGTACCCATGAATACAAGAGAGCCCCATTGGTCCAATGGGAGGAAGTTTGTCAGAAGAAGAAATTTGGTGGTTTGGGATTAAAGAATGCTATGAACTGGAATAGAGCCACAATAATGAAGTTAAATTGGGACATTGCTGAGAAAAAAGACATATTATGGGTGAAATGGATACATAGCACATATATTAAAACTGCCAATTTTTGGGACCACATACCAAATCTGAGTTCATGCCATTACTGGAGGGAAATGATCAAGGTGAGAGACTTATTTAGGGGCATGAATAACACTCAACCTTTTTCCATCAAGGCAGGGTATGAATGGCTCCAAGGGGACAAAATTACCCCTAAATGGAGGAATTGGGTTTGGAACAAACATACGCCTCACAAATTCCAGGTTATATTCTGGCTTTTGATGCGAGGTAGATTACAAACGAAGGTGAGAATGAGCAAATTCCTCCCATTAGGTAATGCCATTAATTGTCTGTTATGTCAAAAAGAACCAGAAACGGATGAGCATCTCTTTTGGAAGTGTGAATTTGCCCAAAGGGTGTATAATGAGAGCTTTGGAAGGTTTGGATGGCAGTATCAAGCAAACTCATTAATGCATTTTGGGGAAGTACTACAGCTCATAAAAGAGAAAGGAAGAAGAATGAAGAGTTATGCAATTTGGGCTGCTTGTGTGTATGGGATCTGGAGAGCAAGGAACAAAGCATTGCATAAGAAGAGGATACAAGAAGAAGACACCATTAAATACAATGTTGATTACTTAAGCTGTTGTTTCTCTTATAAACGCCATTAGATTGTGTTCTGATATTTGACTTGCTTGTATGATACTTTGATGTTTTGGTAATAAATTGTGTTTACGGTGCAAAAAAAAAGATAGGGAGAAGCATTCCCAACTAATATGGAGAGAACTAGTCAATTTGAGCTCAAATCCACCCAATAATTACTTTTAACTACTAATCCTAACATTTTACTGGGGAAATATTTTAAAGACAAAAGATCCAAGAATGGTTAAAATCCAAAAGGCAACCAATTCTTGAAGCATGCACAACACCTGCTCATTTGGACTTTAGAGAGTCTTGGCCAAAATTACAGTCCTAGTCAAGATAGGAATGCTGCTTTATGCAGATCAGTTTTCGGCATTACTAAGTTTTTCTAACCAAGGTTTGCGTTTACTCTCCCTCACTCCCTGTATACTCGCGAGACCTAAGACATATTGAATAAATGTGCCGGGTCCAACATGATGAATTTACATCACTTGAGGTAAAATCTTTATGTTGGCCAAGTTGCCTTCCACCATTAATGAGTTTGCCTAGGAAAACACCTTTAAAACAAATGCTTTTTGAACACTTGACATTCCTTAATGGGTTCAAACTTCAAAATCTCAAGGCAAGTACAATTTCAAAAAAAATATTGAGACCTAGGTCATATTGAATAAAGGTATTGGGTCCAACAGCAAGTGATGTTGAGTTTACATCCCTTGAAGTGAAACTGTTATGTTGGCCAAGTGTTCTTCCACCAAACCATCACCAATTTTTTTGTCTAGAAAATCACCTTTTACGACGTCATTAATTAGCAATTGTTTCTTAATGCATGGACATTAAGCAAATTGTTTGAAAATTGAGGCTGAATACAATTTTTAAAAAGCTATGGAGGATTTGAGGTTAACCTCAAGGAAAAGTCCTAGAATTTTGGCTCGGGGCTTCCACTTCTCCCTATCAGAAAGAAATTTATTCCTCAACAGGGTGAAGGCTATGCCTTGAGGTATATGCTTCATGAACCATACACCTATGCTATTGTGAAGAGGTGGATAAGATTTCAAAATGTATATGGTGTTCAACTATTTTGGAAAAAATGACTTTATTTTTATCTTCTTGAGAGGCTAAGAGCCATCGATGACATGAAAAAAGTCAAAAAAACCAAAAATTACCTGGGTCATAAACTTAATTGATTCAGTAACAAGTTCTCTAAATCTATCTTTACCAAACCACCCAAGCTTGGTAATTCGGCATAAGAGTTGAATGAGAGATCCAATCACAAAAGGCTGCAATTCAGGGCCTTTGTTTGCCAGATAGTTTATGAGATAGTTCCCTTTATAGAAAACAAAGAAACAGAAATTTAAGCAGAACAATACGGGTTAGTGATATACTGAATTGTATTAGAACCAAAAACAAAGAAATTGGATAGACTGTCAATGCAACAGTTTGAAATTTATTTATTCAAGGATTCATGCTTCTGATCATGCAAGAAAAAATATATGGAAATACTTTGTACTATGTAACTAGTATCATATACATATAGTCTAATAGTAGTATTTTAATCCTGGAAAGAGAAAGCATGAGTGGTTCTTATCAGAGGAAAAAACACACAACAGAAATAACAAAATATTACAGAGGTCAAGGCGGAACTGCAACGAGAGATTATTTTCATTGACTTGCTTCAAGAGGCTTGAACTAGCCAGCATCAATGCATAAGGAGACGATGCATTGTCCAGAATAAACTGGCATTGTGAAATGTAATCTATATTCTCAGAAAAGCATTTAAGAGTATTCTCAACATGCGCTCGTTCAGACGAGTCCTGGGAAGTGTACAGCCTCTCGCACAATGTCTCTAATTGTGCTAAACTCTCCATTACTAAACAGTCAACCCAGAGCAAGAACTGAAGCTTATCCGATCCAAATTTGAAATTCCAGTCTACAATTTTACCAGATGGAATACCACCAAACCCAATTAGAATTTAGAAAACGGAACAAAAGCATACAAACATACAAAGTAACAAAGAGACAATTTGTTACTAAAGTTGGTGTGATTGTCATTATCGTTGTTCTTATTCTTATTGTTGTTGTTATAAACTCGTAGTGAAAGTAAAAGAATGTAATTCTAATATATGTTGCAAGGGTGGGAAACACCAACTTTCCAAATTTTACAAAGCTTCCAAATCTTAGAAAGTATTTGGAAGTAGGGACCTTGGGACGTTCCCAAGTACCCAAAGCAAGGACATTTCGAGGACGGGAAACTGCACAGAATCCGTGTAACATAGATTTTCATGAGGCAACCTAGATCATCAGATAACCATTGCAGAAGGAAAAACAAATACATTGAGCTTCCAGCAAGAGAAGCACAACTTGATCCAAGTAATCATCAGCTCAGATTTTTAAATTTAAAAAAAAAAAGAAAAAACTCAGCACTGATAGCAAAAATCCATGACAAATGTTCTCATTGAAATCAAAAACTCCAGCAATACCGATGGACCACAAAATATAGTGTTCTCCAAAATGACTTTCCAATACAAAAGTATACACAAGCCTCCCGTTAAATGATGGGAGCTGAGATTTTTTATTTAAAAAGCAAAAAAAAAAGAACTGATCTAATTTTCTATACAGAAAGGGCTATAGAAGAAAGTGAGCCGACCACCGGTGGAGAGACTTTCCCAGCGATGATCCTGGTTGAAAATGAATGAGATGAAAGCTGGAAAAGGTCAGCGAAGCTATAACGAATTTCCTGAATTTAGAGAAAAATATGTAGACGAATGTCTGGCATCATCACCTTATGAATCGGAAGCGAAGATACTCGCCAGAGAAAATGAGAAATAGTCGATGAAGGAGATGACGATGCTTTTACTTTTTTACCACGGGTACTCCGCGGGTATCTAGCGTAACAGCAGCCAAATTCACCTGATCCTATACCCTTAGTTACAACCCACTACTATTCAAAATATTTATTTTACATTTTTTCATTTTAATTTTGTGCAAGGATCTTTTCACCTTGAAATCTCAAGTTATAATATACTCCGTAATTTAGAACAATTATCATATTCATTCGTAAAATTAATGGTTCCTACCTCCTAACCTCCCGCTAAACCCTACCCTCTTGCCCCTACATGCACACCCCACCAAAGCACCCTCTTGCCCCCACCCCCCCCCCCCCCCCCCCCCCCC